GAGGCATTCATCCCAAGCCTACCGAAGATGAGCCAGGTGAAGTCAATGTCCTTTGATTAGTATTCGACAATAAGTTATCTTAGTATAACAAAAACTGGGAAATGTAAAACTTCGGCACCATGAAGGAAAGGATAACAACCTTCTTCGTCTTCAGATAGCATGAGTAACATTTAAAAATATATATATGTTTGCCTTTCTGATGTTTAAATTGACTTTTTGACTTCAAATAAATACAGCTTTGTATTACAGTGGACAATATGGACACACCTCTTCTTATGAGTCTAGCCATGTAAACCAATGGTAACTAAACTGGAAAAGTAAGCAAACTCTTTTTTTTGTGGATGTTAGTCAACCTTCCTTGCAACTGTCACCCAGAATATCCCTGTATTATAAGGTTGTTAATGCATTGCATACTTTTGCGTAATACTATCATTTTTTTTTCTAATGTTATTATTTTGAAGCTCTCAAAAAGAGACATATATTGGTCAATGATGCTGACAAGTCTAGTGATTCTAGTCAGTGTCTTGATTAGAATGGAGGACACTGGTCTCTGCTGCATGATTTAAAGATATTTTCTAATTTTAGGGTCATCAGTGAGCCGAAATCTGAAATATCTGTCCTAAAAACGTTCAACATTCCTGAGTGAATGACATTCTTTAGTTACCAGTACTCCTGAACGGAGTCCTGAGTGAAACAAAATGACTGAAAATGCCCATGTGCCTCGTGTTAAAATATCCTGTAGTTACATTTTCTACTTCATCTTATTTTCAAATTGCACTTTCATCTGATTTACAAGTATGGCTTCACCTGAATATAGCTGCACTTACAACATTCATAAATTGAAAATGCCTCAGTGTGAGGGCTTCAGCTCCCAAGAGGAAGTTCTTTATGTCCGGTTGAAGCACTATAAATAAATGTATTGATGTGGATTTCTACTTACTCATATTTCGAAGAAGAACTTCTGGCCATGCTTACAGCTCTAGGGATGGCAAGGTCAGTCTATCAATCTTTTTATCAATTTTGCCCAGACTGAAATACATGTATTTCAAAAACAGAATATTCATGGTACCCAGAGGATTACGTTTCTTGACCGTGGTGATACCACTTTTTCTTATTGAACCACCATGAGGTTCACGCTTGTGAGTTTGAGTAAAATGCCTCAATAACTTGGATGGATTGTCACGAATAGCTGTACTTATTTTATGTTTCTCTCAGCATGTTGTACTTGCTTTTTGTTCACTTGCAAAACTAATGTCATTACCATCAGTTGTACTTTTTGTTCATAAAGCAAATGTTAACATGCTGGTGTGTTAGCATTTAGCTATAAGCACTGCTATGTTTAAGCCTTACAGGACTGCTATAGTACTCCTCTGTACTTTTTAAAAGGGATTAGGCTTTTTTCAGCTCCTTACATTCTCTCTATTGAGGGAACCCAAAAACAGACGAAACCTATTATCTGAAGATATTGAAATGGGGTAGTCAAATTAACCATTGAAAAAAGTAATATCTCATAGTAATGGGAATGTTTGTGTATTCAAATATAATGCATATATAATAGCACTGTTGTCCATCAGTGTCTAGTCAATGTATTTGGTATAAACGAAAATGGTTAGCACAACTTTATTCTTCAAATATCCCTTTCTCTATATAAAATATGACTTTAGCCTCTTAATCATATTTTCTCTCAAACTATTGTTACTCTTCACTATGACCTACTAAAGGATCCGGTAACTATTCCCTGCCTCTCTATCCTGGGTTTTGGCTTCCAAGGAAAGATGGTGACACAGTTGAGTTATGTGCTAAAGTAGACAGAAGTTTAAATAGTGACTAATTTCTCTACTGTAAATCTTGAGGTGTGTCTGCACTCCAGAGAGCAAACAGAGGGTAGCATAGTGATTTTCTCATTTTCAAATTAGTGGGGGGCGGACGCGGACCTAACCTCCTCTAGGGGGGTCCTCACCTCCTCTAGGGGGGTCCGGGAGGGAAGATTTTTTTTTAAATATTGAACACCCATATGAAACAGAACTGTAAACAGATTTTCTTTTTCTTTATGGATATTTTACAAATCACTTCCCTGTGACTGTGTAATGTAAGGTAGCTTCTAGCTCAGGCATGGGCAAACTAAGGCCCGCGGGCCATATACGGCCCGTTGGGCTTTTTAATCCGGCCCGCCGAATATTGGTACAAAATTGTCCAAATTATAGTAAAGACCGCATTCATTTTTCCTTTTTCCTGCAATACCTGGCATTTCAGTTGATCCCACTAGATGGCGCACTCTAGAAACAATGACCTTTGCTGGAGTCTGCAACGGCCAGATCTAAGAACCAAATCGCTTACATTGGAGGGGGTCAAGATTAACCTGAGCAATTACAGTTCAAGGTTAGTACAGTACAGCGAATACAAGTTGTAACTGAGTAGCGCTGAGAAAAGTGACTAGAACGCGACCACACACTTATAAAAAACACTTATATAAAGTCAGGCAACACTAACCAGCATAGTGTGATTCTGTTTATTTTGTGTAGAAAACGGTTTATGCCACAATATGATAGCAACAAGTAGTCGAGATAGTCTGATTAGCTTCGGTTGCTATGCTAACATCACCTGTAGAATGCCAGAGAAACTTTCATGACAGCGTTGTGATGCCAAACAGCGTCAATTCAAACTGAAACACATTCACTGATGGGGATGGGGGATATGTATCAGCTGCTTGTGTGACAGTCGGACAGTGAATACTTAAAGGCCCTGACACTCCAAGCAGTCACCAGAGAACTCGCCGACGCCGACTGTTGCGTCGCCGTGTTCTCCTGCGTCTTGGCCATGTGTCGCACTGGAACACACCGCAAAGACTTCAGCCGAGCACGTACGAACTGCGCATGCGTGAGTGGCAATAACTCTCCTTACCAGCAGGTGGCGGTAGTGTGTATTCACCATTCAAAAGAGGCAACAACCTGAAGACAGAGAAGAAGAACAGACTGCGTGATCTAAACAAACAACAAATAGCGTGTGCGTTCCATTTTCACTCTCGTGCATCGAAAACATATTTCGTGCGGTACTGGAGCTATCAGCCATTGGAGTGTTGCTTGTGGAAGACATTCTCAAGCAACCGTTTCGCTTCTCATGCACTGATTCGCTAGCTGAACAGCCAATCAGAGTGATTTCTGTGTCCGACTGCCTGTGGCCTGAAAGGCCAAATAAGGCGTGTCACGGCCGACGGTGCGGGACACACCAAATTGAGTTTGGGCGACAGGGCACGCTTCGTCGTCCGACTAATGAAAACGGCCGATTTCGGCCTGGTGTGTCAGGGCCTTTACAGCGGCCGCTGCCACGAGTTAACAGTAGAGTAGAATAAACTCTGGTGCACGAGCAGCACTGCAGCAGTCGGTAAATGCCGCTGAACCACATTAATAAACAATGCACCACGGCACTCTGGAGAAAGGTATAAGGTTGGAGAAGTAGTTCTTTAATTTGATCTGGCTTCATATGATTAAAAACGACCCGACGCAGTCCTCTATTGATGTTGGTGTTGCGGAGAAAATCAGCGACCTAAAACGCTGTGTGGGTCATAAGAAGGCACGTAAACGGTTACGTCATGACGCAAACGATGACGCAATAACTCACCTTTGAACCTGCATCTGTAACAATGAGTGGACCAAAGAAAAGAAAAGTCGACAATGAGTGCCGAGTGTTTAATGAGGAGTGGACAGCTAAATATTTGTTCACCTTTCTGCTACTGGCCCAGCCCGTCTGTTACATTTTAAAACTCATAGTGGCCCCCGAGCCAAAAAGTTTGCCCACCCCTGTTCTAGCTTCATGTCGAACACTGACAGTAAGTCAACATTTTCCAGAGAGCTTTCTTTGAAATCACCAGGTAACGCTAGAAAACATAACATTTATATTGCATGACAAAGTGTTCATTTAATGTCTCTGGCTAGCTATAGCTACTTGCTAACGGTTTAGCTTACCCGCGCGATTCAAAGTATTGTCAACAACTTAACTGTAATTTATGCTTTGCTTACATGTTCGCATAACTTGGAAGTTTACTGACATTTACATACCTTGTTTACCTGGCGCAAGTGGTGGCTCTGGGGTTGTTGTGTGAGCCACCACTTGAGAATTGTCGTCTTTTTTAAGAACATTTTTTCTTATGTACATCTTCAAAAACTCAGAGTCCGACTGACAGTTTAAACATTGTCACAGGATACAGTAGGTACCTGTCAGCCAATAGAGAGGTGAAGTCCCCCCCCTTCCGGTGGGACTCATGGGACCTTATTTTGGAAAAAGTTTGTATTGAAGTCAATGGGGAGAGAAAGATTATCTTTCGATCCCGTTTGAATTGTGCCACGAATTACACATATGATGTTTGTCAATCTTAAATAATAATTTCCATGTCAAAAAAGTCACAGTTTGTCGTAAAACTGTTGAAATATAAGACTATGAAAAATACGCAACTAGAAAGACTACAAATCCCAGAATCCCGGTCCCGCATGCTGGCTCTTACGGAACCGACTAACTCCCCTTATGTGTATGTACAGCTCTCAACATGCCCAGACTTGGAGTGATTTTCACCTCTTTTAATACTTTTCGCCTCATTCTGAAAGAAAGAAGTGAAATGTGCCAACGTGACGGCCGTCTTGGTGTGTGGTGCGAGACGGGAGATGTAGTTCATTGAGCGGTTTCACACAAAAAAAGTGTTACTTCACAGTTTTACGGCACATTTTAATTTTTTTGACTTGTAAAATTATCTTTTAAATTGACAAACATCATATGTGTAATTCGTGGCACAATTCAAACGGGATTGAAAGATAATCTTTCTCTCTCCATTGACTTCAATGCATAACTTTTCCGAAATAAGGTCCCATGGAGCTCAACCGGAAGGGGAGGGACTTCGCCTCTCTATAAGACACGTTTATTTCCATGCAACTCTCTGGTGATTGGTCTGGTGTATTGCCTCTGTTGCATTCACTGAACACGGGAAATTACATTCCTGCCGTCCTCTCTGCATGAGCTGTATTAAAGACTGCTGGGGTAAGAAGAATGAGGAGAAAACGTACAGCTGCCCGCAGTGCAGGCAGAGCTTCACACCGAGGCCTGCCCTGGTGAAAAGTACCATGCTTGCAGAGTTAGTGGAGGAACTGAAGAAAGTAGGACTTCAAGATGCTTCACCTGATCTTTCCATTGCAAAACCTGGAGATATGGTCTGTGATTACTGCTACGGGGTGAAGCTGAAAGCCTTCAAGTCCTGTCTGCTGTGTATGGCCTCTTTCTGTGAGCAACACCTCCAACCTCACTTTGATGTAGCTCCATTAAAGAAACACAAGTTGGTTGCAGCCACCTCAAAGCTTCAGGAGAACATCTGCTCTCGTCATGACGAGGTGATGAAGATTTTCTGCCGCACTGATCAGCAGTGCATCTGTTATCTCTGCTCCATGGATGACCACAAAGGCCATGACACCGTCTCCGCTGTAGCAGAGAGGGCTAACAGGCAGAAGGAGCTCGGGGTGAGCCAAGAAAAAAACCAACAGAGAGCCCAGGACAGAGAGAAAGACGTCAAGGCGCTTCAACAGAGGGTGGAGGCTATCAATCGCTCTGCTGATGAAGCAGTGAGGGACAGTGAGAAGATCTTCACTGAGTTCATTCATCTCATTGAGAAAAGAAGCTCTGAGGTGAAGCAGAAGATCAGATCCCAGCAGAAAACCCAAGTGAGTCAAGCTCAAGATCTTGAGGAGAAGCTGCAGCAGGAGGTCACTGAGCTGCGGAGGAAAGACGCTGAGCTGCTGCAGCTCTCTCACACCGAGGACCACCTGCATTTCCTAAACAACTACCCCTCACTGTCACGTCTGAGTGAGTCTGAAGACTTACCCAGCATTGATAGCTGTCCTCTGCGCTTATTTGAGGATGTGACCGTGGCGGTGTCAAAGACCAGAGATAAACTGCAGGGTGTTGTAACTGAGGAGTGGGAAAACATCTCTCTGGCAGTGACTGGAGTGGATGTTTTAATGACCCAAGCAGAGCCCAGAACCAGAGCTGAATTCAGGAAATATTCTCGTCAAATCACATTGGATCCAAATACAGCACAGAGGCGGTTGTCATTGAGTGACGGGAACAGGAAAGCCACACTAATGAAAGGAGAACAGTCATATTCAGCTCATCCAGACAGATTTGTTGGAAATTGTCAGGTCCTGAGTACAGAGGGTCTAACTGGACGTTGTTACTGGGAGGTGGAGTGGAGCGGGAGAGCTTTGATAGCAGTGGCATACAAGGATATTAGCAGAACTGGGACACCTAATGAATGTAGATTTGGATATAATAACAAATATTGGGCATTAGAGTGTAACCTTGGCAGTAAATATACATTCTACCACAACGATATTTCTACTTCCGTCTCAGGCCCTCAGTCCTCCAGAATAGGAGTGTACCTGGATCACAGAGCAGGTTCTCTCTCTTACTACAGCGTCTCTGACACCATGACCCTCCTCCACAGAGAGCAGACCACCTTCACTCAGCCTCTCCATCCTGTGTTTCGGCTTCTACAAGGTACTGGAAGCTCAGCTGAGTTGTGTGAGCTGAAGTAGGTGGAAGTTTAAATACTGACTTACAGAGTGAAACCAGGACTGGGTTTGATTTGTCTGTGTATTTTTATTTTTATTTGGATAAAATATGGATCTTGTTTGTTGAATTTGTGATTTGTACGTTATATTTTCTCAACATTTTCATTACATATTATGCTTGGAAAAGTACAACATTTACAAATTGTTTATGTTGCTCTAGTTCTGATAATACAAATTCCATCTATTTTGTTAATGTGACCGCAAAAGTATGGGTACAATTTAAATGTAACTTGTGAAAAATAGCTTGCTGATCATCTTTTTATGGGTAAATTCATCTGTCTTTACATTGTAACACGTTTTAGGAATCATTTGTAAAAGGTATATGTTCAAATCACCATTTAACAGCAAACTTCTATCATTTATACAAAAAATTACTTTTGTCGGTTTTTTTCTGCTGAGTATCAATCGTTCAGTTTTTAAGATATTTCGGTAACAAAAAAACCTGTAGATAAATCAGTCAGATAAACCCTATTTGTGAAATGCTGGTTCTTTTGCAAAGGAAAACATTTCAAGACAATATTTCAAAGTGTGTTATTTTCTGTTTTATTACACAACTTTTGAACATTCCACAACAATCATGCAGGAATAAAATAGGAATTATAGAAAGCTTTACAGGCTTCACATTGTCTCAAAAACACTCGATAGGTGAGTTAAAGTTTGGGAAATCATCACCTACAGACAACATACCATGTGTTGCTTTATTGCTGAAGATGGTGTGAAGAGTACATCACTCCAAAAATAATAAAGGAAAAAGGAAATATAACATAAAATATGAATATTTGTGCACTGATTTCACTTACAGCTTAATGACAGGAATTACTATAAATTAGGCATATTATTGAGTCTTTAGGTAAACCAACTTCCATAAACATCCTTATCCCTTTTGTGTTGTCCTCATTCGGAGGTCCATATCCAAAATGTCAGTTCAGTTCAAATGTCGGTCAGAAAGAAAAAAGTACTTTGCATGACATACGTTCCTACAACTTTTCCCAAAGCATTTAACCCTCCTGTTGTCTTCAGGTCAAATCTGACCGATTTACTACTTTCATCAATCATAACTTTTTTGTTTTACATTCGATTGCATTAAGGCTTTATGATATCCTTCACAGTAGACAATTGAACATATACAATTGCTGATCACCACTTTCATTGAATTTTGGATGATTTAGTCAACTTTGTAACCATGGTGTTCCCGCCATAAAGAAAAGGAATTAGTAACCATCCGGATCAGATAAAACACACACACACACACACACACACACACACACACACACACACACACACACACACACACACACACACTCTAGATGTGTGCCCCCCCTTATGTGCCCATCCCCCCACATGGATCACACCTGGCACACGCAATACATGTTCAGTGTCTATTCTTTGTATATTTACTGCAGTTTTTCATGTATACCAGTAGTCTGATACAATATTTACAGTTTGAAAGGGTGTTAAATAAAATTTGGTGATGATTAATGGGTTTTGTGTTAATGTAATAGCAGTTAAAACAGGACCGGTCCAATTTGACCGCAAACACCAAAGTAAGGGGGGGAAAACGAGGACAATAGGAGGGTTAAATAAGAGCTCAGAGCTACTCAGTGAAACATATGTACACAGGGTGCTCTGAGGTGACTCTTTACATGCTGACAAAATCAGTCATTACACGGTTAACATGTGAATGTATTCACTTTAAAACAAATCTGGCAACAGTGCAGAAAAACAAATATCTCCGATAATAAGACAAAAGTGTTGTGATGTTCAGATGTTAAAGTCCTGCTTTATTTGTTACCCAAATCTTAACCATGTCAAACAATGTCTCTGTACTATTAACATTTATATCTCAATACATTTTCTTTCATCAGTAATAAGATTAAACATTTTCCTGGGGATTCTTTCCATGTCCTAAGTTAAATTAATAATTACTGTTACAGGTAAGGAAATCTTAATTAAAATCACATGAACACAAAAGATGACAAATCCAACAAAGAGTTGATCACCAGGATTTGGTTTACACATTATCCAGCTACCAATGATTATTTTACTTTTTTTTTTTGTTTTGTTTATTAGTTATCTTTTGAGCTGTCTTTCCTAAAAGCCGAAGACATTTTTGGGAATATTAATTAACATTAAAAAAAGGACCAAGATCTGCAGATGAAAGATTGTATGGATTTACAGAAATTAGTGGTAGAGAAACTAGCCCCTGTTCCACCAGCAACACCTCCTGGGAACTAACGCTGTTGAATGTTCACAAAATAAACGTTTATGTTAATTTAAAGACTTGGTGCTTTTAAGTGCAAAGGGAAATACCTAAGTTAGACTTAAATATGAATATAAAAGTCAATAACGTTTCAGCTTTTAAAAAGCAACATTAACATGCGGAGGCTCGTGGAACAGAGGCTCCCATAAACATGGAGCAGGACAGATAAAGTCCTTTTTCAAAGCAGATATTTGACCTGGTAAAGAAAACAAATAATGATGTGTTGCTCATTTACGGTTAATGCAAGTGTCTCAGAAATCAGTGACATGGTGACAGTGAATTTTATACCGTGACAGTCTAAGATGTCTTCTGTGAAAAAGGGACTGCTCAGAAAACAGAGCATCCTGCCAGCATCCCTTTAGCCTCCCTCTCATCATAGGCATCAAAAAGCCTTGAAAACGAGTAATATAAACAAAAACAACCAATCTAACACAAAGACTGTAAAAAAAACCTCAAACTCAAGAATGTAAAACAGGCGTCATGTCAGACATAACCTAACAAAAATCCATCATTAAAATATCCAACGTGGCTCCCTAAGAACTATAATTAAAAGAGAACTGCTGCCAAAGTTGAATAACAGATTATATAAATACGATAAATTGCGAGGAACTAAGTTTACATTATCAATGTGTAGCCATTTACAATGCATTTAAGAAACTGGCTTTGTGACACCTTTAAAATGCAATTTAAAGTATTTTTCCTCATTCAAACAATCATACTACCCACTGGGATAAATTCAAAAAGTTGAGATAAATGTACAGGACTACTAAAAGTATTTATTTTTCTATTTCATGTGCACCACCTAGTACTTGTATTGAAGCAAATAAACGTTTTAAATAACCTCCAATTAACCATCTACATACTGCTCTATAATCCAATACCACATATAAACTGTGCCACAAGATATTATAGCTGTCAGTGATTAAACACTTAAACTCTATTGTTTTTACTTTTGGACAGTTTTGCGGTCCTTGTAGTATTTCCATGTTATTATATTTTTACTCCACTACAATTTGGAGGCAAATATTGTAATTTTTACTTCAGTACAATAATTTGACAGCTGCAGGTATGTTTTCAGATTATTATAATATTTTTAAATACTATGCTTGAAAGATTAAACCTTTTCATTTGTGTAGCTTGTTACCCCTAACAAAAAGTGATTATCAAATTATAAAAATACTTATGCATCAATAATAACGATCAACAATATTACATGTATAATAACAGATAAGACAGGGGTCCTTTTTCTGCATAATGAAGTTTTAATTGTATTACTTTAGGTACATTTAGCTGGTAATTCTGTATTTTAGGTTTGTTTATATTGAGTGCAGTATTTATATAAATAAATGTGTACTTTCACTTAGAGATAATGATTACTTTTTCCATGGCTAATCTCACAAAAATAATTTGACAAAAGAAATCAGTCTGCATTTTGGATCAATGTTAAAGCCTGTTATTCATTGAAAACATTTATTACATTTTAATGATGCAAACAACAGCAAGTCCCACCCTTGTTGAAACAGCTCATCACTTAGTCATGAGGGAATGAAAGAGACAATAAGGGACAGGGACAGAAAAAGTGTGTATTACACGTAATTCCATTGTTTCTGTAAAAAAAACAAAAAAAACATGACAATCAGCTCTCATTGTACATTTTGGCATCTTTTCCCTCCTGTTGTATTCTGGAATAAGGGTCAATAAAAATCAAAAGAACAAGGCATGCATAATAGTTTCTGGTAATGCACATAGATCAAAAGGATACCACTTATAAAGTACAAAATCAGCGTACGATGTTCATGTACACTTCATATATATGGTTCCTTTCTTAGAGGTGTCTGAGGCCTATCTACCTGTTCCCGCTGTGGTACTGTGCCCTCCGTTATCTACTCTTGGTCACTAGATTCACCCTGTACAAAGGTCTAGGCCAGAAAATATATCTGTAGGATGGACTTCTTATATTGATGATTACTAGGTGTTACAACCATCTTTCCTCCCTTCACCGCTTACTGCATGTTATCAAGCTATTTGTCCCAAAGTTTCATTTACTTAAATAGTTTCCGTCGCATCCACTGATCATTGTGCTATCTACACGATTTCCTCAAACCTTGCAGGGTTATAGCCAGTATTACTTTCTATTAAAATTCTTCATCCACCCGCTTTACTACCGCTTAACTATGCTTCTCTTTAAAAAAAAGGGGAGCCCATCACAGCTTACTGGAATCCATTCAATTCTACTGTGCCCATAAGATAGAAGTCAGGAACAAAAGTATTATCTTCAAAGAAACCTAAAATACACTAAGATAAATGCACTGTTCCATTTTAATAAATGGGTGAAAACAGCCACACATTCATAGTGACGGCTATATAGGTGGCCACACTGTTTATTTACTGAAATCATGTCAAAGTAAAACAAATTAAAGAAAGAAAAAGGACAAACCAAAATGTGTTGGTTAAATACAACTTTGGAATGAATGACTTTACTGTTACAAAGAAAAAAGAAAGTGTACTGCAATGTATACAACTATGTTGCTCTCTCGTAGCTCGAACTAAGATGAAGAGGCAGCTGGGATTGTTGATAAAGCGATGGAATCATGTTCTGATTTACAGTTATAATGAATCTATCATCACACTCAACAGATGGCAGGAAGGGAGGGAGAGAGGAAAGCAAACAAAAGACACAATATAGAAAAGATTCATCCGTTTGAATTTGAACACCCTTTGCTGTCGAACCAACGCTATGATACTCCCTTAGAAAAAGACAAAGATGGAAATGAGTGTGTGTGTGCACGTACAGGTATGAATTCTGCAAGTGCGGAACCAAATGTTCGACCAATAAAAGTCTATTGGGATCAAGTTGAACTGGTCTCTCTGAAGGTGGAGGCAGACTTGTTTAACCAAACATGGGGCTGAGAATGATGGTACGGGTGGCATTGCTGGGCGTCTTGAGTGGTCGGGTTTAGCGCCCCCCTGATGATGGTGGTGGTGTCGGTGTTACGGGGCGTGGCTGCTTTAGTCGATGTACTGTGAGAGCCAGCGGAAGCCCTCGCCGTAGCCCTGCCTCTTCAACACACTGCACATGAACACTTCCAGTGGTCTTGTGTTCAGCTCCTTCATGGCAATTGTGCCCTTAAAGAAAAGCAGGAAAAAAAGTCCCATTAGATCCACTGTTTTTAGTTCATGACACCATATCTGACAAATGTTTTTCATCTTCCAATAGTCAAACCCTAGGTCTTTTTTCATTCTCGTCTCTGGTTAACAATTTCAGAAATGAATCTTTTCCCACTTTATTTAGAACTCTATTTGTCTGATCATAAGAATCATACTGCTGTGTCTACTCACCTTTCCTGTCGTCTGTCCGTACAATCCAAACATTTCTCTCAGCTTCTCCTCGCTGATGGCCTCTGGTCTGTCGATCTTGTTGCCCAGGATCAGAATAGGCACATTTCCAATAGTCTCATCTGTCATTAATGCCTGATAGGGTAGACCAGAGTATTACTATGCAGCTTTCATATTTATCATTACCGTAAATAAACAAATAAAAAATCTCCCCCTCAGATACTACTACAGTATTATCATTGACGTCTACTTTAATTTCCTAGACTTTCCAGAAATACACTTTCCTAGGAACTGACAGAAGTGGAATGCGTTGTATTTGTTAGAAGGCAGACAGTGAAGGGTGCTGTGCGTCATTATTCATTTTACAAAAAAGCCATGAAACAATGCTTTGCATTTAATGAGCTATTATGAGAGAAGAAATTAGGAGCTTTGCCTCCTTTACAATGGATTTGCTTTTATACAGCCAATTGACATTTGTAGTCTAAGTGGAAGCAGGTACTTACATCAAGTTCAGATTTAGATTCGCCCAATCTAATTAAGTCTGCACAATCCACAAGGAACACAATGCCATTGATGGCCGGGAGGTAGTTTTTCCACACTCTTCGGGCTGTATGAACAAACAAAACACAAACATTTTGAGTTTTACACTCAAGTCTGTTATACAATAGACACATTCTGCATTAACTGATTTTACAGTGATATATGGCACTGGCCTTCCTTTTTTTTTTAACAAGAGTATTAACAGGATGGGCACTTTCATTTGCAGCAGTGGTACAAATTGGTATTGTAGCTTTAATATCACATACCGTGACCAATAAAGCCCAAAAACATTAGTATACACAACACACACATACCTTGTGCGTGGCCTCCAAGATCGAAGGTTGTGAAAGTCATGCCAGCAATTGTCAGCTCTTCCGAGGCTGGAGGAAAGAAAGGAAATTATAATGAACAAATCTGAAAAGTCAGGCAACCCAAAAGTCACTGATCATAAATGTCTACGTTTGCATTTATCTCTCAACACATCACTGAGTGAGCATGTATGTGAGAGTAGCACCAACTCACTTGGATGTAAAGTTGGCACATGCTGTCCCAATCTGTCATCTTTGAGCATGTGCAGTAGTGTTGTTTTGCCAGCATTGTCCAGGCCAAGAAATACTAACTTGCCTGATTTCTTGTACAGTCCTGAAACAAAACCGGAGGCATTTTAGAAAACAAAGCTGGGACAATAGAAATATTGCACTGTACTATACTATGCTTAGTCCTTTTAATTCTCACACAAAGGAACATGTCAAGTGAATTTGGGTGATGAGTCAAGTGGTATTGAAGGTATGTCATGGCTTTCTTTTTAAATTAAGCATAAAGAGGACAAAAGAGTTGTCAAACTTAGCCTTGGTCTCACTTTGATGCACCAGTGGCGGTGCTCCACCCTCTGATTTTCCCTTTCTCTAATCCTTACTTTGTGAATGTTAAATTAAAAGGCAACCTTGCTGGAAAAAATAAGTAGCAGTTGATTTGTTTTATTCTATGAAGGAATGACATTCAGTCATATTCATTTGTATTAAAAAATACAAATCCTCAGATGTACTGATTAACTGTACACAGGAGAAAAAGGTTAAACTCAATCCTCCCTCAACTTTCCAGACAAGATTACAAGGCTTTGCGTTGACCTCTCTCTGTGATTCAGCGTACTGATAACAGTTGGATTTGTAAACGTGTGACTGAGTCAGCTCTACTAGACATCGCCATTTCTCACAACAGCACTTTGCTACTTGTCGGACCAGGAGAACAGGAACGACTGCTTCACAGGAGCTGCGCTAACACAGAAACTAGAACAGCGCTCTTTGGGGAGAGGAGCAGCTGGTCCACTTCAAAATTACACTTGACAATGAAGTTGACTTTGAGAGGGGGTTGGCCAAACATTTAAGTGTTGATATCGTCAGGTAGTATGTACTAGGTAGTACTCTGAAAACGGTAGGATTGGCACAGGTTGCTTATAAGTTAAGAAGCAGAGTGTTGACTAACAGTGATCGTGATCAATGCACACAGTTTACCAGAAACATGTTCTGTAAGTGCACATTGTGGGGCAGATTTTAGATTTCATTTTATAAAACATTATATTGAATTGCTTTTCATTGGCAGGGAAAAGACTCAATCAGCACTTTTACGCTTCATGCCGGCGTTCACCCAGCCACGGGTTTAAGCTACGGACACAACTTTACTGGAAAGGTTTTATAGCTTTAAAACGTGTAATGTGGAGCAGTTAAGAAGGGGTGCCTACGGAACAGAGATTCAGATTTGAGTCTGTGTGGCACAACGTTAACTCTTGCAGTATTACTCCGCTTCTACCACAATAGGGATGTATTTCTAAGAACAAAGCGCACTATTGTGAAGAACACACTGAGCCCCGGTTTTCACTGAACACTTCAGGACTGAGGTGTGAGACAGAGCAGTCGTAACAATTCAGGTTGTTCTTGTGATCACTAAAGACATTAATCAGACTCAACTCCGTCTGATACTATCAATTCTGATCCCAATGCAATACAATAGCTTTGTAGTTCACAATACCCTTCTGATTAATGATTTAAAATACAAAAGCAGTCCAAACTGTTGCAGTAACTTCTTAAACATGTCAGCAAAGAGTTCCTGTTTATTTTCAGTTAGTGTGTCTGATCAACAGTACTTACCTAACAACTGTAGTACACTATTGAAACCGCTATAAATCCAATCAAATATGAAAGACATATCCGGAGCTGTTGAATCCTGAAAAACAACAAATGGGGGGAAAAAGCAGATGTAAGAAGACATGAATGTACACAGGACGAGAAAATGAACTGCTAACATTTTATTTTGGATGTAACCTCTATCATGATCATATGTGTGAGCAAAAACGTAGCAAATAGGTGTGAATAAATGTCATGTTATAATACAAATCGTCTTATGTTGTGCGTTTTCCCAAAAGGTTCCCCTTGACGACACATAGCTAAGGTTGTGTTTGTTTTTTTGTACATTTGGTTGTTACTGATCTTATCCAGACTGTTAGTTTCTACCACTGAACATTATATACTGAACAGTAAACAATATCAAGGAAACAAGTGTCAGCATTTAACTCTTGAAGTATACTTCGTGGAGGATTTGGACAGCCTTATTAAGACAGTATCCTTCATCCCCTAGCATGAACAGAATACTGATATACAAAGAGTTTCTACAATAGCTTTCATGACACACGCATGTATAATCTCTGCTGAAATCTGCATTACAATGGCAGGCTGTTTATGTTTCCATTCTGCTTCAAAGTTGAAACTTTACTTAAATAGCTCAACTGTAGGGAAACGTTGAGGTCGTACCTTATTTTGTAATATATAAACAATATTTTTTATTTAAAATGCAGAGAGGGGAATAAGTAAGTATATACATATGCATATTCCTAGATTATTTGGTCAAAATAATTGTTACCATAATGATAAAAATAATGTCTTAATGCCAAATTTGTTACAACACTGGAACTAAACCAGATTGATGCGACAGCACTGCCTGAGAAAATGACGCCTGCCTTAACCCATCAGCAGGATATTGGCAGATGATAAGAACAATGATTGTATTTATACATCCAATGATTAGCTTGTTCCAGTAAGAGTCTTTGAACAGCAGGACAGGAGATTCACAGCACTGATCACATGCCATCGGACAGCTCTTCAATAGGCAACACAAGTGTTTTGTTCAACACAGTTAATCTACAAGGGCCTTGGAACTTAAGCCTAGTCTTACCCTTTCATGATAAGAAATCCAGATTGTATTTCAAATGAAACCAAATAGATCTTATATAGGACCAGCTTTAAATGTGGGGAGCTGAGAACATCTGAATCACTACATGCTACAGCGTGTTGCTTTTGATGAAACAAAACTTATGCTTTGTTCATTTGTTGTTCTAGCTCACTGAAGGTTATTTTAAGTGATTTGTGGGCAGTGAGAATCTGAGAAAAGGGGGGGGGAAAAAACTCTATAACTTAAGGACAACGTTTAATTTATATAATTGTTTACACTTTTGTTTGTTTACACTTCCCCATAATTCATCATGTTTGCTCCATAAGGGAGACACACACACACACAGTCTTTTCAAACTTCATCTCAGTTCCTTGTCTTTTCTCTTTCACTGTTGCAGAGGTAAGTTTTCACCGACCTCTAGCACCAGTTACATAATAGTCAAACAACTCTGAGGCTAAAGTATAAGGTAGCCAAAGGTCAAGAACACGCAAACACAGCTGAACTGCACGTCAGCTGCTGCTAACTCCTGTCCCATATTCTCTCATGCCTGCTTCCACACCTTCTACGAGGCTGTGAGCTGGTCTCATGGACTGAAGCTCCCACGTGTGACGTGATGCAGCTGTGAATGTAAAACTGTTTCAAAGTAGCTGTAATATGTTCATTTAAGACACAAATTGTGTGTTGCATTGAGAGCGTTTGCCAGAAGGCAGCAGCCGTAACTTGCTTAAAATGATCCGTTTTACTTATAATTGAGTTCATGGATAATGAACAGGAGGAATTTGGTTAGAAGTGCCCCCAGAGCTAAACTGACTATCAATGAGACATCTGTTATGTATTAAATATGTCAGATTAGTTATTGACATTATTTTAGGTTAACTCTTTCAGAACAGGCTTCATTAAGTCTGAAGAGAAGTGTTACTACTCAAACGTCACCAAACTACAAATTGTGACGGTTTGCCCCAATAACTATCCACTAGTGGTGTAATGTAACTAAATACATTGACTCAGGTTGTACTTTTTACTCCATTACATTTATTTGACATATTTGGTTACTAGTTACTTTGCAGATCAAGATTATTAAAACAAAATAAAAATCAACACACATTATAATATTATAGGTGAAGCTACCCAGTAGAGTATAAATTAAATCAAATAATCCTCACCTTTACCTAGTAAAACATTGAAGTGACGAATACATAAACGCACCAATCACTCTTTTTTAAATAATAGGAATATATAAATATTATACATTTACTCAAGTACTGTACTTGAGTACACTTTTGAGATACTTGCATATCATACTGAAAGGGGCCAATCTGCATAATTAGTACTTTTTACTTTCAGCCCTTTGAGTATATTTTGATGCTGGGACTTTTGTACTTTTACTTAAGTAAGATTTTGAACACAGTATTCCTGCTCTTTGGTGGTTCTACTTTTACTAAACAAGATCTGAATACTTCTTCCACCTCTGCTATCCACCATCTACCTCAATTCTTAAATTGCTGAAAAATAACTGGAAATGTTTCTTCACGTTCAACATGTGTTTCTTATGTAGTCTAAAGTTAAGCATATCAGTAAATATGTGTTTCGGTTCACAAATTAAGTAAATCACTGACTAGCTTAACATTTTCCTTCCAAAGTTTTCTTTGCAGATATGGATTAATGATATAAATCATAATCAACACTTACATAAGACTTTAGTTACACCTGTATTAGTATTTCTGCTCTTTGGTAGTTCTACTTTTACAAGTACAAGATCTGAATACTTCTTCCACTAAAGATCGGTGTCTGACCATTTCTGTGTCAAAGATAAAATAAAAGAAAGGTGCAAATATATGATTAATAATGTCAATGATAGACGCATACGTTAATTGTATCTGTTTAAACCCAGTTTTAGGCCGACTTGTAGGGAGGCTAGCAGGAAGCCACTAGCTACGTGTCATATTCTCTGACAGGCGACGTTGCATCAACTTGCTACGTTAGCTAATCAGCCGTTATCTAGATACTTCACTAACCAACACCAGATACTTTAATTTTTTCGAGTATTTTGGTTCTATTAATACATTTGAATGTTGAGATAAATACAACAGTGGGTCAACTTCAGTTTAAATGCACCTCGAGGAAAATAATAGGCAAGTTGGTGTTAGCAATGCTAACGTAGCACCGTTAGCAGCCGGGATAATTTGCTAGCCGAGATGCCGACGGCTAACATAAGACTATTTTTCTTTTCTCGAGATCATATATTTTAACACTTACCCGTTATTTATGTGTAGATTAGTTAACAGAGTGTGTTGGCTCTTTCTGTCATGTAAATTGGTCTCCCGGTCCAGCGAAATGCCAAGTCTTCCTCTCCTTTTTCGTGTTTTGTTACTGAGCCACGACAGTGCAATGGCTTCTCAAGCAACTCCCAAAAAAACTCTGACCGGCCGCTTCCTGTTTATGTTTCACAATCATCTTTCCGGCAGGAGAACTCAAATAAAACGTAGTGTTCTTTAACACATATCATATCACAAATTTCACTGGATGTATTGTTAATTAAATATTTAATTAAGGCACAGGTGGAAGAAGTACTAAGATTATTTACTTAAGTAATGTAGCAATAATTACAGTTTAACAATACTCAGTTACAAATAAAAGTCCTGCATTCAAAATTGTACTTTAGTAAAAAAGTATTAGCGTCAAAATATACTTTAAGTATCAAAAGTAAAAGTACTTGTTATGCAAAAAGGCACGTTTTTAAAATTATTTTATTAAAATTATTGGTGCATTAATGTGGTCATCACTTTCATGTTGTACTTAGGAAAGATGGGGTTTATAGATTAATGTATACGCTACTGTTTAGCTCAATCTATACAAATATATGATTATGTATGTGTCGATTTCCATTTTTGTATTAGCCTAAATATTCAAAGTAACTAGTAAATAAATATCTGAAATAAATGTTGTGGCGTAAAATGTATAAAGCATAATGTGAAAGTACTCATGTGAAGTTTAAGTACCTACATGTTTTACTTGAGTACAGTACTTGAGTAAATGTGCTCAGTTACATTACACCACTGGTGAAATGCAATGTAATGTAATGTAAACTATAACGAATCAAAACGAACAACCCTGAAACGATGTATCTCTGCTTGTTAGATAACAGTTTTGCTATGTATCATGTACATTCATGAACTAATAATACATTTTATTTTTGTTGTGCTGGGTAGGAAGTGTGAATTGGTATCTCTTTAAATGAAAACACTTGCTACTGTGAACATGATCACAGTTTAAAAACTTTCTTTAATATTTAGGTCAAAATTACCCTTGTGATTGTGAGATTATTATAGTGCCAACCAGGCAGATGTTACTAAATCCAAATTACATTATTACATACTGTAAAAATACTATGAAATACACGCAATTAAAATACTTCACTCTCTCCTCTTGTTTCCAGTACACTGGAAAACCCAGAGCACCAGAGGAAATGCCACGTGTACATACTGCGCATGCCCGACGAGTTTTACGTGTATCCGTCTGGGTGATCCCAACTTCCGGTGAAAGAGAAGTGTCTTACGATTACTCTTGACAAGGCCTATCGTTACTCACCCGTTAGGTAGTTGGACGGGGTTTTCGGTAATAACTATGGCTCTGTGATCATCAACGAGTCAGGTTATTTACTTTTTTTAAGAAATAAGGAAACGTCACTACTATAGTCGCTGCTTTTAGTAAACACCGCATCGTCAGAGCCACAGGTTTGAACGTTAACAGCTAGTTAGTTAGCTAGCTAACACGTAAGCTAGCTATTCGCCAACCCAAGCACCTCTAAATTAAGTCCTGGTGTCTATTTCAAAATGTCAACTGCAGGGTTTAACTCTCAGAATGGGACCGGGACAGGACAGACATACACCAATGGTGAGTAACATTTTTATGAAAGTAAAGACAGGTAAAGGCCAAGTAGCTAACATGAGCTAAGCCGACATACGCTAAAGTAATATGCTAAAACTAGCACATCTTGGATCTTGCCTCTATTTGCTAAATGTTAGCTTGCCTAACACCACTGTAATTAAAGGAAGCGAAGCAATAGCGAGGTTTTAGGTTAATATTGACCTGTGTTACTTTACTGACTTGAGATGGTTGAAATGCTATCGGTAAGGTGTGCCAACTATACTTGCCATACCAATTAACTCAAACGTGTGCTACCTTTGGTTTGTTGGAAGACTGACAACACGACGGGTAAACGGGCATCAAAACTTTTAAGACGAGTCTTGGGTCAGTCCCATATTCTCCCAGTAAACACAACAGCGGTGATATGATAACACTTGTTCTGCTCCTGTCATGCTGCTAAACTGGCCGAAACTTTTCCTGTCAAAGTAAAACATAAATAATACTCTTTTAGCATCTACCTTCTTAGAGTGTTTTCTATACATTTACATTGTCCTTGAATAATCACATCTTCATGTTTATTAGTCCACTCTCTTTTTTTGCATTGCTAGTCTTTTGCAGGCTTGGTAGCTTGGACATTTTTGCTTTCTACGTTTCAGTGTACATGTGGCAAATTGGGGATGCTCCAGATTTGTTGCTACAGAGCTTTCTCCAGCAGGCTCATACAATGACCAACTTCATTAGAGATTACTACATATTTGTATCAGTTTCCCAGGCATGTTGTGGAAAAAACAAAACCCACTCAGTGACATCTGACACAAGTTTGGTTGATTGCAACCCTATTGTTGATGGAGGTTTAGGAGCTTTCTTACACTGTGAAGATGCAGCTTGTGTTTAAAGGTCCCATGACATGGCCATTTCTACTGATCATAATTCCATTGTTGAGGTCTACTAGAATAGATTTACATTGTTCAATATTCCAAAATCACATTGGTTTCTCATACAGCATCTCTGTATAGTATGTGTATTCACTCTGTCCTAAACGGATTGTTGGAGCTCCTGCCCCCCCCCTCCCTATGAGCCCACTGTGCTCTGATTGGTCAGATCGCCCACTCTGTTCGGATGAGTCCACCACCGTTACAGCGGAACATCAGTGATTATGTGTTACAATGGCGTTAGCAACCAGAAAATGACACCAGTAAGGACAAACAGATGAGAATGCTGCGTGGGGTCTGGGTGCCGTGTTGCCGGGATGTTGTGGGGCTCGCTACTGCGGATAGTGTGAGCTGGATTACTGGGGTCGTTTCCTGGTTGCTGCGTGGGGTCTGCGAGACTGCGAGACACCGCGAAACTCACCTGAACTCAGCCTGAGCACACACACACTCGTAGCCTGGCTGTGAGTTTGTGTGTGTGTGTGCTCGGGCTGAGTTTCGCGGTGTCTCGCTGTCTCAGGCTGAGTTCAGGCTGACAAATCCGCGGAGTACAGCGACTGAGAAAAGATAAGGAGGAGCTCCACGGATTGGTCCATTTGGACCTGGACATGGTTACGTCACCATACTCGGGAAGAAAAAAATGGAAAAATAAAAATCTCCAAAGAGGCGTTGTGGGTCAGCATAGACGGGTCTTTTCTGTGTTAGAGTTTTACTCGCTACAGGGCATACTTTGAGGGTTTGTGACTTTGCAGACCGTTTACATGCAGAAAAAGCTACATAACACACAAGGGGACGGGTAATAACCGGAAAAGCATGACATGGGACCTTTAAATGCCTCAGGCGGTTTTCTAAAACTGTAGATGGGTCCAAAATTCTTATTGCTCATTACATCTATCTTGAATCAGACGGGTCAATAAAGGATGATAATCTACCTCTGTTCTTAAAGCTTTGATCAATCTGAAAACAATGTGTGTAAGACTGAAGAAACAAACCACCATCACTAATGCTAAATAGGATTTGTTGTCAGAATAGTGCTTGTAAATGTATTATCATGGGATATCATTGATGTGAATAAGCAATTCATAAGGTGAACATATCTTTAAATTCAATCATATGCATGTGCATTGAGTTATTTATTGTAATGTTTTACTTTTGAAATTGGTTGATTTGTGATTGGCTGCATTATGATTCCATATTGGGCTCTTTCTGATTGGATAAGAGCTGTAACTGATAGGAGCTTTAATTCTTAATAATTCAGTCTGTGGTGGATTAACTGCTTTTATTGTTGTTTGTTAATCCCTTCGGACTCTCACGCTCTGCTTCCAGTCATGTTGTATAGGACTAAGTGGTTAGAGTGCATCTGTTTACATAACGGAACATTTTAAAATTCAAACAGCTTGAGGTGTCATTTAAGCAGTCTGCATGTTAAGTTGATATTTAGTTAGTCCTACTACAATTATTAATTCCACGTTTCTTTTTATTCCCACCAATACGAATTTGAGATCAGCTTTTTTGCTATTGGCGAGAACTTTCATCGTCTACTATTTATACAAAAAACAGAGTGAATCCTGTTATTGTGATACTTGGAATTTGGTATAACACCGCAATTTGACATTAAAGAAGAAACAAATGCGACATTTTAGTTTTGTATCCGTACAATTTAAAACTAAGCTTGTGAAGTGGTTTACTAAAACTGTTCTGTCTTGTAGGGGCTTAGAGCCCCCTACTCACTGTCACTGAGGGCAGATCATGGAATTAATTCCAGGTAAAGAGATTAGACCCTGGGCTGTCAGTTCCTTGGTAATTTGGTGAATCTGATTGGTTTTACTATGGTGTTTACACTACTAGTACTGCACCATCTGTTTTCCATTCACCTTTTGGATCTGTGCTACCAAGGACTTTCTTGGGTTTAAGACACTGCTAGCTAATGTGGCTTCTGAGCCTTAAGGCACGGACACACCAGGCCGATTATCGGCGTCGGTGGGCGTTAGGCCGACGATGAGTGTCGACACGCCATACTCAGATTGGTGCGTCCTGCACCGTCGGGTCTTTTCAGCCGGGCCGACGCCTTTTCGGACGAAAACCCACCAATTCAACATGTTGAATCGGCGGGCAGTCGGCCAAAGGCAGTCGGCAAAATAAATCACTCTGATTGGCTGTTCAGCTAGCGAATCAGTGCATGAGAAGCGAAACGGAAGTGAGGGACCCAAACAAACTATTAAGAAGGCAAATCTGAGATTTCATTTAACTCCAGCTCTCGACACAGGTTCGGGAAAGCGCCATGAGCTTCTCGCTGTAGAGTGAAAATGGAACGCACACGCTATTTGTTGTTTGTTTATATCACGCAGTCTGTTCTTCTTCTCTCGGTTATCACGCAGTCTGTCTTCCGGTTGTTGCCTCTTTTGAATGACGAATACACACTACCGCCGCCTGCTGGTAAGGAGAGTTATTGCCACTCACGCATGCGCAGTTCGTACGTGCTTCTTGGCCGTCGGCTGAAGTCTTTGCGGTGTGTTCCAGTGCGACACATGGCCAAAACGCAGAGACGCGAGGCGACGCAACAGTCGGGGTTCGTCTGTGTCAGTTCTTTGTTGTCAGATTGGTGTGTCCGGGCCTTTAGAAGTACCACAGAAGCATTGCATAAGGGCTCTGGTCAAGTGGGACAAGATCATTACCTAGAGAGCTGCAATCCTTTTTCAGATTTGGGCATTGGGCACAAAGAGGGGAGTCCAGGAACCCATTTTTCTCGCCACAGCGGCAGCACTGCTGAACAACAATTTGAAATGAATAGTAGTCGTGAACATTTGCCGCTGAAAATTGAATTGCTCTAACATTGAAACATTGAAAGAGTGTCTGAAAGTACCATCTCGTTGGAAGGATCTGTGTCGTCTTATGATAAGAGATATGTAATATTTATCAAAACAAACATTGGCCTGTTGTATTTGGTATTTGATCGAGATGTCCTAACATGCCTTCCTTCTCCCTGTCTGCTCCAGGTCCGTCACAGAATCCAGTTGCTGTGCAGCAGCTTCCAGGGGGCAGCTATGGAATGACTCAACAACCAACCTACAATCCAATGCAGGCCAAAGCTCCTGCACCCCTCGGCCCTGGACTCTACCCCTCTGGGCCCTACCAACCTGCTCCCCCAGTCAGCTCCTACCAACATGCCCCCCCTGTCAGCTCCTACCAACCAGCTCCTCCAGGCCAGCCGCTGATGACCAGACCTCTGTTGGGAGGTCCTCCATCCCACACCCCCCCTCAGTCTGCCAGCCCTGGTCCGAGATTGCCCCCTCCACAGGCCACACCTCCTCCTCCTGCTGTGTCTTCAAGTAACTATTACCCTAACCCCCAGCAGCCCCAGCACATGCCTCCAGCATGGCAGTACAACAACGCTCCCCCACCAATGGGGTCACCCTCTTCCATGGGCACACCTCCCCGTGGCGCCATGGCCAATCATGTGAACCCAGCTGCAAGCTCGACAGCGCCGCTGCTGCCACCGTCAGCAGCTTACAGCTCTGCACCGGCAGCCCATGTTTCCCATAGTGGCGCACAGCCTCCAGGCCCAGGGAGCCCCCCCACCTCTCTGCATGGATATATCCAGCCAGGTAAGACACAAAGGCTCCACTGAAATTCTGAACTGTACCATCTATATGCACAACACTTTTTAATTTTTTAATAAAGGATAAGATTTTCCATACACAAATACACAATTGCTAGCTTGCCTTGACTCGGTTTCACTCAGTACGTCCTCCCAGCACAGCAGTCATTTGTATCTCCATTACCAAAAGGCTGCCCGCTTTAAGATGTGTGTAACCATGACTCTAACTAATGGTCATAGAAGCAGCTTCACAACAGTAGATAAACACAGTTTGTTCATCAGCGGTAACTTAACACAACTCTTCTACAGCTCAAAGCAAAACAATAAAAATAAAGCAGATACCTAAAAAAAGCCTACAAACAGGCAGACAGGAAGTGGCTAATCTAAACTTGAAACCAGAACGTCAACGCATTCCCCCGCCCCCGTAAAACTGGGAACGCAAGACGGTGCAGCATGGTTTGATTCGACGTGGTCAAAAGGGCCAATTTAAATGCCATATAATGATGCTGACACTCCTTGGGTCACATCAATAAAAAGATGAATCATGTTTAGTTTCAATAAATGAGGCAGGTGAACTTTAGCCCATTAAGTCCGGGGTCCTCATTATTTAGCCACAGTAATATGTGTTTTGTCTGTTTTTTAAAGACTAAGACTGTTTTTTAAGATTGATCCTCTTCTAAAAACTTTTTTTATAGCCATATTACTCTGTCTTTCATTGTCATTGTTTTCTTTCACTGATGTACATATGCGTATCAAGAGTGCTGATACGTTGGAGCCGGACCTTGTCCTCTCTTCCTACTTTGTACATGATAGTTGGCTGCAGTCTTTGGCACAGAGTAATTTACTCTGAATCTGTACAAAGTTCAAATCAGAATTGTGTGTGATTCTTATTTAGCAGCATGACGTGGCTTTTTGGATAGAGTAACATCTTAATTTCAATTTAGGGGGAATATTGTATTGCTAACATTTTTGATTTCCACTGGTGATATTAACAGAAATCCCACAGATGATTCGTACGGGCAGTCATAACATTTGATTCATTCAGCTAGTAGTTTAATACCACAAGTTAGAGCTTTTCTCTGACACAACTACTGTTGGAATACTGAGAAGTAGGGCTGCTCGATTATGGCAAAAATCATAATCACGATTATTTTGGTCAATAATTGATATCACGATTATTAAATACGATTATTCATTGACTTTGAAAACATCAATTTATTGAACTTTAAAACAAATAATTTGAACAGTATCTTTTCAACTGTTGATTACCCTGAACGTATAATTCAACTGAAAAACCAATACAAAAATAAATTAAATAAATGATATATTTAAATAAATAATATCAAAATAATAAATACCAATAAACAAGATCAACAAATATTTTGGAGCGCACTTCCACAAGCTACTAAACATATATAAATATGATAAATAAAAATAAATTAGACTAAAATTAATTAGATCAAATATGTTGTAGTTCACTGTCACAACCTAGCAAAGCTAAATAATAGTTTTTTTTCGATTATGTTGTTTTTGTAATTGTGGCAGGCCAAAATCGTAATTGCGATTAAAATACGATTAATTGCACAGCCCTACTGAGAAGTGTTTAGCTCTCAGCGTCGAAAACAAAAGACGACTCGTAGAGAATCTCAGTAACTTTTTATCTGAAGGAAGTAAGTATGACTTTGGTTTTGCAATCTGCGGTCACAGTGTCTGAATGATTGGTCATAGCACTTTGTAAGGAACCTTGATTTTTTTTTTAAAGCTTAGAGCAGGGAAGTACTTCTGCATAGAAGCAGAGGTCACATGATGACCTCAGTCTGGCTGTTTCCTGCATATCTGTAAATGTTATGGTGGTATTGGCTCGAAAGATTGCTGTTCACATTAACACCCCTAACTGGAAGAGCCTGCTTGATCTTAGTTACCTCTTCCCCAGCAGCCCAGTCTGTGCATATCTGCCCAGTACAATGGTGACAATTGAAAGCAGCTCACCGGAGGAATGATTGTGTCTTTGTGGTTTACTCTGTGGAGCGCTTTCTTACTGTAAATGTAACACCATGTCACAAGCAATTTTTTAAAGGTCAAGCATTTTTGGCACCAGCACGAATAATCTTTTGAACAGTTCTGGCTCAATTGAGCGAATCTTAGAGTTTTATAGTCTACGTTATCAAAAAGTGTTTTTAAGTAAAAGCATTCAGATAAATGTAACCTATCACAGTGCCGTTATGAAATTAAGAAATGCACAATGTGAAGTAAAGAGGGTTATTATTTTTGTCGTTATCATTCAGCTTCATCTCAGTCTACTCCCTACTCTAAATAAGCCTTCAAGGCCTTGTGTCTCTGAAATGATATCTTCCATATAAATAATAGTTTGGCGTTATACTTGGTACTTGCCATTTGCTGTCACTGCTGTAAGAATAGTCCGCCTCATCCATTGTGCATGGTTATACAGTGAAGCTGCTAGTTGATGATTCCATTAGTTGAGCAACAGAAAAGTAATCGCAAACTATTTTGATAATAGATCAATCGTTTAATAATGTTTTCATGCAGGAATGTTTCAAATATGGAGATATCCTGTTTATATTTTATAGAGCTGAATATATTTAGGTTTTGGATTAATAAAACAAGGCATTTAAAGATATCCCCTTGGACTTAGAAAAACTGGAAGGGGAGATCATATAGCCCAAAAAAACTATACCTGTTCAAATTAATCTAGAAACTAATTGGCAGATTAATTGACAATCAAAATAATCGTTAGTTGCAGCCAAAAACCACCATGCCCTTAGGGAACAATATAAGAATACAAAAATGTACATACATCTTTCATAAAAATTATGAAACTATTGCTCAATAAGATAATAAAGGAGTTTATTTGGGACCAAACACCTCTGAATTGGCTGGTTTGTCGGTGGAAATGAACATGACTCTGTTGCTGTCACTGTTCTGACATTAACTGGCTGTGGGTCAGCAGAGCCACCAGCTGTTGTCGGCTTAACTCTGAGCTAATAATGTTACCCATCAGACAGCGACGCCTTATATCTCTTCTACAATACCACAGTATTGCCACATATCATGTTCATGAGTGTTCTTGTTTTACATAAGAGTAATGTTGTTGACATAAAGTCCTAACTCTATATGCTGGATGACTGATGTTAATGTCTGAGATGATAGAGGATGTTGGTTGAAAGGGTTTCATCATTTTATAAAACAATTGGAGGTTTAAAGTAAAAGGATTATTTGATATGTGTGTGTAAAGTCCTTTATCCAACAAAAATGCAACAAAAAAATTGGTTTGAAATTCAATTATTTGTTTTTTCTCTGTTGAAATTTGCATGTAATTTCTCACAATTTTGTACGCATTTTATATTGTTAACTGGTGCTCAATTAATCTGTCAGAAATATCAATAGAGTAATCGAAAATCTATATTGAATATATGTAAATAAATCTGACTAGCAGCCCTAAGAATGACTGTTTTTGGGTTTTTTCTGTAGGCACGGCACCTCCACCTATGAATCCCATGGCTCCTAACACATACCAACCAAGCAGAGCATCCTATGGCCCCCCACCTACAGGCCCACCACCAACCATGAAACCCACAGCCCCTCCCACTGGACCGCCAATGGCCAATGCTAAACCTCCACCCCCCAGGGCCGATGGTAAGGGTTTTTAAAATCTTGAGATGTTACATTTTGGTGCTTTGTGTCCTCAGGTACGACAACATCACTTTTTTTTTAACTCTACGAACTGTAGAGTGCAAACATTTTGTTGGTCCGTGTTGATTGTGAAATCAGATGTCAGCGCTGAGTCTGAAACTGTATGTCTTGTTTATAAGCATCATTTTTGTTTTGTTTTTCTAAATCTGATACCCTTCTGTTGTTCTCCCCTCCTTTCTCTACATGCCAGCTCAGTGTGGGGGTGCCGTTAACAGCACTTTGCCCCCCACTGAGCCCGACTGCCAGGACGGGGATATTGAATGTCCAGGTGTGGCTTAATCTGTCTGTAGCTGTTAGTGTCAGTGCTATAATGCCCATCCTGTCCTCTCTGTGCTGTTGGCCATTGTATCTGGGGATGCACTAATTCTTTGTTATTTACATCAAAGTTGACACCAAATAATGGATCTCTGCTGAATAAGCGTATAGAGCTCCAATCTGCAGCAGAGAATACGTTAACACAATTTGGTCAATATTTTCTGCTTCGATCTCTTTAATATGTATTTTAAATCAAATGTAAACAGTATTTTTATAGTATCAGTGCATCCCTGGTAACGTATTTCCTGTTTGTAGGTTGTTTGCCTATCTTTCCTCCATTCCTACCGGATATCCCATATGAATAAACATCCTAGAAAGACAGAAGTATTCATATTTCTTTAAAACACCATACATCAATTCCCATCATCTGCGTCGTCATTAGTTTTGTTGTTTTGCTTCGCTTCATTACTTTATTGTGTCTTCTCTATTTCTTTTACTGTAAAACAGATCATTCCATTTCCATCGCCCGCCGCGGTTAGCCCACTGGGATAGAAATAGCGAAAGTGTCACTAAAATTATTCACATCACATCTGTGTTTGTTTTGCAACAGGAACCATGGCTGGCAATGGCCCACAAGCATCAAACAGCCATAATCATGTTGACAACAAAATGGGTAAGGCCATTTTCTGCGACATATTAGATTATTTCACCCAAACCCCATTTACAGTCTGATTACTAAGCTGGCTTTCAAAGCTTCTCCCCACTTGCAGTGTTTGGACAAGTATACTATATGATGAAATATAATCCAGAGGGCAAAGCTGACCTTATTTCTGTTCTCTTTTCTTTTACAGCTGGCATGCCTCAGCACGGTCCACCGGGTCGGCACTTGGGCCACTACCCCTCCCTCCCCCCTGGGTACCAGAACACCCCGGCTCCTCACAATGCCCCCCCACCCATGCACCCTGCGCTGCAGGCCGCCACGCAGCCTTACACTCAAGCACATCAGCCGTACCAGCAAGTGAGTCCCAGGCATGTAAAGACCGTTAGAGCATTTCACAAGTGCTGTTCATCAGCTCATCCATAACGGTATGGAACTAATGGCGCGTTTCCACTACACGGCCTCGCTCGGTATGGCTAGGCCTCGTTAGGACTGGCTCACTTTATGGCGCATTTCCATTACAGTTTAGGAACTGGGGTAGTATCTATAGTAACGCAGTGTAGGCGGAGCCGTGACGTCATCTTCAATGAGAACCCCAGAAACACAACACAGCCGTTAGCTGTTAGCACTCAGAGCTCACAGCTCCTCATATATGTTCAGAAACTAGACAAAAGTTAAACAAGTACAAACCACAGACTGCCTGTGTCATGGTGAATACAGTCGCTGCTTTATTTATGTCTGTATAGGCCGTTGTTGTGAGTGTGGACGGTCGGAGCATATACTGCGTTAGCTTAGCCAATCTCCATTTAGAAAACAAGCATTTTAAAAGGTTTTTCGCCTGCCGTCTGTCTGCAGACTTGACAAAGCATTAATTCATGGTTTTTACTAACCGGTATCAGTATGTTGTTACTTCGGCATCATTTTGAAACGTGTATTACAATTAAATCACGGTCAAATATGTCCATCTTGTTGTAGTTGTTGCCCCCTTGCCAGCGATGCTCTCTCTAGTTTAGCATACTCAGCCCGACTCAGCCTCGTTGTCTCTGGCCCTAGACCCACCATTTTATGAGGCCAGAAAAACTGTGAATTAGGAACCGCCGGCCGGTACTAGGCCAAGTGGAAACGCAACCAAAGACGGGCCGCTGACGTCACAGCCCTCTTAAACCGTGCTCCGCGCTGTAGTGGAAACTCGCCATAAATGCTCTACCATTTGTGTCGTAGCGTTTCACCTTCTAGACAGACAAGAGTCCCTTGTCGATCTAAGCCTTTTGGAAACATTAAATGCACAATAAAAAAAAATGTTCTACTAAAAACAATATGTAGAATAATCCCCCTCATGAATCCACTAGTCTAGAAATGTGTGGCAGTGTTTGTAGAGACCCTGCCCTATTTTCATTCCTCTGTTCAGCATACTCTGGTAGTTTCTCTGCCTCTGCCCCTGGCTGTCGCTCCTCGGCCTTTTCTCTCATCAGGCTCTGTCCTTGGCTGACACGGTCTTCGATGTTTCCTGAGCCAGAAGCTCAAACTAAAACTGTTAAACAAAAAGTGTTCCCTCAAGCTGTCGTTAAGATATCACTTCTGAGAATTTGTAGAGGCAAAGTTGACAAAAGGAGGAGCAGCATTACATAACCTTTGCTTTATTGTCACGTGATATACTTGCATTGTTTACGCAACCAAAGGACGTTTTAATGTATTTAAAAAAAAAAAGGCAAATCATGGCTTCATTTGTTTTGCTGATGTATCGGACTAATACATCTTTGTTCCTTTATTCAATAACATATGGTGGAGAGTGTCATCCATAACTGTATAACATAAATATGGCTTCATTGTGATTAGATAAGATGCTAGAGGAAACATTAGGTCTTGTGATGTTTTGGCTTTAAAGGTCCCATGTCATGCTTTTCTGGTTATTACCCGTCCCCTTGTGTGTTATGTAGCTTTTTATGCATGTAAATGGTCTGCAAAGTCACAAACCCTCAAAGTACACCCTGTAGCGAGTAAAACTCTAACACAGAAAATATCTGTCTATGCTGCCCCAGAACGCCTCGTTGGAGATTTTTCTTTTTCAAAAAAAAAATTCCGGGAACCAAGTGACGTAACGACGATGCAAATGGACCAATCCGTGGAGCTCCTCACACACACACACTCAGCCTTATTTTTCTCAGCTGCAGCTCCGTGGATTTCTCAGCCTGGACTCAGCCTGAGACAGCGGGACATGGCGAGGCCCGGTCCGAGCACACACATAGACCCACAGCCAGGCTGCGGGTGTGCGTGTGTTTTCCGGCCAAGCTAACGCCATTGTAACACATAATCACTGATGTTCCGCTGTAACGGTGGTGGACTCATCAGAACAGAGTGGGCGAGCTGACCAATCAGGGCACATTGGGCTCATAGGGAGGGGGGGGCAGGAGCTCCAACAAGCCGTTTAGGACAGAGAGTGAATACACATACTATACAGAGATGCTGTATGAGAAACCAATGTGATTTTGGAAAATTGCACAATATGAATCTATTTTAGTAGACCTCAACAATGGAATTATGATCAGTAGAAATGGCTATGTCATGGGACCTTTAATGGGCTCAGACTCTGAGGCAATGAATACATATAACAGGCAATCAAAGCATGGGTTGCCATCCATGCTAAAGGATTTCACATTCATACGTTTTTGTTAAATAGATGAACTAAGTATTTTATTTTTCTCTTCTCTAAGCCGCCTGGTGGCCCCGGGCCCGCCCAGCTGAGCCCGTCCCTGGCAGCCATGAGCCTCCAGTCCAACACCCCAGAGTCCCTGAGGGTGGTCAACCTGCTGCAGGAGAGGAACCTGCTACCCCCGAGCCCCACCCCCCCTCCGACACCCTGCCTTCCACAGGACCTGCAGAAGATCAACTGCAACCCAGAGTAAGCCATGGAGGAATACTGAGAGACGCTATTAATTGTGGCGGGAATTTATTTATCAAATGTGGATAGAGAATCAAACCATTCAGCTGTCTTTGTTGAAGAATATAATTTGGGTTGCATATTTAAACACAGAGAGAGAGGAGAAAGGGAGGGGTAAAGCTTGATGATAATGAAAGGAGCATTCTGGAAGTTAGGGAGTTAGGGAGGCCATCAGGATATTCTCAGTTCAACTGAGTTAAAGGTCATGCTGTTGGTGCACATAGACTGTAACTAACAACATTGCAACAAATCTTCGTAATAAGGAATTTTCCCAAGCTTAGCCAAGAAGTGTGAGAAGTAGTAAATATAAATATACATTAGCAAATAATAATCACACAATGATATTATTAATTGTCATATAATTTGTCACTTGCAAATGTTGCCCAAGTTTCTTGGATAAATTGTTTCTAGAAAACCAGTTTTAAGCTTGTGAAATACTGAACATGATCTCTGCATGCAGTGAAAGTAACTATGAAACTCTGTTTGTGTTTCTCCAGGGTTTTTCGTAGCACGCTGACTAGCATCCCTCAGACTCAGTCGCTGCTCAATAAAGCTAAGATGCCGCTGGGCCTGATGCTCCACCCCTTCAAAGACCTCTCGGTAACAACCCTCTCTAATATTTATTCTGCACACATCAGTCATCAACTGAAATAATGTCTTAATATTTGGCTCTCTATCATAACATTATTAATTAGCAGTCATGTAAACATATAACCTGTTTTCGGGGTAATGGATTCAGAGGAACATGGTAAACCTAACTACATTCATCCCTGGGAAAAACACATTTTCTGGCACGAGTTAAACCAGGCTTTAGAATGTGAAGGAAAAATACTCCCTACTGGTTTAGGAAAGTGAGTAATATACATACATTTCCTTAACAGCAAGTGATACCTTTTCACAAGGGTCATTTTTAATGTGGAAGTTATTACTGTGGCTAAATGATTTAAGAACCACGCAGCAAATTGGGGTGGTAATCTGTATATGTTTTATTGTATTAACGTGAAAGTATGTGTCCTCAAGAGGAGGACACATACTTTTACAAAAATTATCTTCATCCTCAGTTATGTTCCTTTATATTTAGATGACTATATCTCCTACTTTTACTGATTAAACACTGCAAATGTTCATAACACATTTCTAAGAAAAAGGTTTTGACTAAATAATCAGTCGGAATGAATTTGTGTTTTTTCCCCGGATAATTGAGGACAACTTTGACTTTGTTTAAATACCAGTTACAAGAAATGAGTTTGCCTAGAGGCCCTTCTCACACAGTTTCCTTTTGTTCTGCGGTCTCCTTGCAGCAGCTTCCTGTGGTGACATCCAGCACCATCGTCCGGTGTCGGTCCTGCAGAACCTACATCAACCCCTTCGTCTCGTTCCTGGACCAGAGGAGGTGGAAGTGCAACCTGTGTCATCGGGTCAATGATGGTAAGAAAGGGGGTGAGGTCTTTCAGATACGATCATCTGAAAGAACCACTGTCAGTGAAAATACTGGATTCGATAAACAAATATCCAATGATATGATATGATGATAATATTGATATCAGTTTTGTACGTGTTTTCTTTGGGTCCTTCACGCTCATGGTTGAGAATAGAATTACAGTCAAACTACAGGGAACTGTTTCATACCTAAACCTCACTAACTGTTGTGTATGTGTGTAGTTCCAGAGGAGTTTATGTACAACCCAGTCAGCAGATCGTACGGAGAGCCTCACAAAAGACCCGAGGTCCAGAACGCCACCATCGAGTTCATTGCTCCTTCAGAATACATGGTAGGTTTCAACCGGTTTTATTGACATTAATGTTGTTTAGGAACTGCACAGTTATCTGCATGCTCTGTTAATTGTTCATGAATAGCTCATTTCCATTTTAGTTCACAGACCCAAACTATATATAATTGTGATGCTGTGTTTTCATCGATCTTGACTTACTTCATGTGCCTTGATTTACACAGCTGAGGCCCCCCCAGCCTGCAGCTTACCTCTTCGTTCTCGACGTATCCCACAATGCAGTGGAAACAGGCTACCTGAATGTGTTCTGCCAGTCAATGCTGGAAAACATCAATGCGTATGTACAGCATTTCATTTCCAGGTGTTATAAATGTTGAAAGAGAGCAGGGGCATTTTATTATTTAAGAAAATCAACAGTGCTTTTAAACTGTACAGTGGGCCAACACACACATTTCGCTTAATTGTTTAAAATGTCATATGTAGATTACACACATTCTTTTCTGAGTATAAGTTATTTCTTATCGGTTATAAATACACTTGATTTTGCCAAAACATGGCACACAAATAACTTTAAAGTTTGCTCCGTTAAGGTTTTTGTTTGTTTATGTGCCAGGCTTCCTGGAGACTCTCGGACAAAGGTAGGTTTCATCACCTTTGACAGCACCATCCACTTCTACAACCTCCAGGAGGGACTTTCACAGCCTCAGATGCTCATCGTGTCGGACATCGAAGGTGAGGCGCATCAGACAGTGACACTAATAAATGTAAAAGCTATCAAGAGATCACTGTTCTTTTTGGGTAGACTGTTGTTTTTCTGTTTTTGGTGAAAATCTTTCAAAATGTACCGGAATCATCATAATCACCTAATGTTACAATAAATCGTTTTTTTTAAGAGTTTAATGATGCAACTCAATTAGTTGGCAGAAGCATACAACCATGAAGAGGGTTGTTTTTTGTTATGTGTTAATTTAATTAATTTCTTCATGGTTTCTGCACTTGAACATCTGTCTATATCACTGCTATGATATTAGAGTTTTAAATATGTACTTTTGACCCCCACAGATATCTTTTTACCAACACCAGACAGCCTTCTAGTAAACCTCAATGAATGCAAAGAGGTAAGAAAATGTTCCTTGATATCAGGTGTTTTGTTGAAGTGAATATTATGTAGATCAGGGCTATTCATTAAGTTTGGATTGGGGGCCGGTTGATGAAAATGATCCAAAGCAAGGGGTCGGGAAAAAGATGGCTTGAAATATGAGCAATCATATTAAGAGCTTCAGATACAGTAAATACTACAACAGCATAGTGGAGTGCATATATTGTGTTTAATTAAATCAAACAACATAGCCCCAAGGCCTTTATAGATCTAAATGGCATGTTCAGAACTCAGTAGGCCTACATGTGAAGCTAATTTAACCATCAACATCATTTAATTTGATTTGATTTAATTTAGGTGAAATTATCTAATCATTCAAGCAGAGATGCAATAAATGACGGGAGTTGTCACTACAGAAGCTAGTAGGTGGGTTCGAAACCCGAGCCCGCCAAAGTTTTCAGGCAATGTCTTCCCCTCTATCTCTCAATTTAACACCCTCTCTGGAATAAAGGCACTCCGGCCCAAAAAAACCAACATTAACATTATACTCAAAGGGCCAGTAAATATCACCCCGGGGCCGGATTGGGCCCGCGGGCCGCCAATTGAATAACCCTGATGTAGATTATCACTCAAATCCTTCTCATTTTGTCTTATTTATGAATGTTAAGCTTGACACTCACTGTAGGTACTGTCCATGTGACTCAAACACTCAACTCATTCCCTTTTATTTTGTTTTTCAGCTTGTGCAGGATCTGCTGAAGAGCCTCCCCACTTTGTTTCAAAAGACAATGGAGACCCAGTCTGCCCTGGGTTCAGCTCTGCAAGCAGCCTTCAAGCTGCTGTCGCCCACCGGAGGGCGCATGACCATCTTTCAGACCCAGCTGCCTAACCTCGGTGTGGGGGCCCTTCAATCCAGAGAAGACCCCAACCAACGGGCATCTGCCAAGGTAAGAGAAACACAGATGGAAAGTGATTGATTAAAGAGACGTATATTCTACAGCAGCATTGTGGTAGTATGGTAAAAACTCCAAATACCAGTGATATATTCATAAAATTGAAATATACAATTGTCTTTGAAAGGAATAAAATATACAAGCCTATGTCTACTTAGAAGAACAACTTTGACTTAAAAAGTAATCTGAGTGATTTATTATTGTTTTTTGATTGATCGTTTCACATTTACATTGAAATTCTAGCTAGACTTTTAACTACACTCAAAAACAACCCTGACCGAGCAATCCCTTAATTATGGAAAGTAACGGGAACGTTTGTGTTCTTCTTTAATTTAAAGGCCTAGATTCAGAGGCGAGTCTTGAAGCCAAGTCTTTTTCTACAAAAAAGTATTCAAAAATGTTGTGATTTCGCCTTATTTTGGGTAATCAGGATTTTTAATTTTGGTCCTACATGGTGTGTTTTCCCTCAGGATATCCAGCACTTATCCCCAGCGACAGACTTCTACAAGAAGCTGGCTCTGGACTGCTCCGGCCAGCAGGTGTCGGTGGACCTGTTCCTGCTCAGCTCTCAGTACTGCGACCTGGCATCGCTCGGTAAGTCTTGCACTAAATAGATAGAAGGTGAAGAGAAAAACTGAAATGTTGCAATTTAGTTTTTGAATGCCTAGTTTACATTCAACGTTTATGCGACAAATCATGATGCGTTTCTTATAGGAGGATTTTGAACTCATTTTAGGCTTATAGCTACCACGGGCCTTATTTTCTAGATAAAAGTGCTTTTGTTTTTAGTGTTTTAAAACACTAAGGGCTACAAAATAAAAATAAGAAAAGTTATCGGTCTATAAAATAGGTGAAAAACTACTTTATATATTGTAGGTCAGAGACAGAAGCTGGAAACAAAACAAGTTTCTCAAAAGGTGGAGACAGTGTGTAGGGTTGTAAATCTATACTTAAAAGACCAATACATATTTTCTTGTGTTGCTTCCCTTTCGCAGGCTGCATATCCAGATACTCTGCAGGGACTGTTTACTACTACCCATCCTACCATCACCAGCGCAACCCCGCTTTGGTGGAGTGCTTCCAGAAGGATCTGAAGAGATACTTAACCAGGAAGATCGGCTTCGAGGCCGTCATGAGGATACGCTGCACCAAAGGTCTGTGTGCAGCACGACAGCTGTCTAGCACTGACCTGAATGTGCATTCCCAGATGTTTAGCTTTCATTCATATCCGATTTGTAAATGTGTTGGGAAAAGGAACCCCTTATTTCTTCTATAATATATTTCTGCAGAATAGTTTCATTCATAAATAATCCTACTTTAGGATGTTTTGTCTTTGCTATTGATAGTAGCACTGTCTGGTTACTGTTTAAGTATTTTGTAGGCAGAACTAAACAATATAGCCTCAATAGCCCCTGAATGCATTCAAATGTTTCTGTAATTTAACCTTCATTTTGATCTTCTGTAAGTCATTTGGAAGATAATATTGTTTGCAGTCTAGATGTAGCTGTCAGTTTAACTTAATTGATTTTGTCTCTCTCTCTCGCTCTCTTTCTGCAGGTCTGTCCATCCACACGTTCCACGGAAACTTCTTTGTGCGCTCCACGGATCTGTTGTCCCTTCCCAACGTGAACCCAGACGCTGGCTTTGCGGTTCAGATGTCCATCGAGGAAAACCTTGACGACCTGCAAGTCGTCTCCTTCCAGGCTGCACTGCTCTACACGTCCAGCAAAGGTACACAGAAATACACACACACACACAGCCAATGTTGTTTTGTCTTTTTAAAGCCATATTGACATTTTGAAATAATCAATCTTTGCCTGTTTTGTTTGAATAACATGTGTTTTCTATTACAGGAGAGAGAAGGATCCGTGTCCACACCTTGTGTCTACCTGTGGTCAACTCTCTGTCGGACATCTTTGCTGGAGCTGATGTTCAAGCCATCAGCGGGCTGCTTGCTTGCATGGGTAGGTACTGCACTATTAAACACAATTTAGCTACCTTCCAGACAATAAAATGTCAAAGAATAAATGATTATGCAAATATAAACCCAGGTTGATATAAAACCTGTTTGGTGTGCCACAAAATCATGTTTATACCTGCACATGTTAAACCCTGGTGCGCACAGAGAATCTTTCCCCTTTTAGTAGATGCATATGATAACAAATTGAGGAACCAGATGTCCCGGTTCTTTGCAGAGTTATTGCATTTTACTATGAAATTAAATTGTTTTTTGCATGTTATCTTTGATTTATTTTGTTCATGCAGCACTTGTTCTTACCTGATGTTTGTTATAACTCATTATTTTGGTTGACGTGTAACAGCTGCTTTCATTCCTGTGTATTGTAACTTTAAGCAGGGATTTGAAGATAAAGTTAAAATATATTCATGCATATTTCCAAGAGAGATGCCGATGATCATTTTCTGGATACTTGATCACATAATACGTTCTGTGTGTCTAATCTGGATAAATTAGGATTTGTGTAATACATCGCTCGTGCAAATGATTCTCCATTGTTGCAGTGAATAGTCTTTTGATTGGCTCAATACCAAATCATTGCAGGGTTTACATCCACTTCACTGTTATTAGCCCTGACAGATGGAGATGAGTAGCGACAGCGGTGGTTGCCTAGCAACCCTTGCATACTGAGCAGTCAGATCTGTGTCGGTTAATCTCGCAGTCACTTAGAGAACAAACGCTAATATTTTTCACAAAATGGCACTACCACTGTTGTTCTAAGCTGCTCATTAAAGTGGTAATACTGAAAGTCCTAAAGTTGCATTGACATTTTAAAATAGCTTTATTGCACTATACTATTATGATTATCCAAGTCTGCACAAACACTGTAAAAAATATGCAATATGTCGAGAACAACCTCTTCAAGGTCTGAGTTTGCAGCTGTGCATTCAGAAATGTAATAATTAATAATAATACTAATAATACACTTTATTTATAGAGCGCTTTTTTTAGGGTACTCATAAAAAAACAACATTAATACAACACACTTAAAATATGTATAACACAACATCCTACACAAGAAAGAATAAGATTGTAATGCAAATGTGTCCCTCTCTCCCTCCAGCTGTGGACCGCTCGGCGACGGCCAGTCTGAGTGACGCCAGAGATGCGATGACCAACGCTGCCATCGACTCGCTGACGTCGTACCGGCAGTCCGTGTTGACCATCCAGCAGCCCGGCCTGCTGGCCCCCGCCTGCCTCAGACTCTTCCCTCTCTTCATCCTCGCCCTGCTTAAACAGGTCCGCTCTTCCCCTAAAACTCAGTCATTACACACCAAATGCACTGCTGACAAATGCTACCCTTAAAACTACTTATTTGTTCAGAGTCAGAGGAAATGTTCTATATGATGTGGTTATATTTTTCCTTGGTAGTTAATTTACTAGTTGAATAAACACAGAACACTAAAATGAACTGTCCAACACTTTCCACACTACCGAAACTCATTTTAAACCCAAGATCTTCTGTTTTAAGCCACTCTAATTCTTATTTTGATGTGTGTGCATCCTGCAGAAAGCCTTCAGGACGGGCACCAGCACCAGGCTGGATGACCGTGTGTTTGCCATGCTTCAGCTGAAGTACCAGCCACTGGTCTACTCTCTGCTGATGATCCACCCTGCTCTGTACCGTGTCGACGATCTGACCGATGAGGTGAGAAGGATCAACATTTCCCTCTGAGATTTCTGTCAACAAAGACTATTATTTAGTCTTTCACAGCTTTTTTTAGGAGTGGGATGAACCTGAACATTCCTCTCAATAGTTTCCCATCTTATTTGAAGTGTCTCCTTGTTACTGAGTAATCTTTTATCTTGTGTTTCCTGTGTCCTCAGGGAGCTTTGAACATCAATGAGCGGACCATCCCTCAGCCCAGAGTGCTGCAGCTGTCTGTTGAGAAGCTCAGCAGGGAGGCAGCATTCCTCATGGATGCTGGAACGGTATGAAACTTGGTTTGAAAAAAGATTGCTTGTGTCTTAAAGTGTTACCCCTAGTTTCCACCGGGTCCGTCTGCGTCGCGTTACGGCTGCGCCGCGGTTTTGGTCCGACCTCCTCTAGCGTCATAACCCAGCGGGCGCGTTCCAGAAGCGTTTCAGAAGAGGAGCGTCGTGCATGCCGGCTCGCAGTTTTTGTTGATTTGGGCATATTTCCTGGACAGGCTGTACAGACAAAGTTAATAATAACTGTAATATTCCAGTTATAAACGACATGAATCAAAGATGTGTTGCTGTATTTTAGTGGTACAAAAATCCTAATTATTCTATATATATATAATTTACACCGTGCCTGTAAACCGGAGGAGAACGCTGGCATTTCTCCTCCTACTTGAAAGACTACGGAGGGATAGGGTCTGCAAAATTAGTGTGTGCTATATATGCTCTGAACGTTCCACTTCCTGCCTGCCCGACATTACCTTACGGCTGCGTCGCGTCAAAAATAGGTTTCATCCTAATTTTAGAGGAGCCCTGCGCTGAGACGCTTCTGGGACGCTTCTGAGCCGTAACGCGCCGCGTGTGGTGGAATAGCATCCATTGACTAGAGTGGCCGCGATCCTTGCGAACGCCGCGGCGCGGCCGTAACGCAGCCGTAATGCGGCGCAGACGGACCCGGTGGAAATTAGGGGTTATAGTATGTTACAAGAGGGATAATAAACACAGATTGTGTGATTTTCCCTGTTCAAGCCTCTAATTTCTATGATTCAACATTAACTTCCAATAGTACAATACTATAAATGTTGGTTTGCATCCATATGCCGGGGCGGATACACAAATAATGTTTCATTAACATTGTAAGATGGAAGATTTGTACTGCATTAATTACATTTTACATACAAAAAATGTGTTCCAGATTTCCATCCTAGTTTGTGATTGTATTTAATATGTACTTTCTTCTTTTCCAAAAGGTGATGTATCTGTGGATCGGACGGAACTGCCACCCCAACTTCCTCTCACAAGTCCTGGGAGTTCCCAGCTACGCTGCTGTGCCTGATAACCTGGTAGGAAACCTCATGTTGCACCAACACATTCCCTCAAATTGTCCTGAGGATCAAATGATAGTCACAACTTGTGTACAGTATATTTGAAGTTCTACCCAAGGCATCCTCCTCCCTGATGATGAAACCTGACTGTCGCTCTCTCCTCTCACAGTATCTGCTCCCAGAGCTGGACACGGCCGAGTCGCAGAGAACCAGAGCTTTCATCGGTTGGCTGAGGGATCAGAGGCCCTTCTTCCCCCCAATGCATGTCATCAGGTGGGCAACAGACACAATCCTGAATAAGAGAGTAAACAATCAAATAGCAAGAGTGTGGGGAAATTAAAACCAGCCAACAGCTGCTGGTAGATTCACATTTTGGAAGGTGATCTTGTGTTATCTCATTTTAAGATAAATTTGACAAAGCCCCTTAAAAACGGATTACATCTTCACATATTGGCTGTTCAGTTTACAGTCAGTGACAATTGAACTGACCAAAAACTTAGCTGGAAAATCATTATTAAACTGTGTACCGCTGAAGCTACTCATGAGGGTTATTTCTTTTTGGTTTTAAAACTTGAACAGAATCCAGAAGGCATTTTTTTTTAAATATTATCATTTAATAAGGGAACAAAATGTGAGAATCAGAATGATGCCATCCAAAGATCTTTAGAGTTTTGATAATACAAACAAACACTCCTCTTGTCACTTCCTTGAAATGAAAGAGCAATTGCGACTAACAACTATTTTTCGTTTGACTCTCAGGGAAGAGAGCCAGCTGAAATCCACTTTTATGCAGAACATGATCGAGGACCGAACAGAGTCGGCCCTGTCGTACTACGAGTTCCTGCTCCACCTCCAACAGCAAATCTCCAAATAATCTTCAGTGGGACTGTGGAGACTAGGGAACACTGAAGTTAGGATGTGAATCAGTGTACGTACGTGCGTGTGTGTTTGTGTGTGTGAAAGCAGTGGGAGTCAGACTCAAGGAACCCTCTTGCTCCATCTCCAGCTCCGGTCCACCATCTCTTTCTAAGGAAAAGCTGAACTGACCTGAAGCGTCACTCAAATCAAACTATGTGGAGGACACTGCAAAGACTGAGAGAGAGACAAATAAATCGATTCTGATGCTTATTTGAAACTTTTTACCCAGCTGAAGCTGTGCGTCGGAAGATGAGAAAAAAGCAAGAAATCCATGATGATGATGATAGTGATTATGTATGTTAACGATTGAATGAATCAGTGTTTATTCTCATAGAACAATGCTGTCAAACTGAGGTATCGTTCAGATACAGTCCAGGCAAATGTATGTGTGAAGTGTTTTTGTTCAAAAAGCAGTCTTTACTAAAACAATTCAAACGTGTGTATGCTTAGGACTAGGTTTATGGGGAAGATTAGTATGTCTGCGCTCAAAGACTGTTATTGAGTGTCACCAGGAGTATTTGTATACACGGCATCTGAGCTCTAACAACATTCTTTAATATCAAACCTGAAGGACAGAACGTGTGCTTTTTTATTTCTTAGTCGTTATAATTATGTGTCGAACAAATTCGTAATCTCATCTGTAGAAGGCAGGGACGTTTGAGATGTTTGAAGGCCGATGGACCTCTTGGTTGAATGTGTGGAAAGTCATTTTCATCAGTCTGATCTGTCCTTTCAAAAACTGTCATCTTTTCTGTCCGTTCATTCAGAACTCCTCTGACGACATCCCTGTTCTGTTTGTCCATTTCTTCTTTTTGTTTCTGATTATCTAATAATTTATGAGACTCCCACTCTGATTAAATTCTATAATTGCCTTGTATGGGAAGTCACTTTTTATTATTAAACCTCTGTTTAAATACAGACTCTATATATGAAATATTTTAATATAATAGGATATGGGAAATTCTTTAACACAGACATAACAAAGTCATTGTGATCTTTTAGTCATGCTTATTGATACTTGTATATTGAAAAATACTGCATTATATCAAGGTGAACAAATGCTGATGACGAGTTTAGAATAAACATTAAGGTGAAATGACGCTAAAGAAATAAAATGTTTGGGACTTTTTAAATGTAGTTTTGTGTTTTGGTTGGGGAGCAGTGTTTATTAGGTAAAAGTGAAGACTACAAAACATAAATATGGACCAATAGTAGTCAATTTCTTTCTTGACTAAGTGTGAATTGAGGATTTTTGATTTGGTCTGATTTCATACAGTTTGTAATCTATGTATTATATAAGCAAATATGTATTTAGAAGCAGACAGATATGTTTTCGTCTTTATGCACAGAACTGTCTTTCATACAAATATGATGAAAATAAAAATAGCCTGTGTTTGTACAGAGTAAACCACAGAGGTTTGGACTTATCAAATATGATATATTAAAGAGCCGGCTGGGAATCAACTCTTCACTTTCATGACTAAAGATATGTTTCGAAATAATTGTTTAGCCATTTACTTCTTGTGAGCTACATGGAAAGATACACGTACCGAACACATGTAACTCTGTCGCAGAAATCCTTTATTAATCCTAAAACTGGGACATTTCAAATGTTACAGCAAGCACGCATTAAGAAGTACACATCCATGGAGTAAAACAAAAGTAGCATTATAAAAAGTGTGTGAACATACAATAGTTAAGGTAATGTATCAGAACATTTTGCATTGATAACTTATTTTATTTTATTTGCATGTTAAGATTTGATTTCAACGCATACATTCCAAAATAAACACTTAGAAACATAAAATAACTTCATAAAAATCGACAAATCAGGTAAAAGAAGAAAATATTGATAATAACTCAGGTGTAGCTTGCACATAATGGATACAATGTTAATAGGTACATTCATTGTCCGATCTTACCACCTGGTCATTATAAATGTTTAGTGTTCTGTAACTCAGCCATTTTTTCCATCTTTCATCAAAAATATGAACTTGGTTTTGAATTGTCATGGTTATGTTTTCCATTCTCTACATTTTATTTAATAGATTCTACCATTATGAATTAATTAAAGGTAGGGTAGGTAAGTTTGAGAAACCGGCTCGAGATACACTTTTTGTTATATTCCATGGAATGCTCTTAACATCCCGATAGCAATGAATATCTTAAGTGCTTTGACAAAAAATCCATAAAAAAATGTCATCTGTGGAAGCTGTAATACTGTAAAAAGCACGACCAATCATTTTAGCCGGCCCGGCTAAAATAACTGGATGGCCTACCTGCCTGTCAGCCTTCCATCTGTGCACAAACTTATCTCGTGCCCTCATTGGTCATGTGCGCGTTCGTGTGTGTTGGAGGAGGGGCTCTGTAAGGAAGTGGCAGATTTTCTCCGGTTGTGTATTTTCAAATTCTAGCGATCTCGAGCCGGTTTCTCAAACTTACCCACCCTACTTTTAAGTTATCATCTTTTAACCAATTCTTGATTATTTAATTAAATTAGCAACGTTTTACTCTGGTATATTGCATCACATTGGGTAGAGGAGCAGGGCTTGACACATCAAGTTTAGGACTTGACATTGTCCTACCACCTATGATAAATTCTGCAGTTGCATCCACGTAACCATAAGCCTTGAACGGTTAAGACTCATGTTTCCTGCAAGTCAGCGTTGAGAGCGAGGTTGACGTCATCATTGTGCGTTGTTTCTCCAGACAACGCTCTGCTGGCTCACTTCATAATGCATACCGTTTAATTCATACATCAGGGACGTGTTGTGTCGCAGTTAAATCGATATTTTTGGTGTAAAGTGAGTACAATTTGTAGTCGACACTTAATTTATTTCATGGAGCCCGGAGAGGCCAGCGAGGCGGAGGCAGCAGGCAGTGTGTCTGCGGCGCAGAGGAGGGCAGAGATCCGGAGGAGAAAACTGCTCATGAATTCAGAGGATAGGATGAACAGAATCACGGGTTTCGCTAAAATCGAGCCTGAAATCAAAGGTTGGTTGTTGTAAATGATCCAGTTTACATAACAGTGATGTCAGAAGAGGCTTGACTATCACCTGCTATATCACACTGCTGTTTAAAGCTACAGTCAGCTCTTTGTCATTATCCACATTTCAGTATATTCAGTATAAACACTGCTAGATACAATAGTTACTTTGTATTGACTTGAGTATTTGCATGTTATGTAGCTTTATCATTCTTCTTAACAACATATCAGATTAAATATTGTCCGTTTTCCCCCTGAAAATATATGAACAATACATTATACATTGTACACACACGACAGTATTCACACCAGGGTACGCAGACAAATATAAATGGTGATAACATATTTTTCAAATGCACAATTATTTTTTAATTCCAATCTATTCAAAATGCTTTGATCATTTTGCCATATTGATCTAGTTATTGTGAGAAGTGTCTAAAACCTTGAGTCAGTCCACCTCTTCCTATGGATGTGGAATGTGTCCATTAATAAAATTAACTGTAGCCTACACGCTTTTCTTTTCTTTTTCTATCGCATCACCTTCAAAATATATCAAAATGTCCTTATCTTCAGGTTGTATTGTTTGCCATGTTTCATGTTAAACATCTGACCAAATCATCATGTGGTAAACATACATTAAATGTGTCTCAGCCTAAGTAACTTTGCAGATTGCATTAGTTTTTGTTTACCCTTCTAGTACAGTTAACACCACATATCTCGATTTGGCAATAAGACAACCAGACTTGGATATTAGAAAAAGAACAATATTTACAATGACATCACACAGAGAAAAAAGCTGTATATTAAAACCGGATAATGTTTGTCATTCCCCTTGGTAAATAATTTGAACAACTTTTCTGCACTAGTTAAATCTTTGTCTAACATCCTCAGCTGCAGCGCTCCGGCGTCCAACAGAGCCTCGCTTCCACCTGGATCTGGACAGGACAGAGCCCTGGTCATCATCCTCATCTTCCCCAAGACCGTCCCCTTTCCTGTCAGAGGCTTCGGGGCTGGTCAGCCGCTCCCGAGGTGCCACCCCCGAGAGGAGGGGGTCTCCTGTGCCTGACAGTGAGCCACTGGGAGGCTCTCTGGAAGACGACATCGGAGGGATTCGCCCGAAACCCAGAGGGGAGCGGGTATCAGACGACCCCAGTGGCTCCCCACGCAGAGGCCTCCAGAAGTACCTGTCCCGGTTTGACGATGCCATGAAACTGCGGGGTCAGCTGGCCAATGAGAAGCCGGACCAAGATGGAGTGTCTGAACCAGAGGAGTTTGATCCCTTCATAATCTTCCGTCTCACTGGCAGCATCCTCCTCGCGGTTTTTGTCAGGGTTTTTGTCTGCACATTTCTGGTGAGTCTTTTGGCTGTTTTAACTGTGTTAACTATGGCAACTGTGAGAGTGACCCATGGGTTATTTGGCATCTTGAAGCTGTGGTAGGCAGGATTGTTTTCCCATCATAGGGCACAATTCCATAATAACTTTTTTAGATTGTAATGCTCTCTGTCTTAAGTCCCTTGAACCAGATGAGCACAGTTATATTTCTTTATCACTGAACACCCACACTTTACTTGTACCAAACTGTAAATACTTTTTTCTCAACCCACATTTAATAATATTCAGAATACCTTTATTTGTCTCTCTGAGTGGAAATGTACATGTGTTACAGAAAGTAAAGAGCCAAAGATAGCTATATTAGGGCACCTGACTACCAGAAACGTAACATCTGTTTTGTGTGTTTTTTCATTCTAGTCAATATTTGCTCCATTTCTGACCCTCGAACTGGCCTACATGGGGTTGTCTAAATACTTTCCAAAGGTGAGTTGGTAAAACATATTTTATAATTCCTTTCCCATTGTTAGAGACTCGAATATAGCATGTATGAAAGGAGTGTTACTTGGATACAGATTCTTATATTTTTAGCCATGTTTTTGCAGAAGTTAAACTATAAAAAGTTACTATAAAGGTGTGAAAACGTACAGTCCTATTTATCATTAATCCATGTTTCCCTTTCTTTATTTTTGGGAATGTACTGTTTCTCACAAGATGTAGTATTAGTTTTTGACAACAATTGGGTCCCATCTAAACATAACCCATTGATTGTGTATTTATATTCAAAGACACACCAGGCTGCTGGCAGTAACTTCTTTGAGGTTTCAAGAAAACCAGTGGAGACTGGTTGACTCAGGGAAGTCACTGCCATAGCAAATCAATATTCCAGTAACTCCCTGTTTAACCGTTGATCGATTTTCCTTTAAAAAATAAATTGGATAAATTCTAACGAGTTAAAAAATACTAACTTGCAGCCATGCATCATAGGGTAAAGGTATTATTATTATACTCCTGTTCCTCCAGGTAGATAAAAAGCCCCAGACCACCGTGCTGACCGCCGCCCTGCTGCTGTCCGGGATCCCCGCTGAGGTCATCAACCGCTCCATGGACACCTACAGGAGGATGGGGGACGTCTTTGCTGACCTCTGCGCTTACTTCTTCACCTTCATCCTCTCACACGAGATCCTGCTGTTCATTGGTTCAGAGACTCCCTGATGGACCATGGGGAACTTACTAACCCCGCCCCCCTTCTTGTTATCATTTCCCTCTCTCTCCCATAGCAACAGTGCATGGTCGTTTATTTTGGCTGACGTGGCTTTTGTTGTGGACAGTCTACAAACGAGTCCTTACTGCCTTATGATCAGGGTTGTACATGCGACCAGAGTCCAGTGTTCGTTACAGATCGTCAGGTTATATCTGCTCCGGGCTGAACCTGTGAAACAGGAAGACAGCATGTGTTTGCTTTTGAAAAGATGTTCTGTGGCATTTATCGTGCTGAGAAATATCTATTTTTCAGGTCTAGCACAGAAAAAAATCATACTGAAAAGTAGAAACCAGTTCAGCTCATTATCCGTCAGAGTGCATTGAAGTTATTAAAGCGCTGAGCGATAATTCTAAAACTCACAGCATTCAGTAAACATGTCTAGTAATGATGCATATCACAGTGTGGGAAGTGTATGCCAAATCACATAAAGTAAGCAAACTGTTTCAATGCAATGACCTATTTTCTAGTACTTTGCATTACATCAGAAAAACCAAACAAAAATGGTTTTGTTCTAAGATGTCTCTCTTTATTCTCAAGTTTCTGACTTGAATCTTCACATTTTCTCATAAATTCTGGGATTAAAGGTTTCTTTCTCCACATAGGGCCCTTTCCCCTGTCAAAATGAATCGGCTATCAAGAAAAGAAGATACAGAAAATAAATGACAATGAATTTACTAGGGACAAAACTGAATTTCTTCTCTATCCCCTACATATGTTTTGATTTTTAAAGTCCCAAAAGTGGAGTGTCATAGTTACGATCCTCCATTTTATAGTTAGTAAGAGATTAAAAAGATGATTTGAACATTTTACAGTAACAAGTTCCCGATGATTTTATTTGGTGTCTAAAGAACTTGAACTCTCTTTCAATTGATTGATGCGTTTGTGTTGGGACAGAATTCCTCAAAGGCAATCCCTTTAAGTCATGTTTCATTTGGATCTGCCACCGGGTGTTAGGAAGGAACTCCCGATGCAATTACAACTGTTCCTTTCTTTGTCTAAGAGGTACAACAAGCATTTAGTCCTTGAATGTGGTGTGTATTATTTTGCATGGCTATAGGAGCTTAAAACACAGTAAACTTCATACGATATAATACTAGTAATAGTAAGTGTGGCTGAGGGGAATGTTTTGGGTTATACTGGACAGTACTCCCGCTGGAAATGTATTAGGGGCAGTTTGTATGCTTATTTGTGTTGAGTCATTCTGGTGATGTGTCCTGCTTTGCTTTGTTTGAGTCTCATGCATACATACTTCATATATACTCTATACTACTACTTTTGTGCAGTAATGTCTTCTCCATAACTTAATTCATCCAAATTATTTATTAATGTGAATGTATTATTTCATGTAAATGAATTGGACTTGTCTGACCTACTTGATTATTTTTGATAATATTTACAGAATAACTGTTTGTAGTGGCTCTCACAATATTTTATTTCAGTAACAAATTCAGTGTTACAATATAACCTAATGATACGTCTCTGCATAAAGACATACGCAGGAATGACTAACCGGACAATTCAAACCAAATAAATACTACTTGTGTGATATATTGTATTTTGACTCGCTTTTTTCTTTTCTTTATAAGGTTAAGTTATAGCAATGTATAGGCAAGGATATAGCATTATTGTTGTACATTTCAGAATAAAGGGTCTAAGGACAAAGGCTGTCATGATTTCACAGGACCTATTTTACACCAGAGTGTAAAGCCCATAAATGCAAATGTGTGACTTGTAATATTTGGTTATGTAAATATTATTGACTTTAAATCCTTGAAATGCAAAAAATAAATGTGATGTTACATTAGGAAGAGACCAAATGATAAAAACTAAAACCCAATCATAAGGTTAGAGTAATTTCCGAGTTAATGTAGAAATGTATAACGTAAAAAAGTATTTTTAATCTTCACTTTTTTTTCTAGTAAATGTAGCAGAGGAAAAAAGAACGCTTCAATCTGATGTTTCATAAAGATAAAATATAACTGTTAAGAATGATGTATACTTTCAAGTTCTTTGTCGATGCACACAAATGACATTGTCGTTGACAAAATATGTAACTCAATCAATTCTAAATGTTTCTGTCATTGGGAGCTGTGTAGAATGAATTATTTTACTTTTTGAAATTAAGTGCATTTTGATGCTAATACTTGTTGTATACCTTTACTCGAATCGACTTTTGAGTAACATTTTCTACATTGTTGTATTGCTACCTTTAATTAATGCAAGAGGTGCCTTTGCCTGTGCTTATGTGCTGCTCATGTGTTTTTCTGTGCGTATGTGCTCTTGTATGTTTTCTTTTAATGCCATCAACCTGCCAGGGACTGCAGATGAAAACTAGCCTCTATGGCTAAATCTGGCACATTTATATGATGGACGAAAGTGCTCATGTTGATTAATGTGCATTGTCCCTTCTTAAATAAATAAATACAAATTATATGTAAACAGTTTGTAAAACACTAGTGATGTAGGCTATAAAATACTTGAATACAACAAATACTTCCAGTATTGCCCTTTTCTAAAAGAGCATATTAAAAGAGGTCTTTGTTTATATGTCTTTTCTAGAAATGTTATTTAAAAAGAAAATATTTGGGACACTGTTGCTTTGTGGCAGTGTTGTAGTTCTGACCTCCCTCCACGCGGGGGCGCACCACGCGGCTCACATTAGGAGTTTCTGAAGTTAGCGCTGTCGCAGTTTACTAACGTGGTGCTTCAAAAGACACAAACAACCGTCCACGGCACCAAGTCTGTGCAGTAATTTCACTTTTTTACAAGATATAACCTCTTGAAAGAGCGATGGGACGTGAGTCGAGGTATGTGAGAAATATCAGGTTCATTTGGTGTTAGAATCTCCATGGTGACTAACTCCTGTGGCCGTTAAAAACGTTGTATTGTTGATTAGCATGCTAGCTAAAACACATAATGTTAATTCAGCCCAACCGACAGTTCCTCTCATATACTGGTGGGATATTAATTCATATGTGTTTTCTTAACCCTTCTGTGATGTTCGGGTCAAAGCTGATCGATGTACTACTTTCATCAATGATATATTGTGTTTTACATTGCATTGACTCAAGGCCCTATGATATCCTCCCCAGTAGGCATTTGAACATATAACATTACTGAATTTGAACATATAAAATAACTTTCATTGTATTTTGAGTAGTTTAGACAACTTTGTAACACATATGATGTTCCAGGTCAAAAGTGACCCCCATAGGAAATGAATGGGTAACCCTAGATTAGGTTCGTCAGATAGTACACTCTCAAATCGACATGTTATATTTGGAATACATTTTTTAAGTGTCTATTCTTTATATATTATTCTTTCTTTCAGTATGACTTTTTTTAATTTATTTGCATTTTAATACATTATTTGATTACAAGGCATTCGTTGTTAAATAGACACAAAGATACATAAAGTAACCACATAACAATCTACAGATCAGGAAAATAAAGCAAACAAAAACAAACACATATTTATAATAACTTATAAGGCATAGCTTACACATAATGGATACAACATTAATACTCATACGTACTTGTACTTCTCACCACCTGGTCATTATAAATGTTTTGTGTTCTATAACTTAGCCATTTTTCCCATCTTTCATCAAAGATATGAACTTAGTTTCTAATTCTCATGTTTATTGTTTCCATTCCATACATTTAATTTACTAGATTCTTCCATTGTGAGTTAATTAAGTTGTTCTCTTAACCAATTCCTTGTAATTTGTTTAATATTTGCTATTCTTTTTGTAATAAGTAGGAATTCCTTGTGCATTCATTGCAGTTATTCATGTGAACAGTAGTCTGAGACATTGTTTACAGCTTAAAAGGGGGTTCAATAACATTTGGTGATGATTAATGGTTTTTGTGTCAATGTAAAGGCAGTTAAAACAGACGGGTCAAATGTGACACCAAAGTAAAGAGGAGAAATGAACAAGTGGTTGCCAGTTAAAGTGAGTTTATGTTTGTCTGCTCCTCAGACACTACAGGAAGCGCTCTACGTCTCGGGGCCGGTCAGGCAGCCGATCAAAGAGTCGCTCCCCGGACAAACGCTCCAAGAAGGACGACCGGGACCGGAACAGGAGGGAGAGGTCCCGCAGCCGAGACCGCCGGAGGTCCCGGTCCAGAGACAGAAAACGACCCAGGTGTGTGTGTGTGTGTGCGTGTGTGTGTGTGTGTGTCCTACGTGTGGGTTTGATGAAAATGCCAGTGTTGAAAATCTGAATCATATATTGAGTTTATTGCCAGGTACGTGTACACATACGTTAAGGGCTCATTGCATTGGGGGAATATTGTTTCAGAAAACATGAAATGCACGTCTCCTTCAAACCTAATCCATGCAATTACAGTTTATGGTCTTATTTGTTTGCATAAGCTCTAAATTAAGAAATGACATGTTTCAGTGATTTATTTCAGATAATATGACGGACCAAGTGAGAACATAGTGTGTTTTTATATCATATGTTTGTCATTGCTGTGCAGGCGCTCCAGGAGCAGAGAGAGGAGGAGGTCCAGAAGCAGAGACAGGAGGAGGTCGGGCAGCAGGACCCGGGCTCGGAGGTCCCGATCTGGAAGCCAAAGCAAGAATAGGAGGCCTGATGAAAAGTAAGACTTCCTTTATCAAATATAACATCTCAAGACATAACTGACAGCTCTGGTAACCAAAAACACGCTGTGATATCTTCCCTACAGGCCAAGGAGCAAGGAGAAAGACAACATTGATCCTTTATCTGACAAGAAAAAGATAAAAGAGGAGAAAGAGGATGAGAAGATTGAGGATGTAAGTGTCATACATTTCATTAACATCTTAAATCTTGTAGATGGGGCAATGTTCCTGATCTTTCTTTGTGTCTCCATGCAGCAAGACTTTGACCAGAACAAGCTTGAGGAGGAGATGAGGAAGAGGAAGGAGCGTGTGGAGAAGTGGAGGGAAGAGCAGAGGAAGAAGGCCATAGAAAACATCGGGGAGATCAAGAAAGAACTGGAGGAGATGAAGCAGGGCAAGAAGTGGAGCTTGGAGGATGACGAAGGTGAGCAAACACCATTAAGAATGACTGCACAAGAGTTATATAAGAAATCAATTACGTTTACAAAAGAATATATATTTATTTATAATCTTACAGACTTGACCAGTAACACTTGAGCTTTAGCACTTCATTTCCATTTAGCCATTTCCATTTCATTTCAGATGATGACGAGGATATGTCGGCTCCAATGGAGGGGGACGATGAGGAAGAAGGGGAAGAGAAGGGGGAGGATAAAGAGAAGGAGATGATAAAGGAGGAAAAGAAAGAGGAGGGTGAGATGGAGCAGGAGACCCCTATGGAGCAGGAGGAGGAGGAGGACGACGTGGACACTCTGGACGCCTACATGGAGGCGGTGAAACAGGAAGTGAAGAAGTTCAACATGGGATCCATGAAAGGAAATGATAAGGTGAGTTTTAAGGGGAAAATATGCATCACTTTAGCCTGGAGACAAATTAGAAAGTATTTAAATGTTAAAGAACAATCTCTAGTTGCAGCTTATCGTTAACGATGCTTCACATGATGTATTGACTTTGATTAGAAACCTGAAGGAACTGCAGCAAGATGGATGACCACCTCCTGCCCGTTGTCAATCTGTCTACCAGTGTTGGACATCTTTGTTCATTTGTCTTTACTTTGATTTGCCAAATGACCTGCATGTTTCTTTCCTCTTTCAACAGAAAGGAGGAACAATGTCAGTAACCAAAGTGATGACGGTTGTTAAAACCAAGAAGGGACCCAACACTCACAAGAAGAAGGGTGAGCTGATGGAGAATGACCAGGATGCTATGGAAGTAAGTTGTTTTGGTTTATTTTAGTAACACTAGTTCATGGCTGTTTGGGAAGCTGGGAACACTTTTAAATGCATTTCTTCAATACTAAGAGCTAGGGCTGCTCGATTATGGCAAAAATCATAATCTTATTTGGGTCAATAATTGATTATTAAAAACGATTATCCATTTACTTTGAAAACATCCATTTATTGAAAAAAAATTGAACAGTATGTTTTAAACAGTTGATTACCCTGAACTTTAAAGGTAGGGTAGGTAAGTTTGAGAAACCGGCTCGAGATACACTTTTTGTTATATTCCATGGAATGCTCTTAACATCCCGATAGCAATGAATATCTTAAGTGCTTTGACAAAAAATCCATAAAAAAATGTCATCTGTGGAAGCCGTAGTACTGTAAAAAGCACGACCAATCATTTTAGCCTGCCCGGCTAAAATAACTGGATGGCCTACCTGCCTGTCAGCCTTCCATCTGTGCACAAACTTATCTCGTGCCCTCATTGGTCATGTGTGCGTTCGTGTGTGTTGGAGGAGGGGCTCTGTAAGGAAGTGGCAGATTTTCTCCGGTTGTGTATTTTCAAATTCTAGTGATCTCGAGCCGGTTTCTCAAACTTACCTACCCTACCTTTAAGTATAATTCAACTGAAAAACCAATACAAAAAAAAATAATACAAAAAATAAATTATAATTTAAAGAAAATAATCGTTTTATTTCGATTATGTTGTTTTCGTAATCGTTGCAAGCCAAAATCGTAATTGCGATTTAAAATACGATTAATTGAGCAGCCCTACTAAGGGCTTTTCCTTTATCAGCTAAAAGAGCTCTTATTTCCCCAAAGCAACATAACTCACTGGGTTTTACCTTGCATAAAGACAAAAACATGTTGACAGTTCCTGATTTAGACTCATCAGGTGAAAAGTTTGACAATTCCATAACGTTTCCTCCGATGGAACACAATGCTAACTTTCCAAAATGTTACCGTTGTGTTTGACAGTACTCGTCAGAGGAGGAGGAGGTGGATCTGCAGACGGCTCTGACGGGCTTCCAGACCAAAACGAGGAAGGTTCTAGAGCCTGTCGATCACGGGAAGATTGAGTACGAGCCATACCGCAAAAACTTCTATGTGGAGGTTCCTGAGCTCGCCAGGATGACTCCAGAAGGTTTGTAAACACAAGTTCCTCTTACCCCACAACTGAGATTTTTGAGATGGAAAATATCACATAAACACGACCACTGTACCCTCATGATTTGAATGAATAGACTGCACATGTAACATCTGTGTTGTTCAGATGCAGTTTTATTAAAGAACTCTACACGTGATGCTTCTGTCACAATTTACAAGAATAGGTCCCCCAGTTTATCATGCAGATTTTAATTGATTAAGTTGGCTGGGTATGACACTTCAATACTTTATCAGACCATCAGGGGAAATAAATAACTATATTCAGATATATTATATTGTAATTCATTCCTCAATAGGTCATGGCAACATTTGGTGGCTTTTGAAACTAGTGCCAGCTACTTTCATTTGAAAAGAATCTGCAACATCACACACGCATTTTGTGCCATCCTTCACTACCTGTCTAACCTTTCCTATTTGGCTGGTTTGTTTTTGAATCAATACAGACGTGCACTTGTACAGGTTGGAACTGGAAGGCATTACATTTAAAGGGAAGGGCTGTCCCAAACCTATCAAGACCTGGGTGCAGTGTGGAGTGTCAATGAAGATCCTCGGTTCTATGAAGAAGTGAGTCTGACATTGTGGACCTATGATGTGAAGGACTAGGCAACTTCTTTTAGGCAAATTAAGTAATAAAGAAAATAATCTGTTTCACGAAAATGTAATTAGGCAGTCAGCATGTGTGAAAATGGTCTAAGCTGTGATTTAGGTTAATGTGCAAAGAGCAGCTCCCATACAAATATAACTTATCCTATTTAATGAAGTCTGTCCTATTTAAATGTTTGAACAGTTTACAGCTCAGATCAGCCAAAAATCATGACTTTTTTTGCCTGACCAGAAACTCACACTTCATATTCATGCATTTCCTCACAAATGTACACAGACAGGGCTACGATAAGCCCACTCCCATCCAGGCCCAGGCCATCCCTGCCATCATGACGGGCCGTGACCTCATTGGCATCGCTAAGACCGGCAGCGGGAAAACCATCGCCTTCCTGCTGCCCATGTTCCGACACATCATGGACCAGAGGCCCCTGGAGGAGTCTGAGGGACCAATAGGTAAGGACTAGATCATTGTATACTTGCTTTAGGCATCAATCTAGCATGCCCATTCCTTTTTTATATTCACCATTCTTACAAATTAAAATGAGTTCTGATGTCAGACTGTGCTTTTCAAAGACTTGCTTTGAATATAGGGCAATGGTGACTAAATGAGGACCCATTTCCACTTTGGAATAATAAGCAACTGGCTGTTATGCTTTCATAAAGAAAGCAACATATAGTATTGCATGCATGCATAGTTTCAATGTATTGAAATGTTAACCCTTGTCTCATGAAGTGTATTGTATTGCTAGGTTATTGCCAAAACATCTTCTTATCCTGTTTGTTTGTTTATTTATTTCCCCCTCAGCTGTCATCATGACTCCGACCAGAGAGTTGGCTCTTCAGATCGCCAAGGAGTGTAAGAAGTTCTCCAAACAGCTGGGACTCCGGGTGGTGTGTGTTTATGGAGGAACAGGCATCAGTGAACAGGTAAACACCCACGCTAATGTTTCCTGTTAATGTTACTTCCCCACAGGCTTTAATCAGCTTACAGTTAACTCAAGTCAATCTATCAAAACAGTTAAGTCAAGCTAAATGCTGCACGATAATACACAATGTCATTGTCAGGGTGCAATGCAATCTTTGATGAAATGAAATGGCTTTATGCCTACATTTACACTACATGATTTTAGCCATGACTTTCTTCTGGCCAACAGTTTTTGGAGCAGGTTAAATATCGTGATTGGTCTGCAAGTCCAAATCCTGTATTCTGACATTTGTTTCGACGGGCAATGATGACAGTAACAACCGAGAGCCAATGAGAGCATAGTATATGGGTTAAAGGAAAAATCAGGGGCATGAGACTTATTTCTCTATTTCCTTTCAACTCTCTGCAGAACAGTTACTCCTTAGCTTCCCCCATATTCCCAAACATGTTCTCCTGCATATTCCTTCATTTCTGCTTTCTTTTTAGTGCTGCAAATCAGCATTAAAACTATTTTGTTCACTTCCTTCTATTAGTATCTTTAGATTATCTTAAACGCCAGTGACTGGATAACTTTGTTAGTTAGTTATTCGATTGTGTAAAAAAAAAAACAGACTGATTAATCTGATCAAAACAGTAATTGTTTGTCTGTATGAGAAATATGAAACAGCTTTTTTTGTAAACTGTTGTATTCATTTTGAACGTTACACTAATACTTGAATTTGTTGTCTGTTTCCAGATTGCTGAGCTGAAGAGAGGAGCGGAGATCATCGTGTGCACACCGGGAAGAATGATTGACATGTTGGGGGCCAACAGCGGTGAGTTCATTCCCCCTCGACCCTCCCTTCTTTATTCTTGTAGGATGTCACTGCAAATAAGCATTTATAAAGCCTTGTGAGCCTTTTGTTAATTACCTTGCATGAAATTAAATGTAACAATTGATAAAGTACATAATTGCCCAAGTCAGTACCACTTACTAAACTGTTGACATTATTTGACCACCCTTGGGATCAGTCATATCTACCAGACAGTGATGTGTTTCCTGAAGATCAGGGCAAGTACAGGTAGGTGGACCTGGCGCTGTCTCCGTGGTTCCTCAACTCCAAGCCAGAGACCATCAAAATGTTTGATAAGTGTATTGTACGTTGGTTTATCAGGATGTGTATTTATTAGGGCTGTCAATTTGTGAATCAAATGTATAACTATTAATCGCATAAATCCGTAGTTGCTTGAGGGGAAGACTTTTACCAGCGGGTAAACTATTGTGTGGCCATAACAGGTATTTAAAACAATTTGACAGTGCCTACTATTTACGATCCAACTGACTGACATTTTGCGCTGCGTGATTTCAGAGTATTCCATTGGTTAATTCACTATTTTAATTATTATCTTTTGGCCAAAAATCAGAGCCACAAAGACTGCTCCTGCTGAAGGGCAGCGGTTTACAATACCATCCGTATATCAACTTAATTCATAAAAATGTGCATTCATTCGCAATGGTTTTTGATCCAATCATTCCTATTAATTTATCCTAAAAAAGAGCAAAACTGTTAAATTGACAGCCCTAGTACTTGTGTTATATTAGGAGTCGCCTTGATGCTCAAGCAGGGTTCTACAGAGTTGTTCTTTTGGTTCTTATACTGTGAATAAAAAATGCCTGTCAAAGTACTTACTACTAATAATTGTAATAAACAATATTAATTAAATGTTAAGACTTTTGAGTCACTGCTATTATGATAATATGAAATAAGTAAAAGGCAAGTACACCCTTTCAGAGAGCGATGACTTGTATCTCACAAATTAGGTTTTGTAATGTATTTGAGCTCATGGAGCTTATTAGCCAATTAATAACACTGTGGAGCCCTGTGCAGCAGTAGGCCTTTGCATACAAATATAAAGAAATATTGGAAATGTGTTAAGAAAGCAGTTATTGTAAAACTTTAACTTTTTAATCGTGCATTTCAAAATATTTTCTGAGCCTTTATTATTAAAAGGTTTTTGTTGTTTCCACACATGCGAGGTAATCTGTAATATGTTTCCCTTGTAGGTGAAAAGGCGATTGGTCAGATATTGCTTGGGGCTCCATCTCTTGTTTTGTATCTTGAGGCTGTTTTCTGACTTTTACAGGTCCCTCATGTCCCTGAGATGGTACGCAAGCCCAGAGAAAAACTATAAAAAAACATGTACAAATATAAATCAAATCCAACCCTGGCCATTTGAAACTAGTCCACAGAAGAATACGCTCAAGTTGTTATATCATGTGCCTTGTTTTCTTTGCCAAGTAGTCTTACAACGAAAACGTTTCTCTGTTTTGTAGATATGTTTAATCTGTATGAAAGCTAGAGTGGGTATGACAACGAGGACTGGCTTTTCTTGAAGCTAACTGTTTTCCTTGTGCTCATCTCCTTCGGTGTGTAGGTCGAGTGACCAACCTGCGCAGATCTACATATGTGGTGTTGGATGAAGCAGACAGGATGTTTGACATGGGCTTTGAGCCACAGGTGGGTCTTTCCAAGATGTATTGTTCGTATATACGGTTTATCTTTCTATGCCTTGACCACAGCGCCTGAAAGTTAGCACGGACAGGATTTTGTTTCTTGTTAATCGTGAATATCATCAAATGTGACTTGAAAAGCTTTTCAGATTGCTATAATGCTCGAGAAAATAAAACCCCAGCCTTATTTTAAGATAAAACACAATGGTGCTATAGGAGGAATTTCAGGTGATGAAGTGGGCAGGTGTTACCTTCGTTGGTTATTGGCTAATGGTTACACAACCAAAAAAACAATGCGACATCACAAATCAGAATCGGATCAGCTAATTTTCAGACAGGTTTTTATATAAATGGATCAGGACAAAAACTTACCGAATCTCTTAACACATAGGGGACACATGTTTATGTATAACAGACATGAAAAAGTTGATTTTGTATAGTAGGTGACCTTTAAAAGGCACAGGATTATAATGTATGAAAGTACAGTCTTTCATATCTTTGCTATTTTATTTATCTCTTATGATTTATGATTTTTTTTTCTCACTAAAAGGATGTGCATTCAACAAAAAATGTGGCCCATCTTTGACGCAATTAAATTATTTTTCCCTTTGCAAAACTCAAAGTAATTCCAGTATGTTATAATGTAATGCCAGTTTTATGCATATTTTGGATCATTTTCAGGAGCATATTGTAAATCCTTATTTTTGGCCAGAACAATTGTGACATTACATTTTCATATTGTCCCATACCTAGTATCACCTGGATGTATAATTGCCCACATTCTCAAACAAGCACAAATTACAAAGTTAAAGAAGGGAAAAAAGGAGACATATTTTGGATAATAAAACTATAACAACATTGACTGTCATTTGTTACTTTGGATTTTGTGCTTCCCAGTATAGCAGTGAAACATAGGATAGAAAACAATGAGCTTAGGAACGAGTAGACGGCTTTCTCTAACCTTCAGGTGTATTCTGGTTCCTCTACCAGGTGATGCGTATTATAGACAACGTGCGTCCAGACCGTCAGACGGTCATGTTCTCCGCCACCTTCCCCAGAGCTATGGAGGCGCTGGCCCGTAGGATCCTGATCAAACCTCTGGAGGTCCAGGTGGGGGGCCGCAGTGTGGTCTGCTCTGATGTGGAACAACACGTGGTAAATCATCTTTCTCTCATTTAAAAAATGATTTATTTAAATGTCAAATGTATTTATTTTGTCAGGTTTTTTAACAAACTTCATGATTTCGCATTGGTTTAAGTGAGATTGCCCCTTTGTTTAAATTCATATTGGCCACTCAATCCAAATCAGTCCTCATCTTTCTCTCTTCTTTCCTTTTGTGTTTCTGTAGCTGGTGATTGAGGAGGACAAGAAGTTCCTGAAGCTTCTTGAGATTCTGGGTCACTACCAGGAGAAGGGCTCGGTCATCATCTTTGTTGACAAACAGGAGCATGCAGACTCTCTGCTGAAAGACCTGATGAAAGCCTCGTACCCCTGCATGTCACTGCACGGAGGTAAGGGGGCCACTTGTTACAACTTTGTGATATTTGGATGTGTTTACAATTTGGGTGTGTTTGAGTGGTGTCTTTTAGTAGTCCAGAATCCCAGATATGTGTTAACTCTACAAAAATGTAAATGTATTTACAACTACAAGAGCACTCGGAGGCCAATTAAGTACTCTTCTTTTTGCTGCTGCTTTTAATTGAACTATTCATATCTTAAAGGGGACCTATCATGCAAAATGCACTTTTGTACGTCTTTTATACATGAATATGTGTCCCCGGTGTTCCAGGGAACTCACCAAGTGTCAGAAAACACAACCCTCTCTATTTCCCTCCATACCCAAATCTCTAAAAAAGGGGCTGCAACGGATCTGATAAAAACTGATCCAAATTTGAACACGTTACTGACGTCAGGACGGTGGCGCTACGGCTATTGGGCCAACTCTCCACCTATCAGGGGAATGTGGGGTTGGGCCACGGCCGGCCATTGCCGCTCGAAAGCGCTGGAGACGCTGTAGTACATATGCCAGGCCTGTAAGTGGCGCTGTAGTCTGCCACAAAAGCAGCGAAGAAGACTTCCCGCCCATAGTTACCATGGTTACCCTTCTGTTTATTCTCCGCTGTGGCTTTTTTTCTCCCTCCCCGAGGCAAGCGTTTGCTCCCGCTGCAAACGCTTGCGGGGAGGCAAGCACTGTAATTCTCTCCGGTTAGTCCACCAGCAGATGACAAACACCCACCTCTCCGCCTCTTCCAAGGAACGAGGGGACCGTGAGGCAGAGTTTCAGTTTCAGTTACTTTCGCCGGTCAAGATGTCCGTTAAAGTTTAAATCTTCCGGACAAAATTAGAAAAGTGCCGGTCAAAGGTCTTCTTTGTTATTTATTGAGCTTTAAAACAAATGAATAACGACTCTATATAGGCTATAATAAAACACGGAGGACGAAGATCTCTTTTTCTCCCCCTCTTCTGACAGCCCAGCAGCTGATCAGAGCACGTCTCCCCTCTCCTGCAGGGGGGCGTGGTCAGCAGAATCAGACCCGTAGACAGCAAACAGCACATAGATTGAAATGAGGCATGGCTAAAATGCATGATCCGTTTGGTATTTTGAAAACAGAAACATATAAATATACCTTATATAGGTATGGCCCTACAATATATCATTTAAATATAGCATGATAGGTCCACTTTAAACTGCACTGTGACTTTTATTCATGTATTTTTTTCTTTTAATGTTTATTTTATTATCTTTGCTTTTTAATGACTGTTTTTAAATGCCATTTTCGTAATGTCTTTCATCTTTGTAAAGCACTTTGAATTGCCTTGTGTTGAAAGGTGCTATATAAATAAACTTGCCTTGCCTGTGAAAAGTATGTACACTACATACATTATTAAGTATAGTCTGCTGCCAGCTTAATATGGCCACTTTGTTCTTGTATTGAGTCTAAAACCTTCCTACAGCTGCAAAGGGAGTGGTCTGATTCTGCCTTACCATAACTGAAGTCTAGTTTTTGTCTTTTATTGATTAATTTCCTGCTGTCCTGTTAGGAATTGACCAGTACGACAGAGACAGCGTCATCAACGACTTTAAGAACGGAGCATGTCGTCTGATGGTGGCCACCTCTGTGGCTGCGCGAGGCCTGGACGTCAAGCAGCTAATCCTGGTGGTCAACTACAACTGTCCCAACCACTACGAGGACTACGTCCACAGGGCCGGACGCACAGGCCGCGCAGGCAACAAGGTCCGTTACTAAGGAATATGTTTGCATGGTTTTCAGGTGCATATTTAATAGCTTCAATCCTATGGAAGTTTATATCTTTTCTCGTCTCTAAATCTTTCCTCAAGGGCTTCGCCTACACCTTCATCACAGACGACCAGGTTCGCTATGCGGGGGATATCATCAAAGCCTTGGAGCTGTCCGGCTCTCCTGTCCCGCCTGAACTGGAGCAGCTTTGGTCCTCCTTCAGAGACCAACAGAAAGCGGTAAGATGAGAGAAAGGGGGATCTCAAAGTTTAAGAGTGTGTGGTGTCTGTCAAAATTAAATCTTCATTATTTCCTTATTCCCCTCTCCCCCCTTCTTCCTTCCAGGAAGGTAAGACCATTAAGAGCAGCAGCGGCTTCTCAGGGAAAGGCTTCAAGTTTGATGAAACAGAACACGCCTTAGCTAATGAGAGAAAGAAGCTGCAGAAAGCTGCTCTCGGACTGCAGGACTCTGATGACGAGGATGGAGCCCTGGATGTGAGTAGTGTTTACATTTCATTGTTAAATACATTACTTTAAATGTTTGTAAAACTGGCAACATGCTCATTGCAAAAAATGCAGCACTCGACTGTTTCTCTGCATCATCTAAAATAAAAATGTTGGTATATCAAGTGTGCCACCCAGCAAGTGAAAATTACAAAATCATATGGATTATTAATTGAATCATTCCAACCCATCTCAATGTATCTCCCCTGCTTTTTCCCCTCCTCAGATTGAAGAGCAGATCGAGAGCATGTTCAACTCCAAGAAGCGGGTGAAGGACCTGTCGGCTCCCGGGGCGACCTCCGGCTCTGCAGGATCAACGTCCTCCACATCGTCCGTCTCCGGGGGGCTGCCAGGCCTCGGGCCGACGTCTGCTGGAAACATCCAGAAACTGGAGATGGCCAAGAGGCTGGCGCTGAAGATCAACGCTCAGAAGAACCTGGGCGCCGAGGCTCAGGTACGTCGAATGCCAGAGGAGACATGGAGAGGATTTCTGTCAATCCTCACCTATTATACGTGGTGATTTTAAATGCAGTTGTGTTTCAGTCGCAGTGTTGGCCTTTTGTAAGACGGACACCAACATTTCAAATGTTCTGAATAGCAAAAAATGCTCACTGATGGACATGAGCCAAAAATGTGAATCATCAAAGAATTTATTTATTTTTGTACATATTGCAGTAAATTAAGTACAATTTTAAAGTCGCACAATTTGCAATATAAAAAAACAATTACATTTGAAAAGTCCTGCTGTAATAAGAAAATGTCAACTTTTATTTTTAACATGGAAGTGTGAGATTACAAACACTTATTTGGCATTATAAATGTGTGTATTACTAAACTACAACTGCACTGTAATTATATTTCTTATCACCATATATTACAAAGATTATTTACTGTGGTCACTGCTCTCTGGTTGTGGGACGAGGCAGCCATAATCTTAATTGAAAGAGCCTTAAGGTTTATGTCTATTAAACTGAAAACTCTCCATCTAATATTTATGTTTCTTTCTGTATTCTCTGTTCTTTAAGTTTGATATGTTATGCCAATATTAATTATGTACCATATAAAGCCAAACTGCTTTTCTCTCCTTGTACAGGACGTGATGCAGCAGGCCACCAACGCCATCCTGCGGGGGGGCACCATCATGACGCCCTCGGTGTCGGCAAAGACCATCGCAGAGCAGCTGGCGGAGAAGATCAATGCCAAGCTGAACTACACCCCCGTGGAGAAGCTGGAGGAGGAGCGGCAGGCGGCTGAACAGGCCGAGACCGTCAAGAGATACGAAGAGGAGCTGGAGATCAATGACTTCCCTCAGGTAGGCAGCACAAAACGAAGAACTAAAACATTCAGCAGATGCCTAGCTTATCCTGGATCTTTTTTATTTCTCACATGCCACAGTAGGTTTTAACTATACTACGGGATGAGGTTCAGGACGTTTAGATGGCTGTAGTTTCCCTTGGTCACAGTGAACCTCGTCTTGTCGGTGCCTAGAAGCAGCGGATAAGAAATGAAAATATAAACTCTGGAAGCAGTTTTCTTTGAAAGTCACATGACTTCATCAAATATGTATCTTTTATTGTCACAGGCATTTTTTTAAACATGTTTCAAATCTTACATTTTTCAGAATGGCATTAAATGTTTACCATTTTTAAATACATGTAATAATAATAATACATTTTATTTTTATAGCGCTTTTCTAAACCCAAAGACGCTTTACATTTGGGGAAGGGTAGACAAACAAGGACAGGCAATAAAACAAAACAAAAACAAAACAGAAAAACAAAGCCTATTATGTAAAGGCTTTGGAGAGAGTATTATTTATTTAGTTGAGTATTTAGGACTGAAAAAAAATCCTCTGCTTCATTGGGATGTGTGATCCAATCTTCTTTTCCCAGTTTAGCAATGCTCACTTTATACCACAACGTTACCAGTAAAATATGTCCTCTCACTTGAGGACAAATCCAAATTGTGCCAACTTTGTCAGAAAATGTTGTGTTTTGTGATGGACCACATTGCTCAACATAAAAACAGGTGGCCAATCTTTTTTATTTCAGGGCCTTTTTTGATGTTAAGACTTTGGTAGCAATCATGTCCAAATTCGAAATTGTATTTTTGATTCTGAGAAATGTGTATTCTGTTTTCTACTTTAATGGAATCTGTTGCAAATAAGGACAGAATCTAGCTAAAAATCTTTAAAAATGTTTCTCGTTCTGATCTACCGCAGACGGCCAGGTGGAAGGTGACGTCTAAGGAAGCTCTGCAGAGGATCGGTGAATACTCTGAGGCCGCCATCACCATCAGAGGAACATATTTCCCTCCAGGCAAAGAGCCCAAGGAGGGAGAACGCAAGATCTACCTGGCTATTGAAAGTATGTGTCAGGGAAATCAGTTTCAAGTGTTCAATGCGTTCTTTAACCTGTTAAGCCCGAGAGACCCCGGTACCGGGGCACTGCCGCAACATCTTGCAGGAAACAGTGTCTGAGGGCATGTTCATTTAATAAACTATGAATGTTTTATATCCATGTAACGGGGAGAAACTCATCTAACTGATCATTTTTTTTTTCTTTTAAAAAAACCCCCCCCACAATGCTAACGCTGAGCCTCTGAATTAGCAACGAGCGAAAAATGCTAACACCTTACTGCACCGAAAATCACTCGCAAAACCTTATTTATCTTTTCTCCACATCCATGACATCGTTTTACATCGTGAGGTGACACAGATTCGAAGGGTACCCTCATTATCACTCAATTATACGAAATCACTACGTTATAAACAAAAACAGACATCATAACATGTGGCGCTAGGTAGCTAAAAATGCCAACATGGTTACCTTGTCTCTGTAGTCTCTCCAAAGTGGTCTTCAATGGCATTAAAACGATTAAAAACGCTGCTGAAGTTAATCCATAGGTTAATCTAATGTGTCTGTGTCCCATTGAAATGATTTCTGATAATCGATGAGCAATAAAACTGCTTTTCCGTTTCTAGATGTCAGAGCTAGAGTGTAGGTTGCTCTGATGCAAAACTACATGCGCGAAGCCCCCACCTTTTTGTTGTGCAACGTGTGTGTGTGGGGGGGAATCCCCCTTCGATTCTATTGGCTCTAACGGTCAGAAAGAGGTGTCAACCATCAAAATCGACAAAGGGGGGCCAGAGATATGGGAAAAAAAACATTTCCACCCAAATCACCTCAGAGGTGGAGTTTTTTTGGCTAAACCTCTCTTAAAAAGGTCAAATGTCACTTGTTTTGCATCAATCTTGATACAGGGTACTTATTATATGTTGTACTTTGGATTCCTAAAGCTTTTAGTCTATCTTACCATCATCCAAGGGTAGTTTTCACTAAGTAAAACATAATTTTTGGACGGACACTATAATTTACAGTTTTTTACTATGTAAAATCTGAATTTTCTTTAAAATAAAAAACATCTATATTGTTCTGACTTTTCTACATCCAACTCACAGGTTTATCATTACTTTGAGAAAAAAGATTATTAATTTAACCCTTTTAGAAGGGAAGATATGGTCATTTGTTCTGGGAATGTCATTTTCAAGCCTGAGACCTGAAAAACAGGCTCAGGGCTTAACAGGTTAAGAACATTACTTTCATAATGACGTTCCTAATCTTTCTCTAAGCATCCATTGAGCTACGTCTGGGCTCTGTATTCACTCCTGTTTTATTGTGTATAATACATCTTTATCTACTGTTTAATAAAGAAGCGTTTGTTTTATAGGTGCAAATGAAATGGCCGTGCAGAAAGCCAAAACAGAGATCACACGGTTGATCAAGGAGGAGCTCATCAGATTAGTAAGTATCCTTTTCTTCTTACAGGAATCAATAACATCAGATTTTTGGAGCTTGAAAAATAAAACTGGGCATGTTGTAATTTATTAAATATCTATAAAAGATGTTTCTTCTTGTTTTTTTTTTCTTCTTTCCAGCAAAATTCTTACCAGCCGACGAGCAAAGGCCGCTACAAAGTGTTGTAGAGAAGAATCAAAGGCTCATGGAAGGAGTTTCCGTCTCTCAACAATCCCCTGTCATCTCACCGTGTTTGAAAACTATTTTAGTCTATATTTTTAATAATGTTCCCTTGAAATACCTAAGTTTACTGTATGGTTTTGTTTGTATTATTCATAATTATTCCCTCAGTTTCCTCTGTGCTTCACCTGACTTTCCTTTGATTTTATACCTACAGACCAGAAATACCCAAATGTCTGATGCAGTTTTGACCTCCAGTGTCATTGTACCATCACAATCTCCAATATGTCTTTTAAATATAAGACACACTTTCTTTAAATGTAATTTTAGGGGGGGGGGGGGAGGGTCAGGTGATTCACCCTGATGTACTGTATGTACAAGCAACATCGTACCCATAATCTTTATCAAGGAATAGTCAGATGAAATATGTTTTTACTTTTCTGCACAATAAAACAATGTGTTGCAAATGAATGAAATGTGTCCAGCTGTTTGCATTAACACATCTGCTGTTCTCCTGCCTACTATTTTAATTATTCAGTAGCCTCTCCTTTGTATATTATTCATCAGCAGTGGAGTGCTGTTTGATAAGCAATGGAACTGGATTATGGCTCATTTTAAGGACATTAACATAACATCTGTATTTATTTTTAATGGCATTTTCAGCTTTATTGGACGCAAATGAACAGTTTGGTGTCATTTAAAGTAAAAACACAGGGTTTGGATGTGAAAGTGGTTCAGCAGGGGAAGGAGACGAACCCCCTGTTAGTATTCTGCGCATGCTCAGACTGCGCTCCCGTCTTATTACATTTTAATGGAAAATGGCTGCGTTTCTTATCCAAACCTCTGGAGCTGGGCAATAAAATAAAAAAACGTTTGCAAACTGGCGCATCTCGTTAGGGTTCACAACGAAACAATCCGATGTGGAGATTTTACGCCGAGGTGAGAAGATATTTGGGAAAAATGCATCGACTCACGCTTTGAGGGATGAAAGATCATTTTTGTCCTTAACCCTTTCTGCACCGACATCTGAGAAACAATCGAGGTACTGTTACATTATCGCTAGTGTTGCAGGCAGGAGGGTGTATTTTTCTATTGGTTATTTATCCTAGATGCAAGCTGTCGGATCGCTTATCTGCGCACTTTTCTTTTTTATGCTAATGTTAAACCCTTTATGAAAACCGAGGCTGAATTAAGCCTTGGTGTTGTAACGTGACATGGAGAAGAGGAGCTTTTGTCGTTAGAGATGCGGAATATGTGCATATTTTTTGTGAATTAATATTACTACTATTACTGATAGTAAATCTCACACCTCCTCGCATCCTGTGTCCTCTGCAGGAATAACATCAGCAGCAGCCTTTAAAGCTCCCATGTCATGCTTTTCCGGTTATTACCCGTCCCCTTGTGTGTTATGAAGGTTTTTATGCATGTAAACGGTGTGCAGAGTCAAAACCCTTAAAGTACACCCTGTAGCGAGTAAAACTCTAACACAGAAAATAATACCTCCCCAAAACGCCTCGTTGGAGATACGTCACTGGCCATTTGAGTCTTCCATTTCGTTCCGGGTACGGCATGATGTCAAGCGGTACCCGGAACGAAATGGACCAATCCCGAAGAGCCGTTACGTTAACGTTACCGCTGATTGGTCCAAATTGACCGATCCACGGACTTCCTCACACACACATCTGTGTGCAGGGAGCAGGCAGCTCAGCTGATTTCTCCTCCCTGGCTGCAGGCTGCAGACCCATTCTCACAGCGTTTATCAACCTTTTTCTTACTCAATATCAAGCCACACTTATTGTTTTTACTTCAGATGTGAGTTTGTGTGTGCTCAGGATGAGTTTGGCTGTGTTTCGCTATGTATCCTAAACAAGGAAGCAACACCTCCACGGAGCTCAGCGCGATTCACAACGTCCCGACCAATCAGAGCACACTGTGCTCACAGGGAGGGTGGGGGCTGGAGCTTTTGGAGCTACAACGAGCCGTTAAAGGCAAATAGTGAAATTCAGTGAATACAAGTAGTTTACAGAGATGCTGTATGAGAAACCAATGTGAGTTTGGAAAAATGCACAGTATAAATCTATTTTAGTATACCTCAACAATGGAATTATGATCAGTGGAAATGGCCATGACACCTCTCCTTTAAGTATTTATTGCCTCATAGTTAGTTATGGACATGTATTGCTAGCAACAAAAATGAGTTTGGTCCTGCTATCAACTCATTGCAATAACAAGATTATTGTGTGTATGATTCAGAGAAAGTAGTAATTTCACTGCCACTCTACAAAGAGGTCAGAGGTCAGCTCCAGCTGGCATTCAGGCAGAGGTGGAAGAAGTACTCAGATCTTAGGCTATACTTACGTAGAAGTAGCAGTGAAGGAATACTCTGTAACAAAGTGAAAGTCCTGCATTCAAAAGTGTTACTCAAGTAATGTCATCTAAATGTGCCAAAAGTAAAAGTACTCATTCTGCAAATTGGCCCATTTCAAAATAATATATTTTATGTTTTGATTATAATTATTGGTGCATTCATGTGTTTATCAAAGCTGGTTAAGGTGTAGTTAATTTTAAATGCTTTGTATTCTGCAGGGTAGCTGGTGGATGCTACTCCAGGTGTAACTAAAGTTTATATTTCACATCATTCAAATAAATTACAATTTGCATAGTAACTAAAGGTAAATAATAGTGGAGTGAAAGTACAAGATTTACCTCTGAATTGTAGTGGGGTAGAAGAACAAAGTAGCAAAACATTTAAATACTCAAAGTACAAGTCACTCAAAATTGTACTTAAGTACAGTAGCCTACTTGAGTAAATGTACTAAGTTACTTTACACCACTGCATTCAGGAAATAGCTTGAAGGGCACATTAACATAAATTTGATTGTGTTTAAAAACCAACAGGTAGTCCTCTTGTAAGACTGAAAAACAGAGCTTGACAACACTTCAGATAAAGCAGAAATCTCACCGTTGTCTGTTTTGTTCAAGTGTCCTTATAAGTGTGCTCATGGTTGCCCCTATGGATGTTCACGTATTTGCGCACCACAATAACGTTTTTTTTATTTTGAGTAGGTTAGGTTTAGCCTTAAAACATTCTTTGCGTGCTGCCTTTGGTTTAACTGTATTTAACAGAGTTTCTGTATTAGTAGGCCCAATCTCTAAGTAATTGATACAATTTTTTCTTAAATTGTGGTTATTGTACAGTTTAGATTTATCAAGACTTTCAAATGCATTGTGATTAGAAGTCTTGATAAATCTAACTTCCCTTCAGCTGTAGGAACCCTTACGATAACGCTGTTGCAACTTTTTCCGCCCCCCCCCAGCAGAAGATGATGCGCCAGGTGACGACCAGTGACTTCTGCATGAGCAGCCGGCCGTCGTGTCTCGCCGATGACGCCCACCACCCCCCCTCCCACTTTGACCTGTGCACCCAGGCCAACAAGTTCTACCCTCCTCCCCCTCCGTCGGCCCTTCAGATGACACTGGCTCCCATGGTCTTACCCGCCCAGAGCCACAAGTCCATGGTGTGCCAGAGACAGGAAGTGCTCGGGGACTCGCCTGGGAAAGTATCCTGCATTAAGAGCACTGATCCGGCACCAGATGACGGCAAGAAGAAGAACAAGGCTGCCGGGAAGAGTGGCAGACGTGGGAGGCCCCTGGGAACCACCAAGCTAGCCGGGTACAGAACCAGCACAGGGCGACCCCTCGGCACTACCCGAGCGGCGGGGTTCAAGACCAGCCCGGGACGGCCGCTGGGGACCACCAGAGCGGCGGGGTACAAGGTCAGCCCGGGACGGCCTCCTGGCAGCATCAAGGGCCTCTCTCGCCTCAACAAACTAGCCTACGGTAGCACCTGCAGCGGAGCGGCTTTCCCCTATCCGCTAGTACACAAGGAAATCCTCTGTGAACCTTCCTGCAAAGAGAAGACAGCTAATGAGTAAAGGCTCGATTCCCCTACGTCGGTTGAATAAGAGACACATGTGTACAGGTCTTCTTGCCAGATTCTGGGGGAGATTGCAACCTTTCCCAGTCTGCTGAGAGGAGTTTTTTATTATTATTCGTGTTGGTGTCATCTGTGTGCCTGCCACCTGATATAATACTGTTAGTTTTTCAGTGCTACTGCTGGAGATCTATAGTGAGAAGGTTTCACTACACCTTGCTGTATCGGTTTTCTTGGGAAAAAAGTCAAACCAGATGTTTATTAAGCAGGGGGCGACTGTAGTAATAGGTCAGGACAAGTTCAATATTTAGCTTGCTTTATGTAGCATTCAAACACCATTGAATAATTCGTATTTTTTATTACTGTAGTCATTTTAAAATCTTTTATTATAAATAAAACAAAGTAGGCCCTCATGAGAGGATTGTGAGCCGCAGGTGTGTGAAACATGTTGGGCCGCTTTAGGGCACAAAACAAGGACACATTTTGCTACTGTATGTTCATCACACCATATTTGATTTCCATTTTAGCGGATGTTGGGAATTAACTCTTGTTCTTAATTTGCAAACACATGCAAAGCAAAAAGCGAGGAGAAAGAGGGACAAGTAGCAACATGGAAGGTTTTTCAGAAATGTGGTCTTTAATTTCAAGAGCAAAATGTGATATGTATCTCCTGTTATGTGTTACATTTGTAAAAGGAGGAATCTATCATCAAAGTAACAGTCGGGGGTCAGGTGCCTTGCTCAGTGGCAAGACAGATGTGTCTAAACCTCCACGCTAATTGCTACCAAACATTGAAATCAAATTTAAAAAATCTGTAATTGAATAAAAAAAACAGTCTTATTTGAATTGAAATAAGGTTTAGTCAAAGGTTAAGTTAACAAATGTATCAACAGGCATTCATTTTGAACTTTTGTTATCTGACATTTCTTCATTTTCGTTTCTACGGACATATTTAGTTTTATTTTCCAAAACAATTCCATTTTGCCACATTGCCATTATTTCTAATACCTTGATTTTGTGGTTACACATGATCAAATCTCCAAGTTAAAACATTTTTGCAACAGAATGTTGACTATCCATCAAAACCCCTGTTTCCATTATTTAAGGGATACAAACTTAGCTAACATGCACAATTTAAATAAAAAAAATATCTATATATATATTAGCTTTAAGGTCCCTTTCATCCCAAGAAAATCCGAAGATTGATATTCAAAATATCTTATCTGTAACATGAATGTGTTGCTGAATGCACTGATTATTACTAATATGGTAGTGACATTGTAGTTATAACATGTATTTACTGAAACTATGCTAAAAAAGAGCATTTATTTGATGTAATACGTGTGTGTTACCAACCCCAACTAAAGCCTCAAACATAGTCTTGCTAGTACAGAAAGAATACAAAGATACATTTTTAATTTGCATTTGAATCATGATCATGTATGGTTTTAATGCTGAATCATAAACAAAGGAGACCATCACTGATGATCCTTTCTTCTGTGCTTTTACACTGTGAGCCGCCAGGTTTTATTTAGTGGAGAATCTGCAGACAGGTGGCGCTGTTATTACAGTTATTACAGAAGCAGAGGTAGGAAAAATCACTTCCATTACATTCATCATCATTTCAAGTTTTCATTTTAACAATGAGGAGGTCAAATGGTGTCTTTTGTTTAATCATGTTGTCTAAGGTACAATACCAAACTGTAGATCTTAGACTGTTTGGGAAGCTGGTGTTTTAATGAAATGCTAAAATGTTTAATAATTAAGGCTGACGACAGGAATGAAAGATGCAGTCGTTTCATTGATTACATTTTTGTCATTTCACAAGATGCTTAATGCACACTAAATACAGAGTCAGTAATATTCAGAAATGGCTGTTTATGTGCATCACCGTACACTGTCTTTTATTATAAATGTAAAACTTTGCCCTGATTACCACTCAGTTTTTGGTATTGGTATAAAGGCATTTTAAATCCTGAGAGTTTAGAAACAGTAAAGCTTCACTGAGTTGCTCCCTCATGGTGAAATATAAAATTGTTACATTTGGTGCAATAATCTGTTGTATGTGTGTATTGTACTGTGGGAACTTTGATACTATCACTTTCTTATTGTCGTTGTATTTTTATACTTGTGTACAAGGCCTTCTCTCACCTGTTTTCTTGATGTGTGTAGTGTTACTGAAATGTCACATACAAACATCCTTTTCACACTCCTTTACCAAAGATTATGACGTTACCTAGTAGACTTTTACTCTATTTGATTTAAAAAATGTTCCGACATCTCACAAAATAACCTTAGCATGTACGTTACTGTGTAAAAGGTCAATGAAAAAGCACTTGGAGACCACTATCTCTTTAAAGGGTAGTATGATTGTTTGAATGAGGAAAAATACTTTAAATTGCATTTAAAGGTGTCACAAAGCCAGTTTCTTAAATGCATTGTAAATTGCTACACATTGATAATGTAAACTTAGTTCCTCGCGACTTATCGTATTTATATAATCTATTCAGCTTTGGCAGTAGTTCTCTTTTAATTATAGTTCTTACGGAGTGACGTTGTATTTGTTAATGACGGATTTTTGTTAGGTTTATGTCTGACATGACGCCTGTTTTACATTCTTGAGTTTTAGTTTTTTTTAAAGTCTTTGTGTTAGATTGTTTTTTTTTTGTTTTACTCATTTTATTTTCAAGGCTTTTTGATGCCTATGATGAGAGGGAGGCTAAAGGGATGCTGGCAGGATGCACTGTTTTCTGAGCAGTCCCTTTTTCACAGAAGACGTCTTGGACTGTCACATTATAAAATTCACTGTCACCATGTCACTGATTTCTGAGACACTTGAATTAACTGTGAATGAGCAACACATCATATTTGTTTTCTTTACCAGGTCAAATGTCTGCTTTGAAAAAGGACTTTATCTGTCCTGCTCCATGTTTATGGGAGCCTCAGTTCCACGAGCTTCCGCATGTTAATGTTGCTTTTTAAAAGCTGACACGTTATTGACTTTTATATTCATATTTAAGTCTAACTTAGGTATTTCCCTTTGCACTTAAAAGCACCAAGTCTTTAAATTAACATAAACGTTTATTTTGGGAACATTCAACAGCGTTAGTTCCTAGGAGGTGTTGCTGGTGGAACAGGGGCTAGTTTCTCTACCACTAATTTCTGTAAATCCATACAATCTTTCATCTGCAGATCTTGGTCCTTTTTTTAATGTTAATTAATATTCCCAAAAATGTCTTCGGCTTTTGGAGTTTAATCTTATTAGGAAGATTGATGAAAGAAAATGTATTGAGATACAAATATTAATAGTACAGAGACATTGTTTGACATGGTTAACATTGGGTAACAATTAAAGCAGGACTTTAACATCTGAACATCACAACACTTTTGTCTTATTATCGGAGATATTAGTTTTTCTGCACTGTTGCCAGATTTTTTTTAAAGAGCCAATACCTTCACATGTTAACCGTGTAATGACTGATTTTGTCAGCATGTAAAGAGTCACCTCAGAGCACCCTGTGTACGTCTGTTTCACTGAGTTTAAATTATTTGGGAAAAGTTGTAGGAACGTATGTCATGCAAAGTACTTTTTTCTTTCTTACCGACATTTGAACTGAACTGACATTTTGGATATGAACCTCTGAATGAGGACAACACAAAAGGGATAAGGAGGTTTATGGAAGTTGGTTTACCTAAAGACTCAATAATATGCCTAATTTATAGCAATTCCTGTCATTAAGCTGTAAATTAAATCAGTGCACAGAAATTCATACTTTATGTTGTATTTCTTTTCCCCGTGTGATGTACTCTTCCCACCATCTTCAGCAATAAAGCAACACATGGTATGTTGTCTGTAGGTGATGATTTTCCAAACTTTAACTCACCTATCGAGTGTTTTTGAGACAATGTGAAGCCTGTAAAGCTTTCTATAATTCCTATTTTATTCCTGCATGATTGTTGTGGAATGTTCAAAAGTTGTGTAATAAATCAGAAAATAACACACTTTGAAATATTGTCTTGAAATGTTTTCCTTTGCAAAAGAACCAGCATTTCACAAATAGGGTTTATCCGACTGATTTATCTACAGGTTTTTTTGTTACCGAAATATCTTAAAAACTGAATGATTGATACTCAGTAGAAAAAAACTAAATAAAGTAATTATCTTTTAAAATAATAGAAGTTTGCTGATAAAATTGTGACAACTGATCGATTTATTTATTTATTTTTACAGTTTTGAACATACACTTTTTATAAATGATTCCCAAAACGTGTTACATTGTAAAGACAGATGAATTTACCCTTAAAAAGATGATTAACAAGCTATTTCAAACAATTTTACATTTAAATTGTACCCATACTTTTTTGGTCACATTAATGAAGTAGATGGAATTTGTATTATCAGAACTAGAGCAACATAGAATGCAGTATAAACACCATTATGTAGCATACTAAATTATATTTTACATATTATTAAGTTTCCAAATACATTCATACATTTTTACATAATGACACTTTTTTCTTTTACATAATAACTCCTGTTTATATCAAATCCGTTTAGACATTTTGCAAATGTAGTATTTTTCCAAGCATAGTATGAATTGAAAATGTTTCGAAAATATAACGTACGAAATACACAGACAAAAGATCCAAAAGAGAAAATCACAGAAGGCTATAATAGGTTTGCTCTCTGGAGTGCAGACACACCTCAACATTAACTGTAGAGAGATAACACACTCTTTAAACTTCGGTCTAGTTCAGCTCACACAACTCCGCTGTGCTTCCAGAACCTTGTGGAAGCCAAAACCCAGGATAGAGAGGCTGAGTGAAGGTGGTCTGCTCTCTGTGGAGGAGGGTCATGGTGTCAGAGACGCTGTAGTAAGAGAGAGAACCTGCTCTGTGATCCAGGTACACTCCTATTCTGGAGGACTGAGGGCCTGAGATGGAAGTAGGAATATTGCTAGAGAATAATTCATATTTACCACCACCGTTACACCTTAATGCCCTAGATTTGTTATTTAATCCAAATCCACATTCATTCCCAGTCCCAGTTCTGCTAATATCTTTGTATGCCACTGCTATAAAAGCTCTCCCGCTCCACTCCACCTCCCAGTAACAACGTCCAGTTAGACCCTCTGTACTCAGGACCTGACAATTTGCAACAAATCTGTCTGGATGAGCAGAATATGACTGATCTCCTGCCATTCGTGTTGCTTTTCTGTTCCCATCACTCAATGACAACCGCCTGTGTGCTGTATTTGGATCCAATGTGATTTGACGAGAATATTTCCTGAATTCAGCTCTGGTTCTGGGCTCTGCTTGGGTCATTAAAACATCCACTCCAGTCACTGCCAGATAGATGTTTTCCCACTCCTCAGTCACAACAACCTGCAGTTTATCTCTGGTCTTTGACACCGCCACGGTCACATCCTCAAATAAGCGCAGAGGACAGATATCAATGCTGGGTAAGTCTTCAGACCCACTCAGACGTGACAGTGAGGGGTAGTTGTTTAGGAAATGCAGGTGGTCCTCGGTGTGAGAGAGCTGCAGCAGCTCAGCGTCTTTCCTCCACAGCTCAGTGACCTCCTGCTGCAGCTTCTCCTCAAGATCTTGAGCTTGACTCACTTGGGTTTTCTGCTGGGATCTGATCTTCTGCTTCACCTCAGAGCTTCTTTTCTCAATGAGATGAATGAACTCAGTGAAGATCTTCTCACTGTCCCTCACTGCTTCATCAGCAGAGCGATTGATAGCCTCCACCCTCTGTTGAAGCGCCTTGACGTCTTTCTCTCTGTCCTGGGCTCTCTGTTGGACTTTTTCCCGGCTCACCCCGAGCTCCTTCTGCCTGTCAGCCCTCTCTGCTTCAGCGGAGACTGTGTCATGGCCTTTGTGGTCATCCATGGAGCAGAGATAACAGATGCACTGCTGATCAGTGCGGCAGAAAATCTTCATCACCTCGTCATGACGAGAGCAGATGTTCTCCTGAAGCTTTGAGGTGGCTGCAACCAACTTGTGTTTCTTTAATGAAGCTACATCAAAGTGAGGTTGGAGGTGTTGCTCACAGAAAGAGGCCATACACACCAGACAGGACTTGAAGGCTTTCAGCTTCACCCCGTAGCAGTAATCACAGACCATATCTCCAGGTTTTGCAATGGAAAGATCAGGTGAAGCATCTTGAAGCCCTACTTTCTTCAGTTCCTCCACTAACTCTGCAAGCATGGTACTTTTCACCAGGGCAGGCCTCGGTGTGAAGCTCTGCCTGCACTGTGGGCAGCTGTAGGTTTTCTCCTCATTCTCCTTACCCCAGCAGTCTTTAATACAGCTCATGCAATAACTATGCCCACAGGGAATAGTTACCGGATCCTTTAGAATATCCAGACAGATCGAACAGCTACATTTTTCCTGAGACAGACTCACGTGCTGCGCCATTTCTCGACAGTGAATGTCAGTAAGTTTCACTTTCTGTTTCCGAAAAGCTAATTCCCTGATGTTGAATCACTGATCTACAATGTATGGGCTTTTCAGTTACATGTCACCACATGGTGCTTACACCATAGACTGTATATATAAAGGCTTACACCCGTCTTTAAACTGTCAAATCTGTGAAAGCGGGGGAACAACGTCTGAGCTGTGTAGACTTTGAGCAGGAGGAGCCTAGCCAGTAAATAAAGTTGTGTGTGTTTGTCGGGGGGGAGAAGTCAGTTCTATCTGAAAATCAATACAAATCATGTGACGTTATGCAGTAACTTCATGTAGTAACTTTTCTAACAATATGTAATGAGATCGTTTTAAGTAATTAGTTAGATCATGTGCTACAGAGTGCATTTCACTAGTTACATTTGTATTAAGACGTTACAATATTTTAGTTTTTTTGGTCCAGTTTTAATACTGAGATACATGCAGCAAATGGTATCTATACATGTATTTTTCTCATGGATATTTTAAGAGAGTTATTCTACATCCATGGAGTTATTTCCCCGTAAAAACATTTCTGCCTCCGGAAGCATGGATGTCTTAATGTCCGGTTGTGTTACATTTATTTTCTTCCGCCACTGCTCGGAACATTATTTCCTTAGAGCTGAAAAATTGCACCATGTCGTGATAACCGTTCATATTTGCACCAGGCTGAAATCGAAAAATATGACGGCTATTTTAAATAAGCTTCACATCTCGTATGTTTTATTATTTGTGTTATGTCTTTCGGATGTTTTAAGGCTTTCGGCTGTGATCGCACAAGGTAAGAGACTGACAGCTGCTTGTTAGCTAAACAGTGTTAGCAAAACACTGCGACCTAACAGTGTTAACATGTGACTGGTTATTATACTAAATTGTTAATGTTAAATAACACTCCGAACTCACAGTGTTATATTGATGCATGAAGGTGTTTATCAAAGCTGGTAAAGGTCCAGCTAGTTTTAATTACTTAGTATGCTGCAGGTTAGCATGCAAATGTAACTCCAGGTGTATTTAAGGGTTGATTTATGATTCACATCATTACACAAAATATGCTAAATTTAATAAATGTACTTGATTAAAAGTACACTTTTTACCCCTGAATTGTAGTGGAGTAGAAGTACAAAGTAGAAAAAAATTGAAATACTCAAGTAAAGTAAAAGTACATCAACATTTTACTTAAGTACAGTACTTGAGTAAATGTACTTAGTTACTTTACACCACCGATTAACAGGTGACTTGTTATCATACTAAATGTAATTATTGTCAGCAAGCTAGTTGTCCTAAAGTTGTCTTCTTAATTTAAAATATATCTGCTTATCCAAACGAAGCCATTCTTCAAAACTAGCTGATAACCAGGGTTTGGAGGGTTAGTTAAAAACATGTAATCCATTAAAATGACCAGTTACCTGTAAAAGAAAACCTGGGTATCAAAATATAAAAGTAATATAATAACCCAACGTTACTTTTGGATTACCTCAATATAAAATGCAATGCAAATAAATAAAAGACAAAATAAAAATCAATAAGATGTTTTTTACTCGAGTGTATTATGCAAGACAACAGAGCAATGTGACCTTAGAAAAGAAGAACAATAAAGATATTTAGGATCAAAATGATTTTATTTATAGGAAAACCTGCCTTTCATTAAGCATATCCAGGCAGTAGCCTATACACCAACAATGAAACACATGAGCACATACTACAGTTTAAATAAGCAGAAATAATATCTGAGAAAACAGAATAACCTCTTTTTAGTTGTTTTTTTACTGACATTGTATTCCTGCTAGTAATCCACACTTTTTAGAAATGTAGCAGTAATCTGATGATGTTTATATCTATCTAATGTACTGATTTTGATCTATGTATGACTTTTTTTTCAGAAAATCATGAGTCACTGGAGCTCAGTCTGTCAGAAGATGCAGTATCCGACTTGGAGAACAGCCCTAAGTTTGTGGAGTCAGAAGAACCGGACTCTCTGCCAAAGAGGCAGTTCAAGACAGCTGAGATCGCAGATGCATTGATGGGGACCGAGACCCCCATCGATCGATCTGACATCGAGTCCCTTTTCCCCAAAAATGTGATAGACTTACAGTCAGGCTTCTTCCCGCCTTGTGATGAGGACAGTGCCCAGTGTAGTTCCCCTGAGCTGGCTGCTGCAGGCGAGTCACTGGAGGAGAGGAGCGACGAATCCTCACAGCAGGTAACTGGGAGCACTGTAACTCCAATAGCAGTTGTACATTGCAGTTTGAAGAGTAGGGTGAGCTGAAACAATGGCAACTGTCAATTCATCATGCAAGTAAAATTTTTTAACACAAATACCAATTGTTCTCTGGCTGCAAATGTTCCAATGTGAAGATTTTCTGCATTTCTTTACCTTTATAATTTGAATATCTTTCTGTTTTTTGGCTGTTTTCTTAAATATTTTCTGCCTAAGATTGGAACTTATTTTTGGTGACATTCTGAAGCATGCTTGGATAGACTAGGCTAAGTTCAGTTAAAATGATCAGAGTGAAAAGTGTAGGCATAAGAGCAGTAGTTCAGAAGTTGACTTCTCTTTCAATGTGTATCTCCAGATTACTCTTGACATAGTGCGTGCGGACACAACGCCAACCGAGGAGCAGAACACCACAGAGACCGCCAAGACATACAAGGTGACCTGCGATAAGAGGAACACCACAGGAATGGACAACTTCAGTGTGCAGGTCCTCAACGCTTCACAGGTATGATGATCAGAATCAGAATCAGAAACAGGTTTATTACCAGGTAGGTTTACACATACGAGGAATTTGACTTGATGTCATGGTGCATACATAAAAAATAACATAACAAAATATTAAAAATAATAAGAAATATAGTAAAATATAGCAGTATTTATATATAAATGAAATGGAATAAAATACGGCAGTAATAAAAAAAGAAAACAGAAAACATGCCCTGGAGGAGTGCTATGAGAACTGTTAAATTCCAAATGCTATTGAGTTTTTCCTTATGTTAAAGACACATTTATTAAACAAGCCATAATATGCTTAATCATCCATTCATTACAATCAGAAGGCTACTATAATAATACAAAAATCAGTTTTGTATTACTGTCTCAATCCTAGTAGAAGTCGAATCATTTTTTCTTCATTTTTATAGACCTAATACTGTAGGTTTAAAGCTAAATATTCACCATATAATAACATGCTGTTCATTAAATTGTATTATACTATCAAGTGTTTGATGTGCAGTGCTGATAGTACTAGTAGGTGGAATCAAACAAGGGGTTGGTTTTATCCGTTTATGTTACATTTTTGTGCTTTTCTGCAATATTTTCTTCAAACCTACTGTATGAGGGCAACATTATTTTTGGTCCAGACTTTGTAAAAGATGTGATCAGACTTTGCTGATTTGATGCTTCATATTTAAAGGAGAAGAATCCCTCCCTCCCTCAGTCTTTGTTCTTGTTCCTCTCTTCTCTCAGGACCTGATGGACTTCCTGAATGCTAACGGCACAGAGTGCTCCGTGGTGCTCTTCTTCACCGCCTGGTGCCAGTTCTCTGCCGGGCTGGCACCTCATTTCAACGCCCTGCCCCGGGCTTTTCCCAGCATGCATTTCCTGGCACTGGATGCCTCGCAGCACAGCAGGTGATTATTCTTCTGGTATTAATGTGTATCCTCCCATCTCATTGTAAAAGCCCACTTTATAGGGGCATTTGGGATTTCTAATTTCTATGAGTTCTTTATGGTCTTAAGCTTAAGTAAAATGTGCTTATACCTGGCAGAATTACAACTCACAGTTTTATCGCAACTAGTAAACTGTCTAATTACATCATGGATCCATCGAAAAAGGTTATCCAGTGCTGGTTTTAACAACTTCGTCAAAAATGACATTTTCCCTTTGTTGGATTGTCTTATTTTTAGAGAAAATAAAAAAAGATTTCAAGATAAATCTACATTTTGTAAACCTTGTATATACGGTTTTGATACATTTGTGATGGATTGTGATACATTGAGAGGTGTGTGCTATATTCTGTATACCCTCATGTATGTAAATGTCTGAAATTTAGGAACACCGTGGAATATAATGCAGATGAACACATAATCGCCGTCAAACTCTTAACTAAAACATAATAATGTTAGGAATAATTTTTTGTTAAGATCAAATATACTGCATACAGACCATATCTAAAACTATAACTTCATTTGTAATTTGTGTGTCTTATTTGTTCCCATTTTTGGTCCACCAGCCTTTCCACCAGATTTGGGACCGTGGCAGTGCCCAACATCCTGCTGTTCCAGGGGGCCAAACCCATGGCCCGCTTCAACCACACGGACCGAACGCTGGAGACGCTCACCTCCTTCATCGCTAACCAGACAGGTACACACTAAATAGAAACAGTCTACAATAATGCGGTTTTAGGTTAGAGACAAGCAAGTTTAGTGTTGTTTGAAGATAAGGCTTACTCTTAGCTGGTTTAGTTTCAATTAATCAGTTCCTGTTGGTGACCACACTTGATGAAATCATAATTTGAAATGAAGGTTAACACAAAGGTTCTCAGAGACTAAGTAATATTAACTCACATAATACTTCATTTAGTTTTCCAAAATAATCGCCCTCTCATTCTGCGTGCCCTCTTAAAGCAGAGCTATGATGATAAATGTTGAAAGGACTTCGATAATTGCAAAAGCAGATCCCACCGTTATGATTGCGTGAAGTAAACTTTTCCTTCATATGAAGGTATGTTATCAATGCTATGCTAGTTTTCCTAACGTTAGATTTAGAAAAGTACAGCAATATATCACCTTGCTTACTATATTGCAAGATATTGCATCATAACCCTTGTATGACATATTGTATTCATAATCCAAAACACAGTCCTAAAATCAGGTTATCAGGTCCTACAACTATGTCCAGGTTAACAGCAGGGATTAGCCTACAGCTACTGGATCTGTACCATCATTGTAAGAAGACTGGAAGTGCATTCAACAAGGTATTTCTCATGTTTGCGAACGTGGACTAAAGTACTAAACTACCTTTTGCTTCTACACCTGAATATCTGACACTTGACTTCTCAGAATCCCCCACAAAATTGGACTGGGTCTTTAAGTGTTTGTAAGATAATTTGTGTGGTTTGAGGACACTTTTTATGGCAAAAAGAAATTGATTCGATATGTACAAAATAAAAAACATGTTTTCTTTTGTGTGGTTTGGTTTTATAATCCCAGCATATCCAGCCTGCTTTATTTTCTGATCATTTGTTTTTGTGCTCAAGGGTTTGAAATCGGCTCTGACAAAAACGTGACGGATACAGACCGCCTCGGCCCACTCCCCAGCGTCCCGGTGAAGAGCATCGACTGGCTGCTGGTCTTCTCTGTCCTCTTCATCACAGGCTTCACTACGTACGCCATCCTGCGGACGGACAGCATCCGCTGGCTCATACCGGGACAGGAGCACGAGCATCAGGACTGAAAACACAGACAGACTTCAAGTCACTCTGTGCAAACAACTTAGTTCTTTTTTTAGAATTAACAGTTGCTAATTTGCTTATGTTTCAAGTGTGTGAGCAATTGTGATTTATAATAAATAATGTATTGATTTGCAGCTGTTAACCATTCAGGGCTTTTGGCTATGTTTGAAGACAGGGCTTGTGCTTTTTCTATTCTCTTATTTCTTATTAAATATTGTTTATATCCTGAAGAAAAAAGGTATGAGCAGGGTCACATTAAGGAAAAGCTGCAATGGAGTTTAGTTTACTAATTTAATTAAAAAGAAAATAACAAGAATGTATCTAACATCAGAAGAATCAGAATCAAGTTTATTGCCAGGTACGTTTACACATACAAGGACTTTGCTTTGGTGTATGTGGGTGCAAACTTAAACATAAGGAAATAAGTTGTAAGAGAAGATAAAAAATAGACGGTTATAAAGAGAACATATTTTTTCAAAGTATTTAACATTAAAAATAATAAAGACAAGTATTTTCACCAAATATAAATATATAAAAGAAACAAAAAAAAATGTATACAATGAGTATGTGACAAACTGCATTATATTATATTTTAATATAATAATGAGGAGATTTAAGAGAGGTAAGGATATGTAGAAATGTGAACAAAATATTCAGAGATGAACATGGCTCACAGTATCAAAAAATAAGAACAATAATTATGTTTTCCAATGCATACCATTTTGTGCTTACAAAAATTATACACGCTTTTACAAATTATGAAAAAGCCTTTTTAAAGGTTATTTCAGTGGGATCATATGCTTTAAAATGCTGCTTAAATATAACAGATGTTCCATACATGTTGTCAGTGGTGTTATGTACTCAAGTTTTGTACTTACGATTTTGGGGTACTTTTATCATGCTAATGTATGCTACTCCAACACATTTTACAAGCCAATATAGTACTTTTACTCCACTACATTTATTTGACTAAATTAGTTACTAGTTACTTGACAGATTCACATAATTAGCTAATGCAAAAATATAGTAAATTGTAATGTATAATTATAGGTTAAGATATCCAGCAGTTGTATTTAAACTAAGTAATTAAAAGTAGCTCCACCTTCAACAGCTGTGATGAACACATTAATGCATAACAAATAATATTCCAGTAATTTAATATACATGATACTGAATTGAGCTATAGGTACTTTTACTTTTGCTACTTTAAAGTATATTTCGATGCCAATATTATTTTACTTTTAAGATCTTAAAGGTAGGGTAGGTAAGAATGGAGAAACCAGCTCGAGTAAGGTAGAATTTGTACACAACCGAAAAAAATCTGGCCCTTCCTTCAGACTTCCTTACAGAGCCCCTCCTCCAACACACACGAGCGAATGAGGGCACGAGATAAGTTTGTGCACGAGATGAAAGGCTGACAGGCAGGTAGGCCATCCAATTATCTGCCGCGGGCTGAGGCAGATCATTGGACTTGCTTTTTACAGCGCCACGGCTTTCACAGATGAAATATTTGTATATATTTATTGTCAAAGCATTTAATTTATTCATTGCTATCGGGATGTTAAGAGCATTCCATAGAATATAACAAAAAGTGTTTCTGAAGTGAATTACCTACCCTACCTTTAAATGCAGGACTTTTACCTGTAGCTGACCTGAGTATTACACTGAAGTAGTCCTACTGTTACTCAAGTAAAATATCTGAGTTCTTCTTCCACCACTGCATGTTGTCATTATTAACTCAATTCAAATAGTTTTTTATAAGCATGACCATAATCACATACAGTATTATTGCCAAAGCTTTGACTAGAAGATCTGGTTTGCAAGACCTGTATGGAGTTTTAACTTAGCCATACCCAGACTCCTTTAGAACATGTGGGATTTTAATCAGGCAGTTATCCGAACAGCTATGGTAGAGTGTGTGAGTACAGGAGAGGAAACAGGAGAGCAGCTGACACAGGGTCACTTATGTCTGTATTAATGTGTGGCCTGAGGCCCTGTAACCGTGTGTTAATACGGAGCAGTCTAATGCTGTCCGGGCTCTGCAAGAACCACTCGTCTAAAGAGGTGAGGGCTGCCTGCAGAGACAGGGTGTTAGCATTAGCATCCGACCTGTGTTGACAATGTGAAGCTGCAGTTATGCAGTGTCTAATTTCATGAGACAGTTAAGAAATGCACACCTGTATAGGCTCTGAAGTAGGCTAGTAAGTGTCCATAGCTCCATGCAAGACGCATAGTTATTTATGGAGAAGTAATTACGCCGAACTCCATTCAAAACACTCTGAATTGAATGTTTTCATGCATACCTGTAAGATGACACAGGTTTTTTTGCAGCATTTCTGGAATTTTTTTATAGTTTCGGAGCTGTTCTTCAATTCGGCTGTGATATGTTGATCGATACAAGTTGCATGCAATATTATCATGACACTTTAACTGAGTGAGAATTAATTCGTGCTATATATCCTACTGTTTATTTCATCATATGGGACTCCTATTATGTGTTCATTTGCGATTATAAACGTGCCGAATTGTTTAGTGTTTGCAACAAGTAAGAAAAGCCTATGTTATACAACTTTCATTGTGAATTCTGAAATGATAATGGCGTTCAGTATGCTTTTCTAATGTACAGATGGGATTTCAAGCTCATATTGATGATGGTCACGCTCATACAGTTAATTAGTATTTATTAAATAATATTTATTTAACTGTTTAACTTTAATTTCTGTGTACTTCTGTGTAATTTCTTAAGTACACACTATTGATGCTAGACTGCCACCTTGCGGACACAGCACTATTAACACTCAGGTAGGCCTAACAGCTACAATGAAGATGACATTTGAGTATTATGAATCACATCTCAAACTTTAACTTAATTTTCTAAATCAAATCTATTTGATAAAATTGACGTTTTGTCAGATAAAAAAAAAAAGCACCAAGAACCACTGATTATGTAATTTGTCGCTTAAAATATTAGTTTTAGAGATAAGATGTTGTTTGAAACGGATACAACGACAACATTAAATCAACCTATAGAGCACACCACAGCATATTGAGAAAAGAGAATTAACACAGAATAAGTTGTTGACAAGGTTTACAAAATGAAGTTGTTAACATTATTACTTTTGTGTATGTTTGTGTCCAGTCTTCCCACTGGCTGTCCCCTGCAGACCGGGATCAGCAGGTGAAGGAGCTCAGGACCGCGGGATGGGTGGAGGTGAAGGACCGTGATGCCATCTTCAAAGAACTTCACTTCAAAACCTTTAATCAGGTGTGTGTGTGTGTATTTATGTTGATGTACCTCTGACATGTGTGAGTGAATGCAGGTTGACTTTTTTTGTCACTTCATTTGGTTTATTTTACGATTCAGATTTGGGTTTAAAGGTTATCAGAATCCGAATTCCTTTATTTGTCCCACAAATGGGAAATGTACAATATAAATTACTTGTTGCCAATGCTGAAGAACATAGTGTGTAGCAGCAGGTAAATCATCATCAAGCATTTTGTATTCGCTTATAATAGTAATAATAATATATGTAATTTATATATCGCTTTACAAAGACACTTTACAAAAGTCACTGATATAATCACTTACAAGGTCATGTATCATGATACTTCACAATTGTCACTCTGTGACATTATCTTTTTGCAAGCATCATAGTTTATTATACCTTTGTTTTGAAGAATTGTTGTCATATTTTTTTAATGCATTATAATCACTGTCATAATGCATCATAAGGTAATTAGTGTTTGTTGGTTGCTTTAGGTAAATTGAATAAAAAATAATCATTGAATCTATGCAAGAACAACACATGGTAAAATAAATCTTTACTTAGCCAACAGTGATTACTAAGAGTCACTTAATCACATTATAATGCATCATAACAGTGAATTTAATGTACTAGAACTATGCTAGTTATACACTATGATGTTTTCACAGACACAAATGTAAATGGGTGAGCAGCAATTTTAAAGGATTTTTCAAAACACTTTAACAAGCAGATAATGACAATTGTTTTTGTTTATTATACCATTTTGGCAATATTGACAAGATTACCAGTCATACGTAATCACAGGGATCATGACATAGGACATCCTTTGCATCACTGTGCATCTGGTTAGAGTGTGTATATGGGATTTCATTAAATTCATAATGACAGAGAAAACACACTGGCAGCTGACATCTGCTTCAGTGTTTTTTTCCAGGCGGCCGGTAGAGTCTGCTATCAAACTGTCATCTTTTTTGGGGGAAATCAGTTGCCCTCTGCGTTCTGCTGCTCTGGTCTTTAGGGGGCTGTTGCAAAGTGGCTCTAAGTTTATTTGATGGGGATCAGAATGCAGACCGCCAGACGCACGACCATCTCGCTAACCATCGGAAACACAAATTCATCTGTGTTTATATGCTGATTGGTTGCAGGTGTAGCGGCAGACAGGTTCCTCTCTGCTTTCGTTGGATTCTTTTGGTTCCAACCTGCAAAGTAGAGCACTGATGACATTTAAAAGGTTGTTTATAAGAAAGAAAAGGCCATTCTTTCCTACTCATTAATAATTGGTTGAGCATGGGGTGCTAATTACGACAGGGCGTGCTGGACGCTTCAGTATTTAAAGTCTTGTAACTTTACGTTGCTATAAGCAAAAAAGTTGTTTGTATTTCAATTGTGCTTATTTATAGTACTTGAAAAACCAAATGGACAGGTTTGGCCCAATCCTGGTCTTTGCTCTCCGTTAGAAATGGAATGTACAGTTTTGTTGCAATGCTATACTAATACTGTAAGATATCTATACAGTTAGATATATTACAGTATTGCCATACGGAAATTATACTATGAGGAATATGAGCATATTTTTCTATAATCAATTAATGTTTTTTTTGTGTCAAACCCTCGAAATGGCCCATCCATCATGAGATCACATGACAAAAATACCAAAACTTAATGAAAATTCCTAAAGTTGTGCATTTATGTAGAACATACATTTAAAATGTGTGTGTTTTAGTAGGTTTATTTTTTATGTTGCCCTGATGGGTTGTGAGAAAATAACATTGAAACTTTTTTTAAATAGTAAAAACTCAAGGTTCACTTACTTAAAGGTGGGGTAGGTAAGTTTGAGAAACCGGCTCGAGATACACTTTTTGTTATATTCCATGGAATGCTCTTAACATCCCGATAGCAATGAATATCTTAAGTGCTTTGACAAAAAATCCATAAAAAAATGTCATCTGTGGAAGCCGTAATACTGTAAAAAGCACGACCAATCATTTTAGCCGGCCCGGCTAAAATAACTGGATGGCCTACCTGCCTGTCAGCCTTCCATCTGTGCACAAACTTATCTCGTGCCCTCATTGGTCATGTGCGCGTTCGTGTGTGTTGGAGGAGGGGCTCTGTAAGGAAGTGGGAGATTTTTTCCGGCTGTGTATTTTCAAATTCTGGCGCACTCGAGCTGGTTTCTCCAAAATTACCTACCCCACCTTTAACTTTTTTGGGGAGATTTCAAAAATATTCCACAGCACTTTTTTTTTAACAAATGCTTGCTCTGGTGTTATCGTCACCATAGTACACAGTTGCCTTTGTGAACTTTTCTCGTCCCCAAGTCCATTTTCATAACACTTTTCTGAGTTTTGAACTCTTAAAACCTTTTCTTTTAATATATACATTTGACAGTACAGTATTGGTAGGCAGCCTACCACTTTCCTCATTCCTGTATTGGACGACCTAAACTGCAACATCTCAACAAGACCACTTAGCGGACTTCCTCTAATCCTGTCGTTAGTTGTTTTAGCCCCTAACATAGTCTGTTTTTACACTTCCCCGTGTTTGAAGTTTGGGGGCAAGCGCTGACCTCCCCCATCGACTCCTCCTGGCTCTAAAGCCTCTCCTCTTACCCCGACACGTCAGACTGCATTACCCTGAGACACGCCAGGCGTCCAGTTGGCAGCAATTGGGGTTTCGATCAGAATGATTTCTTTCACAAACAATCAAATTGGTTAAAATGTTTCATCTGGTTCACAAACCACTAACAACCCCATCATTCCTTCTGGTCGATGTGCATTTCAGTTTTTTTTTCTTGCTCTTTGCCACACTCCTTTCCCAATCCCTGCTTTTCTCTGTCTCTTATTCCCATTCTGTGCCCCATGTTATTGGGCTCATGTTGTTCCAATTGTACATGTTGGCAACTCTCTCTCCGTCTGTCTCTCTGTTCTTCTTTTTCACTGTCTTTTATTCTCCCTCCATGTATTTTTACATACTGTAGCTTTGTTTTTTATGGCTGTTCTTAAAGGGCTTTTACCAGGGGAGAATTGAGATGAGGAGTGGCATGCTGGCTGATTTCCATTCGCCACTTATCTGCGAGTGATGGGCTCGAAGAAATCAGATCCCCGAGAGTTTATAATGAGAATAACAAATCCCCTCTGTGCGTTGAAACACTTCCTCTTGTGGTCTTTAGGGGGCGGTAGAGGTGTGTCTATGGCTCTGCAAATCCACAGTGGCACTTTGTTGAAGTGGAGCTAAATACATGACACACAGGGACATTCATAGCTGCAAATGAACTCAAAAAGAACATGACAGCTGGATGTCTACGTTTATTTTCCATGATTACAGCAAGTGGAAAGTGTTAGATGCTTTAGCAGCTAATTTATCTGTGGCATGTGGGTAAACTGCGTTGATGGTGGCAGTGGTCTGAAAAGTTGCTGAGTTATTTTCCTCATCAAGTCCGGTGATGTTTAATCAGGTTTGAGAGGTGAAATCCTCTGTCTGGAGTCACTTTGGTCAGTGAAAATCCCTGCAATCATATGTGGAAACATCTGTTTAATACTGTACATTTTCGTTGGATTTGGGCTTGTTTTTAAGTTGCAGTCCCTGATATTGTTTACGTTTTAAGCCTTATGTTATGTATGTTTACTGATGACCATCTGCTTTATGTTTTGGTGGACAATGTGGAAACATTTACGCGACACAAGTGAAATTGGTAGCCGAAAGATGCAGTTTGGATAGGAGAGCTGTGCATTCTCAACTGTTGTGTTATGTTAGCTGAAGTTGACAATGATGGCATTTCAACTTTCTCCACAAACGTTCAGTCTTACAGTGATGGGAAAAATGCCTCAAAAGTTGTGTTTGGGAATGAAAAATTGCTTGTTATTATCTTGATTATCTCCTCCAAAGTGAACAAGACCGACCTTTAAACTAAGAATAGAAACGTTTAACAAGGTAAATATCTGTCAGTGCACAAAACAGTTTATTTATTGGTTAAAGAGGCAGATGAATGAATAGCTTTCCAGTAATTCAGAGTCTAACCATTCTTCAAGAGAACTTGTGTAATGGAACAGCGACTATAGATCCAAAATGGCTACCAAAATGTGATAATTTCACAGTAAAAAATGTTAACTGTTGGCTTTATGACAAACTATTTTCAATATACTCACGTGCATGTCGAAGTCCAAATAGCACTCTGAAAGATATTTAGAGTCAAAAGGATGTAAGGATTCACAACATTATCGTTTAATAGGATACTTTGCTCTGTTAATCAATATGTTGTATTATATTATCACATTCATAGTGAATATCTGCAGCATTCACTCAATGGTACGTTCTTAATAGGGGCTATTTTGTCGCATTCATGTTCTCCTAACCTTTCAGTGACTTTTCTACATGTCTGTGTGAGAGGAAAGAACATTTGTTAAGAAATCAGTTGGAAAGGATCATCAATCAGTCTTACAGATATCTAAAAGCCAGGATAGTGTGTTCATTCAAAATCATAATGAGCACATAAATGTCCCAGACTGTAGATTTAGCAACTGTTTTAAGGCCATATTAAAAAAGCATTCCTTGTCAAAAGTTTTGCTTGAAAGATGCATAAATTACCATTAAGTATTTTTCTTTGTATAAATTCAAAACATGTATAGTTATATGTGTGTGATATAATGCAACAAAATACAGATGACACAAACTTGAGACAAATGACACGCCAAAGTTGTGGTTGACCACAGACAATAACCGCATTACACCAGAAAAGGCTGCCGCGTCCACACAGCTTCAGGACTTAAGGTCCAATTTTGAGACTGAGGAGAGCGCTGCTGTTGTTCAGACAGCTCCCTCTGCTCTCTGAGGCTGATCCCCCTTTTATATTCTGTCGGGGGCTCCCTCTCCACCAAAGCTCCTTCAAGCCTCTGCCTCTCGTTACAGGCCTTGCTCTGCTTGTGTTGAATAAGTTGTCCTACAACTAAAACTGAGCCCCTGTGTTAACCAAACTTTCAGAGCCACCCCCCTCCTGCTTTACACACACACACACGCACACGCACACGCACACGCACACACACACACATGTACACACACATGTACACACGTAGCAAACACACACACACATGTACACACGTAGCACATGCACACACACACACACACACACACATACACACACACACACACACATGTACACACGTAACAAACACACACACATGTACACACGTAACAAACACACACACATGTACACACGTAGCAAGCACACTCACACACACACATGCATACACACACACACACACACACACACACACACACACACACACACACACACGCACACATGCACACACTCACAGTTTTGCACCTTGACTGAAATCAAACTCTGATGGAGACCCAAAAAAGTAAAATGTTCTGCCATAAAATGTATAATAAAGGCATACAAGTCATCCAGCCTTTAAAACTCCATATCTAAACCCTAGTATTTAAACACACATGTATACATAATCACCTTACACAAGCGCTCACACCATATCCCTTACTCACAGCGAGAGGCCGGTTAATCAGCTCAGTGGTGTTTAGTTCCCACCTCGCTCTCCAAAATGGAGCGTTCCCTGGGAACTGGAGGCATCACACATTCATCACGTCTTGTGAAAATGGCTGCAGGGAAGAAGTGAGGTGTGGCGCCCCAGCGGAGGTGGTTAGATAATCTGGCTATCAGTGCTTGGGTAAGCTAAGATGACCCTGATGTCTGCTGTCTTTTGACGAGCCCAATGTCTTTTTAAGCCCTCGCTGGTAACCCTGCAGTTAATGAGGGGCTTGCATAAGTTGGCCTTAACGCCATGAGCATTACATAACACTCGTTACATAAATAGGCGCTGACTTCCATGGACATTTGTTACATAGGATTTTAGTCACAGCCTGCATCATCTTTGTATCGAATTGAAGCTCTTGTCTGTGTTTCACAACTTTATGAACATAAATGTGTGATACAACATTTAGAACCCAGCAGAGATCTCTCTACTGCGTGGAAGAATTCCAGCGCTTGGCAGCTTTGCTTCATAATGATTCAATAGTTTGCTTTAAGTTACATGTCAACTTAGCAGGCACTGCCAGCTGGAAGCTTGTGAGGAGCTGTTTGGGAAAGGAGAGAAACGAGACATAAGAGGTGTGGTCGTCATCATCATCACCACCACCACCACCACCGTGCAATTCAAAGCGTTCTTGCCTTTCACTGCGGAGGAGCGAAGGTTTTCCAGGGTGCTGACGCGGATGATGATGGGGCTCACAGGGTAATCATCGGGTATTCACGGTGGTGTGTAATGGTGGAGAGCGGCTTGTCTTCATATGTGTGTGTCGACACATCCTTGTGTGTATGCTGAGAAGGTTTGCGTATGTGCATTCGTACATGCATCTGTGTGCATTTGTGTGTCCATCAGAGGCAAGTAAGAGTAGGCACAATCTGCATGCACTTAGTCCTGGCAAGACAGAGCAGGCGTTTCTAAGCCCCTGGACAGCGCGGCGGTGGAAAACCGATCTGTAAATAACAGACACATGTGTTTGAAACTGAGTCCTGTATTCCAGCCCACGGCCGCAATGAGAGAGAGAACACCACTCTGCTCCGACGTCAAATTGTCTCATCCAGTGTTGTATGACAATCACGCAGTAATAGCTCCAAATCGGCTCCTCAAAAGCTGGTGCGCAGAGGAAGGGGCAAAGCGGGGGCCTGCCGTCGGGTGTTTCTGATTATTTGAGATGGGGGGGGCCTGCGAAATGTCATGTCAAATTATCTGAGTCTGACAGCTACAGCTTGTTGGGCCAGTTTGGAGAGAGCGGCTGGCTGGCTGAATGAATGGATGGTTGGCCGACTGGCTGGCTGACCTGTTGGCTCGAGAAGTGTGGCCCGGACAATACAAATGGTGTAAACAAAGCACTTTGAGAGGGAGAGTCCTTGACCTCGGTTGACATAAGACCTCAGCTGGGAGTTGAGGGTCGGTTTTATTTCCTTGTTTAACCCAAGTGGAGGGTGTTGATATGACCTACAGGTGACAGACGTAGCACCGCCACTTCGCCAGTATTGTGTCTTGCTGCTACTCTCCTTACTGCCCCCGAGGGACCACCGCCTGTGAGAGAAGCCCGATGTAAGGCCATTTTTCACCCCTTTTCAGGTTATTTGGACATTCAACTCCAATTCATTTGTATTGGGAGATTACTGCTTTCCTCGCTCTTTTTCTCTCCTCATTTTTTGTCTTCCTGGGACATGAGAGTTCAGGTTGCATACAGGCTAGACTTCTTCTGTTTCACATTCCTCTTCCCATCAAAACGCATTGCGCTCTGTGGGTTGTTTGCACATCAATGAGGTCCAAACGTGGACATGTAATTTTTTTCGTGAGTGTGACCTTTTTCTTGAAAATAGCAGTGGGTTTTGTGACGAACTTTGAAGTTTGGATAATGAGTGTAAGCTCTGGTTGGGGTTGGTCCACTGTCAATTCAAAATGCAAATACAAAACACACTTCTATTACAGCATTCACTCTTAATCATTGGCAAACTTCATCATGCCATGAGCTGGCTTTGGAAGATAAATATACTTTTGAATAAAAACTGATTGGAAGTTTGCAATTATTTGTCCGGACTAGAATTTCCTTCCCTTGCCAAGTTTGGAAGTCTATGAAATCGTATCATACAGATGTGACTGCACATGTTTGTAGTTGCACACCCGTCATTATGTCAGTGAGTCTGCAACTGTGTTATTGTGATCATGTATCTTTAAAGTGCTGTGACCCAGTTGGCAGACATGTAGTGTTAAAAGGGATCCTCCCTGTATTAAAGAGGGAAGTACACCCATTATTCACACATGCTGATCAAGGTCAGGAGCCTGAATTTAGTACACTCTTGTAGATGGCCATGAACAGCATACAGCGGGCCAAAATCCTCAAATTCTGCCAAAAAATGTAAAGGCATTTCATTTATTTCCTGATAACTGCCAATGACTCTGATTACAGAGTATCAACTAATACCTTAAACTTGTCCTTGACATTTTTGTGTGGCGATTACAAGTATATGTAGTCAAAATTGGACAACAATGTTGATCTGAATCTAACATTAAAAAATCCACAGTGATATCATGTATTTCCGTCATTCCAAATTTGCTAGCTTGTTATTTACACTATCTACACAATGGAGACCGTCAAACTCGCTTTTTGCATCAGAGATAAAACGGTATGGGGAGGATAATGCAAAAATAAAACTGTACTTTGTCAATGTAAACAAGCATCATTTGCATCTGCGACTGAAAGGTCCTGAAGAAGAATGGAAATCATTTCATTTCAAACCTTTATTTATCCAGGTGTATCCCATTGAGATCATTGATCTCTTTTTCAAGGGAGACCTGAAAAAGAGATCAATAATGTAATGTAAAAAACTGTGTTCGCACATATTCCTAACCCAAGTTTGGCCAATTGTGAGTATGTTGATATTCCAAGAGGATGAGTTTTTGTTCCCTAACAGAGTCAAGGCTGGAAATTGTTTTTTGAAAGAACATGGTGTTTTGAAATGGGACAATGTGCAGGAACCTTTAAGTGTTCACACAGGATCCTTTTACCTGTCACTCAGTGTTCCTCAGCAGCAGATTAGCCTGAGCTCGGCCCTGAGAGAGAGACGGCATGTTTGGACAACACCTGACATGACAGGCTGCTTAGCCATCTCCATTAGAGCCAATGAGAACTGAGAGAAAGCAGACCGCCTCAGTCTCCAAATTGGTGCCAGTGGGGTCAAGTTGCAGGAATATGCCAATTACTTAAATTGATCAGGAGACGGTTTCTTGATAACCAATTTGATCAAGCTGCCGATCGTGTTACACGCGCCGCGCTGCACGGGCACCGAACAGGACGTCTCAGAAATTGGTTACAACGCACTAAAAAGGCTAAACGCAATTTCTTCTGTGAGTGTAATTCTGTTTCGTCATGTCAGGTGGTGGAAGGGGCCGCAGCCATGGTCTGTAAACAATGGCTTTTCAGTTGATTTAATTAGACAGGGAGGAAGTATTTAGGGGCTTAATTGAGATTGCAGTGGGAAATTGCTCTGAAATAGGTCTACCTGATTTTTTTTTTCTCCTCTCTTCACAGTGGGCATGACGAGGGATTTCACTCTTCTCTTTGTAGATAATTAGAATAACCATAATCACTCCCTGGATGGCCTGTGATTGGAGATAGTCACATGCCAAACCTGAAATATGAAGAGTGTGTATGTTTTGGAGTGTGTGCATACTGTGTTGCATGCTGTGTGTGTGTGTGTGGCAGTGGGTGTGGAAGTATGAACATACTTCATGAGGATTTTCGACAGGCACAGGAACGGCGTCTTGTTCTTCTTTGCGCCTCAGATGGCAGCATTGCTCCTTTTGCCGTAGGTCTACAGCTACATATTTGACCTATTTTGATTTTTTTTCTTTTTTTTACAGCTGCAGATACAAGTTGATTTATCAATTATTTATTCAGCGAAAAACATTATCAACTTTTGGGAATATTTTAATAATAATTTTCATCATGTTGAAAATAAGACAATAATATTTTCTGGTTTATTAAATGTTTTATAATCATGAAATACATTTATTCCGATTTTGGATCATTTGTTAGACAAAACGAGACATTTCAAGAGGCCACCTTTGGTTTCTGGGATGTTTTAATGGCCATATTTCACTAATTTTGTACACCAAATCCCTAATCCAATCCAATGAATCAAGAAATAATTTAATGGTTATTCTGAAAAAATATATTTTATTAGTAGTAGCCTTACATTTAATGATTACTGAGTCATTGATTCTGGCCTGGTATAGTGGCATTTTTGTGTTGTAGCGTTATCATTCTTTGTCACGTGAGAGATATTTTTTGTGGTCACAGCTGTTTTAAACGGTAGAAATTCCTGAATATCTTTTTGATTGACAGTTGACTGTTTCTTTTAACAGGCATTCGGCTTCATGTCTCGAGTGGCTCTGCAGGCAGAGAAGATGAACCACCACCCAGAATGGTTCAATGTTTATAATAAGGTAATACATTTCTCCACCTTATGTAATTGTGATTGAGGAGTCACTTGCAGTGCTGCATTTGTTTAGTATCCATTACAGAAATCAAGGCAAGGAGAATCAAACAGTGTTATCGCGGTGATGTGTTTGAGACACTGCCATATTTGCAATGCTACGGTTGGCTTATGACAAATTACAGACACACCAAGATCAATCGACCATGGATAAAGTCAGATTTTGCATGTCAAACAATCCTCACTAGTTCTGGAGAGATCTTCACTCAAAGCCTGAAACGCACTCTGCAAGTCAGAATGAGGGGGAAACGCAGTAGCTTCACACTCTAATCCCATCGCTTTTCTTGTGAAAAGCTCTGCAAATATCTCTACCTCCCGTCCACTACCCCAACACTCACACACACTCTCACTTTCTGTGCCTCAGAAATAAAGTAGCGGTTGATATGACAAACCCAGTCCCTGAAAATCTCTCAGCATTAGGCTGAAGCCACTGAGTTAGTGTGTGGTGGACCGGGCCGCTCTGACAGGAATGCTGCTCCTAATCCACTCTTTATTAAAGTGGCTGTAGAACGGTGCTACAGGTCTCTGGGCCCCCGCAGCACTTTCCACCAGACACTCTCACATAAATCCAACTTCGACAGATCTTCGACAAAATAGATGTTGTATACAAAGCTACTGCTAATATTCTTTTAATATTCATTCATGCTCTGTGCTGTTTTATTGGCTCTCAATATTAAGAAGTGAATTTCTTTCTGGGTCGAAGCTTCTCTCCATGGAATAACCTCATTGGTTGAGTCAAACTCAATGGGTGGAGCCAAATGCTGGACATGGAGATGGAAGTACACTGTATTTCTCGCATTTCCTAACAAATAACTCTTGATTTTTGAAGGTTTTCAAGCAATAGTTAGACAACATTTTTGTTCTGAGTACTGAGCTGGAGTCAGGATTTGGCTACCTTAGTATAAACACTGGAAACAATTTCATCACAGTTGTGTCACAAAGACCAAACTAAAGCACTTTCAACATAATCCACTTCCCCTGATCACATTCTAAAACCAAATTATAAGTGAGTTCGTTGATATATTTATTTTGAAAGATATTCTCCTTTGCCATCTTAATTGGATAATTAGAGATCATGCACTCTGAACATTTGAATTCTAATAAACAAATGTGATTACTGCCCTGTTGTTTATGGCATGTTGTTGCTTTGTGATTGCTAACAATCTGTATGTATCCTCACAGGTCCAGATTACATTGACCACACATGACTGTGGAGGACTGTCAAAACGGGATGTCAAAATGGCAAAGTTTATTGACAAAATTGCACCTTCAGATTGAGTTTCTCTGCAAATAATTATTCCTAATAAAAATGATTAAATAATGCATATATGTCTGGGTTCATCTGGGTGAAAGATTGATATAATATTGACCTTTTTTGAACAAGCTTTCTCTAAGAATAAAACTTTGATTTAGTCAAACTGGGTTTTTTCTGTTAGTTACAATAATGTGGTCCTGCACTGATCCTCTTTAATAAGTTGAAAGTTAAGAGAAAAACCCTTCTTCGTGGTCCAGATTTTGTCGCTTACTGATTCTGGAAGCTTTAATTTAGTTGTGTGCGTCAGTGTATGGTTTTCTTGTTCTCAGCAGTGTTTATTTTCACACATGAAGTTAAAATGTAGTGTAATTGCTCTGCAGTAGTCTGTCCGGTACTTGCCAACCATCAGGAGGACACTCTTCCATTTAAATCCTCCACCAACACCACATGTTCTGCTTTTGGCCATGGAGAGTGGAGCAAAAATGTGGCAGGGGTCAAAGTCAGTAGGAAGGGGATTTATGTGATTTACCGTTTGGTAAGGGATGAGTCACATAGAGCTGCAGTGTTTTACTGACTGGATCGCCATCAGGAGAAGATCACTAAAGTGAGAAGAGTGTAATAACAGCCAAACTAGTAGACCTGTGTTGCAAAAAGCCTCTTTGTCTGTGCTTTGTACCTGGTGAAGGTAAGTACATTGATAAGGTATAGATACAGTAGTACATTCTGTGTGTTTCCTTACACAACATGTTGTTACTATACTTAGTCACCCTTTACTGATTAGGTCAAGGTGTAAAGTCCCCCAAAATCCACATTCTATCATCAAACTTACCATTTGTTTAGGCTCTTGTGTAATATGTTTTCTTCAGATGACATTTCTGCATCAAAGTTTTGTTCAAACAGAATACAACTTTACAGTAGGTAATCTATGCTTGACTGTTGCTGCTTAGGCTACAATTGTTCTGTTTCTTTCAGGCCTTGACTTACAGGGTAATATGAACCTTATGGGCTATAGACAGACTGCATTTACAATAGATTAAATCATTTGTCAAATTTTCACTGTTTTGCCTTTTTCACAGTGAAGGCTATCCAGGCCCACACACACATTGGTGAAGTGAAAGCATGTGCTCAAAGTTAGATGCAGGTATATCACATTGCAAATATGTTTTCTAAACACTTGCCTATTTTCATTCATCTGTACAGTTGAGTTTTGACCAAAATTAAAGAACAGGTTGCATGTGTTGTGTATTAAATCGGACAACATTGACCCACACAGCCACAAGTCCTGCAAGGCTGGAAACAAAGTCTTTTAAATGGTACTTACACAAACCACCATGCCTCTGAACTGTACTGTGTATTATTGTCAGGTGGTCACAGCAGCATATAACAACACATTCATCTGCAGCAGGTTCCTTCAGTAGTGGTGCAATGTGTGTAAGAACAATGTCAGCAATGGTGGAGGAAGTACTTGGATCTCAACATTTCTAGAAAGGTCATGCATTTACAATCAGTAAAATAAATATGTATAATTAGCAAAGAAACTATTCCTGTTAACACAAACAAAAAGACAAATATTAATGTTTTTGTATGTCTTTATTGAGTCAAAACAATTGAATATCCTGAGTGTAACACTTCATTCTGTGTATACAGTAAACCCTCAGATGTATTATGAACATCTCAAATACAGCTGCAATAAATGATGTTGTTTAGGACTCTAGATCAGCCGATTTACACTGCTAACTTTTCTTTTTTAGGGTTGCAAGGAACAATTGAATGTATCAATTAGGCTGATCATTTTTTCCCCGAGTTATGGTTTGGAATGCCCATCCCAATTACAATCCAATCCTCACATCTTAGAAGCTGGAACCATTGAATGTTTAAGAGTGTTTCTCGATACACAAGTTAAATCGTTTTCAAAATTATCATTAAATTATTTATCAACTGTTGGATTCATTGACTGTTATTGTTAGTCCCTACAAGCCCCTCCAACAGATTGGTCACCATTATCTGTCCCCTAAGGGGGAGGAAGAGGGGGGAGATTTTCGAGGGACCAGACAGCAGTTCCTGTAGGCCAGTCCGGGGCAGACCAGGCCAGATGTGGCTCCTTCTGATAATTGGCATCAGCTGATGGCCAGAAGCAGCAGGCAGCCGAGCCAGTCCTCCCATTAGTGAACTCCCTGGATTCTGGCCCCTTAATCCGTTTTCAGCTTCACCCACTAATTCTGCACCGACAGCAGCAGTCCAGTCTCCACACACAAACCCATGAGAACCAGAGGGAGATAGACAGCCAAGGGAAGAAATTAGGAAGAAAGAAGAGACAGAGAAAGTAGGGAGGGTAATTGAGAGGGTGGGGGGGGGCAGGGGACAAGCAATTGTGGAGGTGGAAGGGAGTAAAAGACACACAGAGAGAGAAAAGTGCAAAGCAATCGAGTTGAAGATAGATGAGTGGGACAGGCCAGGCGTGGGATGACATTTTCCCTTTTTTCTTGTGCAGTCCTTGAGATGGAAAAATAATAATTCTCCCCAGCATAAAGCGACAGAAAAGTAAAGAGAGAGATTGAGTGGGGGTTTCTTCGGCAAGCAAGGGAAGAAACAGCTAGCAGGAGAGAGGCTTTCTGGGCTTTTTCCAAGTAGCTGCTGCGTGATAGAGGCCCATAGTTCTCCAGTGTGTGAATCGCTGTTTCACTCGCTGGCCATGTGGGGAAGGGTTGATGGTCCCAGTAGTTACAATCTGACACTGCCAAATAAAGATAACAAGGTCATAGAAAGTCAATCTTGAGTTAAGTCTGCTTTTAAAGTTTCCAGGGGGAGTGCGCAGGCCAACGTTTAGCATGTGGGCTCCTGTGTTGTGGGATTCGCTGCAGACACACCGCTGATAGTAATCACAGTGTGAGGTTCATGCCAAAAGCAACCAGGAGCTTAACATTTGCAGAGACATTTGTAAGGCATTTGTTATTCGATCAAATGCACCCCCTTTGTAAAATTCCCCTGTGATGTGGCAGTTATTACCGGACGGTCACTGACTGTTCTCATCTGTGTGATCAGAAACATATTGATGTCTGTTTTGCTGATAAATGGCAGTTTCACGCTGTCTTCTTTCATTTAAAAGACAAGTTGTCAGCAGTTCTTCTTTTTGTGAAAAAGAAAACTTTTTTTTCGGATATGAGGGATCACGCTAATGGTTGTCATGCTGCTTCGAGAGTAAAGTGAGGAATCAGCAACAGCTCCCTAATACACATATCCATCACAATTGTCCAGATTTCATGAGCTTAGAAAAGCACAGTTTCTTACAGCTTTGGGATAAGGTAGTTTTAAGAATAATTGGAGCTTTAGATGTTGCAGTACTTTGAGATAAATGCGTAATTTAGAATGCTATCATGCTCAAAATGAAAATGGGTAGCAGGTATCTTGTTTACCACATTCACCACCTTAGCGTGTTTGCATACAAAATTAGCACTTAAAACAAGAAAGGGTTCTAAGATAAAGACATGGAAAAAACCTAGACCAGACCACACTGTGGCGAACTGTCAATCAAAGTAACCCCACAGTAAACTATATGCTGCTTTATTGTCTATTTTACTCTAAATCCAACCAGGCTTTACAAAATGATCATCCTGCTTTATTGACAAAGACTTGGGGATTGCAATGTTTACTGAGATAATAAATATTGAGAAATTACATATTTTCTCATAGACTTCTAAATAGTAAGAGTTATTTTTTGCAATCAGTGGAGTCTCTCGCTGCTGGCTACTACAGAGAATTACAAGAAGGCACTCTGCATTGGCTTTAATTTGAAGATGCCACTTGGAAAAGAACTTGACTGGCCTGCACAGACGCCTGACCTTGTTTACATCCATCAACTTGGGGAAGAACTAGCTACGTCTTAGTGTACAACATCTTTGGCTGACATCACAATGTTGAAATCCCTTCAGCCATGTTCCAAAATCCCAGTTGAGTGGAGGATGGTATCGCCGTGTTTAACAATGACTTCTGGATGCATATGATCTTATGTCCACATGCTTTTGAACAGGCTCTGTACATCAGTATTTGCTGTATAGTGCATATCATAAGGTTAACCTTTTAATTACATGCCCAGTTAGCAGTGTTGATTTTCTACATCTCCCAGAATTCCCCGCCTCAAGTGGATATTTCGAAGACATCAACAGTTGAGCTCAGGATTTTAATTATTTTATCCTTGCCCATGAAGGTACAGTAACTTTGCCCACTGTTGTAGAGTTTTTGTGAGTGAAAAAGTCAGATAATTGGCTTTCTTTCAAATAAATAAAGCATGTTGAACCAGGTGTCATACAGTATAGGCTTCATTCTTTACTCAGCCCCCACAGCTCTCTTTAGTGTGTTGCACAGACACACACAAAAACACTTGGCCGTGAAGTCACTGCAGTTCGACTCAGCACACTCACTAATCCCAAAATGATGGTCATGTGTCAGCTTTGTCAGAATTACTGCGGTACTGAGACAAAGTCTTGGCGGTAAGTACATCATTTTCTCACAACACATATAATTATAGTAATTCTTGCTGTTGTATTTTTGCCTGCAATGGCATGCAGTTATTGGCCAAATGCTCTCTTGGCTGTGTGATCCAGTATTTTGTAATAAATCTTCAGCACAATAAATCAATACGTTTCTTTGCAACACAGCATTCATGTTAGCTTGTTATAGCTGTTAATATAACACTAATCAGGTCGGCTTCAGGTTGATTAAATGGAAATAAAAGCATAGAGATTACATCTTCCATTTTGGGTACATGCTCAACATGGATATATACATTACAGCTAATTAGATTTTTGTTAAATTGTCAACCTGTTAAGCCCTGAGCCTGTTTTTCAGGTCTCAGGCTCGAAAATGACATTCTCAGAACAAATTACTATATCTTCCCTTCTAAAAGGGTTAAATTAATAATCTTTTTTCTCAAAGTAATGATAAACCTGTGAGTTGGATGTAGAAAAGTCAGAATCAATATAGATGTTTTTTATTTTAAAGAAAATTCAGATTGAACATAGTAAAAAACTGTAAATTATAGTGTCCGTCCAAAAATTCTTTTTTACTTATAGT